CCTCACGTCGCACATTCTCAAACACGCATAGCTGTACCGCGGCGGCCGTTCATGACGTGTACATCGCATTGCCAAGCGCACTGTTGATCTTTTGCCCTCCACACAGTTATCGTCGACTTTGCGTCGCAAGGAGGACCATTACTCCGGAAGTATTCGAAATTAAAGCCTCCGACTCCGTACCACGAAGTCTCGGAAGACTTGTGCAATTGTGGGTTCTGCCTGTCAGTGCACGTTGAGCCGCCTCGGCCGAGTCGATCGCGGACCCTCCGACTTTGGCACTCGCCCTGCCCAAAGTGGGTTTCAGCAAATCACTGCGCCTGGATTTCTTCACTACGCCGAGGCATCTTCTTACCAGAAGCCAAGCTTCTTCCTTCTGAAAGCGTTGCTCTCGGAGCACGCGAACAGGTTCAATCCAAGCATTGGTGCGTCATTTGTTTCGACGTGGCATGAGAAGGTGGCCCGAAAACCCTAAAATATAGCCTACCTAAGCGCAGCTCCCATCACAATTCATGCTTCCTCAATACCCAACATCTTGCCTTCTCAACATCACTGCATTGTTATCTAGATTTTTTTTTACTTTTACCTAATCATGGATAGCAACATGGAGCACGCAGTTATTCCCGGCCCTCCTGGGCTGCCAATCGTGGGCAACATTTCAGACGTGAGTACATATGATCCTTGCATCTAAGCACTCCTACATCGCTGCGGACTCTTGTATTCGAATCGGGCGAATCTCGCGCATTCGAGTCGAACGAGTTGCTCTATGGTAGGCAGACGACGTCAGGTGCTGACAACGACGGTAGATTGACCCAGAGAACCCAATCCAAAGTCTCATGACCATATCCGCAAAATATGGACCAATCTGGAAGTTCAGTTTGGCAGGAAGAGAGCGTGTAGTCATTGGCTCGCAAGCTCTCATGAATGAGGTCTGTGACGAAGAGCGCTTTTCCAAAATCGTTGCCGCAGCACTCGAGCAAGTAAGGAACGGTATACACGATGGGTTATTCACAGCATACGGAGAACATGAACGGAATTGGGGTATTGCGCACAGAGTCTTGATGCCTCAACTAGGCCCACTGTCGATCCGAAATATGTTCAGCGAGATGCACGATATCGCCTCGCAACTCGTGATGAAATGGGGGCGCCATGGGCCTGAGCACAAGATACACGTTGTGGACGACTTCACCCGACTGACTTTGGACACGATTGCATTGTGCGCCATGGACTACCGCTTCAACTCATACTACTACCAGAAGATGCATCCATTCGTGGATGCCATGTCAGATTTCCTGAAGGTCAGTGGCGACCGAGCCCGAAGAGACCCGATATCACAGATGTTCTACCGTGCAGAGACTGCGAAGTACTGGGAGGACATCGAATTATTGCGAAAAACGAGTATGGAAGTCATCAAGAACAGGAGAGAGAACCCCACAGAAAAGAAGGATCTCCTGAATGGCATGCTGAACGGAGTGGACCCCAAGACGGGAGAGAAGATGAGTGATGAGAGCATCATGGACAACATGATTACCTTCTTGATCGCTGGCCACGAGACGACGTCTGGACTTCTATCATTTACGTTCTACTACCTGCTCAAGAACCCAGCTGCCTACGAGAAAGCACAACAAGAGGTCGACAGCGTCATTGGAAAGGGACCGATTACCGTGGATCATTTGTCGAAGGTGCCATTTCTCAACGCAGTGCTCCGAGAATCCCTTCGTCTTTCGCCAACCGCACCATCCATTGGTTTGACGGCGAAACAGGATACCGTGCTTGGCGGAAAGTACCCTGTCAAGGCAGGCGCGCCAATCCTCACCCTTTTCCCCTTGATTCATCGCGATCCACTTGCCTACGGAGAAGATGCAGAAGAGTTTCGACCTGAGCGCATGTTGGATGAAGAATTCGACCGCCGCAACAAGGAGTACCCCAACTGCTGGAAGCCTTTTGGAAACGGAATGCGAGCTTGTATTGGACGCCCATTCGCATGGCAAGAAGCCCTACTTGTGCTTGCAATTCTCCTGCAGAATTTCAACTTCTCTATGGATGATGCATCATACAAGCTGCAGATCAAGCAAACACTTACTATCAAGCCCAAGGATTTCTACATGCGCGCGCATCTACGGAACGGCGTGTCGGCTACCAGTCTTGAGCGAGCACTTCAGTCTGCTACTCTACAAGAGCCTCCACCTGCTAACGGCGGCCAAGCGGTCAGGAAACAAAAGGCGAACAAAGGGAAGCCGATCGCTATCTACTACGGCTCCAACACCGGCACATGCGAAGCTCTCGCAAACCGGCTTGCAAGTGATGCTGCAAACCATGGTTTCAGGGCTGATGTTGTAGACACTCTCGATGCAGCGCGCGAGAACTTGCCTACAGACAAGCCGGTCGTCATGGTTACTGCCTCATACGAAGGTCAGCCTGCAGATAATGCAGCTCACTTCGTCAACTGGATCGGTACGCTCAAAGACAAGGAATTGGAGAAAGTCTCGTATGCCGTCTTTGGATGCGGTCACCGTGACTGGGCCAAGACGTTCCACAAAGTTCCAAAGTATCTGAACACTACGCTCGAGGAACGTGGTGCTACAAAATTAGTCGAGATGGGCACCACCGATGCCGCTTCAGGGGACATCTTTACAGACTTTGAGACCTGGGAAGATCAGGTTCTATGGCCTGCTCTGCGTGAAAAGTATGGCTCGTCTGAGGTTGAAGGCGAAGGTTCAATGGAAGCTACTCTGGACGTGGACATCAGCACACCTCGATCAACGATCTTGCGCCAAGACGTTCGCGAAGCGCGTGTAGAGGAGGTTCAGGTCTTGAGTGCAAACGGTGTTGCCGAAAAGAGGCACATTGAGATCAGCCTGCCATCGGACATGTCGTACTCTGCTGGAGATTACTTGGCGATATTGCCGCTCAACCCGAAGGAGAACATCCGTCGAGCTACCAAGTACTTCGGTCTATCGTGGGATAGCATGTTGACTATTCAGTCCGCTGGCCCAACTACACTGCCCACGGATACACCCATCAGTGCAGTTGATGTCTTCGGCGCGTATGTGGAGCTTGCTCAACCAGCCAGCAAGCGCAACATTCTCACTCTCGTCGACGCGACTCGCGATGAAGACACAAAGACACAACTCTTGCGTCTCGCAGATTCCGCTTTCACAGAGGAGATCACTGCAAAACGTGTCTCTGTGCTCGACCTTCTCGAGCGCTTCCCATCCGTCCAGCTGCCACTTGGCGTCTTCTTGAAGATGCAGCCACCGATGCGAGTCCGCCAGTACAGCATCTCCTCGTCACCACTCTGGAATCCGAACAACGTCACCCTCACATACGCCGTTGTCAATCAACCCGCACTCAGCGGTCAAGGACGCTACGTCGGTGTCGCAACAAACCATCTCTCCAAGCTCGCACCCGGAGACAAGCTCCACGTCAGCGTCCGCGCATCCCACCAAGCTTTCCATCTCCCCAAGGATGGGAAGTCCATCCCGATTATCTGTATAGCCGCCGGTACCGGCCTCGCTCCCTTCCGTGGCTTCATCCAAGAACGCGCTGCTCAACTCGCCGCCGGGCGCACCCTCGCCCCTGCGCTCCTCTTCTACGGCTGCCACTCTCCCGACAGCGACCTCTTATATTCTGACCTTCTCAAGAAATGGGAACAGCTCGGCGCTGTATCCCTACGCTTTGCATTCTCGCGCCAGCCCGAAGCATCTGAAGGTTGCAAGTATGTGCAAGATCGTATGTATCACGACCGCGCGGACATCATCGAGTTGTTCAATCAGGGCGCGAAGTTGTTTGTGTGCGGAAGTCGGGAGGTGGGAGATGGTGCGGAGGAGATGTTGATTAAGATTGCTAAGGAAAAGTTTCAGGGTGAGGAGGGGAGGGAAGCCGATGATAAGAAGGCGAGGGAGTGGTTTGAGGATTTGAGGAATGAGAGGTTTGCGACGGATGTTTTTGCTTGAGTGGGTGTAGCACGTTTTCAGGGGAGTAATTGGCGTTGGATTGGGCACAAGGCTTTCGAAAAGCTTCGTAGAATTTTATTCATTGTACACCCTTATACTCATGTTCGTTTATACATGTTCAGGTGTTGATTTACTGTTAGTGAGGAGGGTTACACCGGTGAAGCGGATCTGGCTGGGCGTTAGGCTACAACGTCGATCTATACCAATTTCGCTCTAATCATGCGCTGTTCAGGCGAGAACCTTTGCATGCAAGATCATAGCGCGACTTCACTGATATCACCTTGACATGCACATCTGGTACGCTGCTCTTGACAACCGGGATCATACCAGTTGCGTTCCTCTGTCGCTCCATTGATTTAAGTTATCTCTTTCTAATCTTGATATCGCACCCTGACCATCACGATGGCGACCGAGTCGAAGCTTCTCTCGCAGACGCTGCAGTCTATTACAAAGACTAAGATGCGCGAGCAACATAAACGCCAACAAACATTTGAAGCGAGCAAATCGAAGCTTCTCACATCATGTACTGAACTTACGAACGATCTCAAGCGGGTAAAAGCGTTACTCGATGGCTACAAAGAATTGGCCTGCAGCAACAAAGGTGTTGCTCATGTTGATGAAGACCGCGAAGATATGATGAAGAATATTGCGAAGTATATCGAACAGGCTCATCACGATCCCTCAGTCTCTTCCGAAACGATTGCTGGTATCGAACGCACTTTACAGAAGAAGCTTGAGCAAGAAGGCCAGCGACTCGAGTTTGCAAATCTTTACTACCGCCTCTTAGCTGAGTGGACAGATGCTAGCAGCAAGCCGATGGAGCAGTCTGAAGAGAAGGAGGCCTCGCTTGATGGTGCATTCGAGCATGTGCAAAAGTACGACTTGCAGAAGCTCACGGAGAAATTCGCCAGTGTCGTTTTCACTCCGCTGGAGACGGATGAGGTTGAGATCGACAATTACCTAAATGGTTTGTTCGAAGACGACCATGCGCAGAGATTCTTGAAATACATACGTGAAGACAACGCAGGATTTGCGTCGCTTTTGAAAAAGCAGACGAAACCTTTCGATCCTGACATGCTGAAGAAATGCATCAAAGCGTTGCTCGCCAACAATCTCCTCAACGACGACGCAAAGTCTACGCTCTCTGAATTCGCCACCGATGAAGTTGTTCTCGATGAGATCGCCGATGTTCTCAACCTCCGATTCGCTGATCTCGATAATTGGTCATGGCAGGCGGAAGATGAGGGCATGTACTACGAGCCAAGACGGCAGCTTAACGGAAAGTACCGCATCATGATGGACATGGACATTCTACAGGCAATTTTCCTGCACTTTATCGCCATGAGCTGGTGCGCGCAACTCAAGTTGAGGTTCGAGGGTTTAGTGGAAGATTCCGAGTTCTGGCGACAGGAACGGGGCATGTCGGACGAGGAGAAAGCAAGGTACTCCTTCTTCGTCGGTGGACCTCCGCATGACAACGGCATGCAATCTCGAGAGAGGAAAAAGTACGTTACGCAATATCTGAACTCGTCACTTCCCTCCTCGTTGGATGAGGGAGGCGATCCTTACGGCGAGGATGGTGATGCTGGTAGAGCTAGCAAATCCAATGAACCAAAGACTGGCTTAGCTCTGAGGCAAGCTTTCTTGCAGCAGCTCGCAACGAATGTAATTATTCGCCGTGAACTACACGGTGAAGTGGCAGTCGTACAATCTGATCTGCAATGGTACGCGACTGGTCTTCCGCACTCCACGCTATGGGCGGTCCTGCGCTTTTGGGGTATCCCAGATGACTTCATCGCCTTATTCAAGAAGTATGCCGAAGCGCCTCTGAGGATGACAGCAACTCCGGGCGAAAATGTGCGTACCCGCCGACGTGGCATCCCGATCACTGATGCGTTCGAGACGCTTTTCGGAGAAATCGTGCTATTCTGCATGGACGTTGCAGTCAATCGTCTCTCCGGAATGACCATGACACGATTCCATGACGACTTATACCTTTATGGTGCACCAAAGCAAACTTCCGAAGCATGGAAGACAATAGAGATGTTTGTCAAGGTGCTCGGGCTCGACATCAACACCAGCAAAACTGGCTCCGTATATATTAGTGACGGAACCAAGGATGATGCAATAGCTGCCACATTTCCTGAGGGACCTGTTGGCATGGGCATGCTGCAATTGAACGATAAGGGCGATTGGAACATCGATCAAGACCAAGTCGCCGCGCATACGCGGCAGCTGCGTAAACAATTAGGCCAGTGTACCAGTATAATGTCTTGGATCCAAACGTGGAACGCCTGCATCGGCAGGTTTTTCCAAGATACGTTCGGCAAGCCAGCGAATTGCTTTGGACAGGTGCACATCAAAGCCATACTCGACACTCACACACAGATACAGTCGCAGTTGTTTGATAGCTATGGTGGAAGCAGTATACAGTACCTTCGCCAGCAGCTTGAATCACGATTTGGCGTCACCAATATTCCGGACTCCTTTTTCTTTTTGTTAGAGGAGCTCGGCGGCCTCGGTCTCGCAAATCCATTCATCCCCTTCTTGGCCGCCAAGCACTGTGTAAAAGAGAATCCTAGGCACCTTGTGACTGCGTTTCAAAAACAAGAGAGAATTACGTACAAGGCATTCGCCGACGAGTTTGCCACGCTTTCGAAAGCGGACAAGCAACGCAGATATCGGACGGCATTTGTTGACATCAAAGATAACGAGTCTATTCCTGAGGAGCCGTTCTTTGGTATTGAGGAATATTGCGCTCATCGTGAGACGCACTCGTCTTCCTTACTCCGCGCATACGAGGACTTGTTACAAGAACCCACTGCAGAATATGTGAGGCTCACCAGTGGAATGCAACCATGGTTCGAGGAGATGAAGCATACGCATGGTCGCGGCTGGCATGACCTAGACAGCAGAGAACGTTGGATTATGAATTTGTATGCGGACGAGCTGAAGGATAAATTTGGGGCGCTGAGTGTTGTGGACAAGAACTTACTGCCAAGCGGGGTGCTGAAAATGTTGGAGAAAAGGAAAATCACGTGGCAGATGGTGATTTGGGAGTAGAGGCCGTTCAGTGCATGGGTTGCACTGCGGTGAATTGCTAATGTCACGTTGTCCTTAGCGCGCCGCGCGATTCAGGCCTCGGCTGTTCCTGAGATGTAGCAGCTACCTCCATGGTGCCTTCATCGACTTTTGACCACACCGTCGGAACATCATCGACTCGGATACTTCGATAGATACAGCAATCGCAGTCGCTTTTTTGTTGGTCCGCACTGCCCCCGTGCGTGTACAGTGGTCGCGTCGTTGCGAGTTTCCCCCTCTTCACGTTCATAAACCTCTTGTCCAACGTCCTCCACACGTCCACCAACAGGATGGTGTCGCACTCAAACGACAACGAGAGCTCGCCGCTGTTAGTTGAAAGCAGGAGTGCTGGACATGTTGAGCGACATGGCCACCCACACGATCTCAATACGTCTAACAAAACTCTCGCCCTTCAAATAGGAGCAACGATGGTATCTTTCTCCACACTCGGGCTTTTCAATTCATCTATCGGTGCAGTCCTACCTCCAATCAGGCATCACTACAACCTCACAGACCTGCACGTTTCTGTCCTTTTCCTTGCTAGTCCACTAGGCTACATCTTCGCGGCTCAATGCAGCGACATCATCCATCAACGCTTCGGGCAACGTGGCATAGCAATCACTGGACCCGTCTTTCAAATCCTTGCTAATCTGATCATTGCTTTACATCCGCGATTTGGGTGGGTACTTGTCGCTTTTGGTCTACAGGGAATTGGAGCCGGTCTACTCGATGGAAGTTGGTGTGCATGGGCTGGCAGCATGGAGAAGGCAAACACTATATCTGGAATGCTACACGGGAGTTACAGTGTAGGCGGGGCAGCGGGGCCTTTCCTCGCTACCGTGATTACAACCAGTAATCGGCCTTGGTACCTTTGGTACTGGGTCCTGGTAAGTCTCGCTTACTCTGTCGCATAGGAGAGAGCTAATCAATAGTCCAGGTCATTCAGTCAGTTGCTGAGCTGCGTCATTCTGACCGTCGCCTTCTGGAACCAAACCGGATCTGTATATCGTCAGAGCAAACAGGCAAATTTGCTTGCCAGTAAGGTCGACGCAAAAGCCATCTTTCGCCATCGCGCGACATGGCTTTGCGGAGCCTATTTCCTCACGTATGTCGGCACAGAGACGGCAATCTCTGGTTGGGTCGTATCATTCATGCTACGTAACCGCGCATCGACTCCATACTTGGCAAGCATGGCTTCCTCTGGTTACTGGGTCGGCATGGCCATTGGTCGGTTAGTGTTGGGCTTCGGTACTGACCGAATAGGCGTGCGGCGCGCAGCGGTGCTGTACTTCATATGTGCAGGAGTACTCGAAGCATTGTTTGCAGTGCTGACATCTCCAATCGCTTCGGTGGTGCTGATGACTCTATTGGGTTTCGTCATGGGTCCACTTTTCCCCTCCGGTGTCGTTGTCTTGACACGCTTACTGCCAAGCGAACTGCATATCGCAGCAGTCTCCTTCGTCTCTTCACTTGGCCAAGTTGGAGGCGCTTTTCTTCCTTTCGCGATTGGGGCGGTTGTGGAAGGTCTGGGCATTGGTGTCTTCCGATATGCTATTCTTGTTCAAACTGCCCTTTCATTAGGCGCTTGGCTAGCATTTGCTAGAGTGCGGACGACCACTCGCAGTCAAATTAGCAGCCAAGAAACGTCAAGAGAGGATTGAGCAATGCTCGATCGTATTCATCCTAGATGCTCGCCAAAGTTTACCAGTATCGCCGAAACCCGCAGCCTGCTTACCCGATCTGGATCGGAGCTGAGAGGTCAGCGTTCTGATTCGCACCACAACACCCGTTCTAGACCGCCGCGATCGCATATGAACGAGGGGAATTTATGGATGTACCTGGGTATCCGAAGACCTTGGCGGTACCTTTTCCACGAAGCATACCCACCGACCAGTATTCGGGCTTACTTTGCTTGCTGTGAACCAGCAGCGAAGCGAGCTATCACGCATTCAGCCTGTACGAAAGTGTGTGCATGTCGTGTTGCACAAGCTCTAAGCGAGGTGTCATACGAGCTCTGGTAACACTTTTGATCATGACAGCTCATCGAAAGGCAAGCATTCCTCAGTTCTTGTTAGGCCACGAGGTGGGCACGTTTTCGTTATGAAAACCGATTGGAGAACCTATCAAGGACATCAGAACATACAGCACATCTACGAAGCTCCTAGCATCTCCCGCAACTGTGTCGTAACTTACCGTGTACTGCCTTAAAAATTTGGCTTTCTATCTCACCCACCTAGCAAGGTTCATATACGAGTTTTGCGGCAGTGGCTGGCGGACCGATAGGTTTGCTGCCGATCTTTTCTCATTAAGTTCACCTGCATCCCGGGTAAAGCGACAAAATACGGTAACGAATGCTTGGCTACACTCAGTGACAGGTACCGAGATGCAAGAGGAGCCTATTTCCAGACGAAAATATGCGTATGTAGACATCGCTAGCACGGAGACGAGGCTATGTGGCTCAAAAGAGCGAATGGCTGACGTCAATGGCGGAGCTGCGGTAGTCACAGCACCATCAAGCAGGCAGTCCAGCATGCTATGGATGTGCTTCCGGTACTTTTCCTCACTTTTCGGCGCATGGCCTGGTGGAGAACGTCTTATACTCTCAGGTGGACTGAGGCTGCAGCCATGCAAGTAGCTGTCAGACGACATGATAACCCCTGAACATGGACAGCGCATCTGGAGTTAATCCAGCCTGAATACACGCAGGTTGCAAGTCATGACTGGGTACTTGGAAAATGTCTTTCCGATATCAGCCACGATGTTAGCCCTAGAGTTGTGGATATAAATGAGGCTTTTTCGTTGCACTTCACTGTACCACCTTGCACACGTCTCACCTTCCTCACAACCACCATGAAAGTCGCTACTTTCACTGGGATCATTACCCTTTTGGCCGCACGCTATGTCTCGGCGGATTCTTGCTCCTCTATCGCAGCACTTGGCTACATCAACGTGACCGGGCCACTGAATCTAGCCTACATTGAGGAGCAAACTCAGTATTGGTCTTCGTCATGTTCTGCTCTTTTACCATCTTGTATTATATTTCCAAAAACAGTGGAAGAAGTTGCTGCTGCTGTTGGGATCATTGCCAACACAACTGAACGCTTTGCTGTCAAGAGTGGCGGCCATAGCCCAAACAACGGCTGGAGCAGTGTCAGTGGAGGTCCGCTGATTGCGCTGGAACACCTCGATCAAGCTGTCCTCGATCCTGCAACTGGTATCGTGGACGTGGGCCCCGGCAACAGACTAGATGGCATTGCTGCCAAGCTACAAGGCAGTGGCTGGACTTTCGTTGGCGGACGTATCGGGAATACTGGAGTAGGCGGTCTAGTTCTTGGTGGGGGACTCTCGTACATGTCGACTCAATATGGATGGGCTGCCTCCTCCGTGCTGGAATATGAGATTGTCTTCGCAAACGGTACCATTGGCAAAATCAATGGCGAGAACTATCCGGACATATTCACGACACTCAAGGGAGGTGGCAACAATGTCGGTGTAATCACCAACTACCGGCTTCAGGCGCATCGTCAGGGTCTCATCTGGGGCGGCAACTTGGTTTTCCTACGCACGCCTGAGAAGGACAAGAAGTTGCTGAAGGCGGTACGTGACTTTACCGAGTACAACGAGGATGAGAAGGCTGCTGTGATTGTCACTGCGGAGCGAGCGAACATAAACGTGGTTGACTCATGGATCATCTTTTTGTTCTATGACGGCCCTACGCCTCCAGCCGGCACATTCGACAACTTCATCGATGTCAACCCTCTTCTTGACACGACTCGTACTCGCACATATGCCGATCTCATGGCCTTGAGCAATTGGGTCATCGTCAAAGCTTCAGTCGTCGACATTGCGACCGAAACCATCCCCCTTCCCTCCACCGAAAACGCAGTAGAGGTAATGGAGACGCTGCACAATCACTGGCGCAACATCTCTGAAACTACACTGCTCGTCCCTGGTATCGTCGCTTCAATCGCGTGGCAGCCATTCCAGAAGAAAATCGCACAAAAAGCACGTGCGCTGAGTCCTGATCTGATCGACACAGACGATTCGGTTGACCGCATCATTATCGAGATGAACTACGCCTTCATCCCGCAGAATCTGTATGAGCAGATGGCGGATACGATGGAGGCTACGTATACGGGTGTTCGCGATCGAGTGCTGGCATGGCAGGAGAAAGGCACGCTGCCGCAGGCTTATCTCCCACTGTTTATGAACTATGCCTTCTACCGCCAGGACTACTTCGGGAGATTGAAGCCGGAAAGTCGCGCATTGGCAAAGCGCGTCTCTGAAGAGGTGGACCCGAAAGGATTTTTCCGGGATCGAACGGGCGGCTGGAAGCCTTGAGCTTTGAACACTTTCAAGTCCTCGGCAACTTGCAATTATCCTAGGTTGTGGCCATCAGGCTAGAGGTACGACTCCTCCTTTTGCGTGTTGCTAAGGTCTACATAATTTCTTAATGCATGGGGTATTGTCTGGTCCCCCAAATTACCTCTCCACGACTTGAATGTGCCTGACAGTTCACGTCCGTGTCACTTGAGTTCCATCGCATTTAACGGAAATATATAGATTCTCTACTTATGCAACGACTAGGTCCAGATTATGGACTCCAACTTGCCTGATCATTGCTCAACCTGTACACACCAGGCGACCGAAGAATAAAAGATGCTACTCTGACCGGGTGATAAAATCTACGAACAAGGCGTTACTGGGAACGAATTGGATTCGGTCTAGGATACTTAAAATCCGCATTGTCATCTGCAAGCTCAACAATTTTCGTACCACGAGCTCCAGGAAGCACGTCTTGTCATCATTATCATTCTATTACTCTTCATCCCTGCCTTCGCATTCGAAGCCCGGGCCCGCATCGAACGACCCTAATTCGTTCTTCACGTGTAACTCCCTCCAACAGGTCCCTTCAATCCAAAACAATTCGCAAAATACGTCACCGTAGCGCTCCAATCGCTAAACAATCCTTTGATCCCAATCTGGTTCGCCAACACGTCTAACAACACGTAGTACTGTCCATCGTAACTTGTTACATTCGCGATGCTCTCGAAGTAATACTCCTTTCTTGACTTGACAGTCGCAAGAGGTCCAGAGCGCTCGAACGTCCACGCAATGATATCCATGCCGTTGGCTTTGATGGCCTTTGCGTACTCAGAAGGAACGATGGTGTTGTTGGGCCCTGGACTAACAAGCATGGGTATGGAAGGGCCGATAATGTTCACACCAGCGGCACGCGCAATCGACAAGTTCTTCATGCCTGCAGCGATATCTTCGGGTGTATCAAACTCCTGCAGATAGATTGCTTGGCGCCCAAAGTCATGGTCGTTCTTCAGCCAATACACAATATCATCATAAGTGAAGGATTGAGGCCAGACGCGGTCGCAACTAACGCCTTTTGCGCGGAAAGCGTCGATGAAGTCTTGGGCGTATTGTTGTTGAGTGTAGCCTTTGTAGGGCATAGGGAATGGAGGCGTTTTGAGCTCGGGGGTGAAGTTGCGGTAGCCGGGTTGGGCGTCGACGAAGTCGATGTATTGGTTCAATGTTAGTACTTTGCCGCAAGTGTCGTATAGTTCAGTGCGCCAATTGGGAGTGCCGGCTTGGTAGGCCAAGGGCGTAGTGGCGGAGGCGTTGAAGCCATCTTGTTTGCCGCAAAGGGTGCTGACTGGTTGATGTTAACAAATGAATCGGACGAGAAAGTTCGAAAGCAAGCATACATTCGGCCATGGTGATATCGGACGTACAGCAAAGAGCATTTGCTGGCGACGTCGCGTTGGCTGGGGTGAATGGCTGCGAGCACTTCTTTGCAAGTTCAGGTCGTAAAAGGATGTCGGTGGTGGTGTGTAAGTCGCACAGCGAGTGCCGACATACGAGGCCACGGTCAGATGTGAATGAAACATCGCACTCCAAGATCCCAGCGCCCATGCGAGCACCGGCTTCTTCGGACTGCACAGTCTCTTCAGGGAATTGGAGTGTGCCGCCGCCACGATGAGCGATGCTAAAGTCGCTAATCGCCACTGGCTTGTTCTCACAGGACTGGAGCTTATGCTTCAGTGGTCCATCGGTCATGTTGTTTATGATGTAATAAGGACGAGGTCCGAGAGAAACAAGGTAAGGAGTCTCATGTTTCTGGCTGGTCGGATATGCCACAGCTGCGACCGCGAAGGTCAATGGCAGAATTGACTTCATGATTTGCGGACTGACGATGTTCCCGAAGAACTGACTGGAGAGTTCTTGGTTATCACTCTCCCGCTAGAGCTTCGAGAGAACGCGGTTTTATAGGTAACCATTGTGACGGCTCCCCGGAGATTCGGTAACGAGTCTCGCAACTCAACATCCCGCTCCTTTAACTTATTGCAGGGGCGAGATGGTTTCTGACCAAACAGAAATGGAAGTGCTGGGATGAACACAGGAGCTTGCAGAAGCTTAAGCCCAATTGGCTTCCTAGTGCAAAAGCTTGACATTTCCTCTAGTCTGGTTATGGGGACTCTCAGGCCTGGACTGATAAGGAACATGGCCGAACACACGTGGGCGGGCGACGGTTGAAGAGTTGGAAAATTGTGGAAGAGTTCATGTGCCAATGAGGCCCGCACGTGGGGGTAATTGCCGGCTTACAGGGATGACATCATCATTTGCTTCAACACCATCTGTGCGGTACGACACGGAGCTAGGATACGGCTGGTGCTTCCGGAAAATAGCGCAGATGTTTGCGGATGTTGAATGTTGAGAATCCCATGGTTTGAGCGTAAGCATACAGATACCTCAAAGGATGACTTCTTACATTCAATGCATTGAAGCGTCCATCGCTCGGTACCACAGCAGTGCATTTGCCCCATGAGTACGTATTTTCAACATCTATCTGCGCTCATATACCAAATATACCTTCCTTTAATGTACGAGCGTCTCCCTTCACATCATTCGCAGCTGATGGGACCTCGATCGATCCATTCGTAATTTTCGTACCAGGTGGCAGCGCATGATGCGCTGAAGGCAGCTCAGGATGGTGTTGATCACGAGCACCTGCCAGTTGATCTGGATGTATGCCGAACCATATCCATATCGCATATTCTGCTGGGACCTGTAGCTTCACGCGATCCGCGCGATCAAGATCCTTATGGTCAAGAGCTTTCCGCAAAGACGACCAGGTCGATATGCCCACCCACGAGTCCGTTCCGGGATCACAGAATTGAAGCGCTGTAGATGGAAGTGTGGTCCTGGCAACTGTGGCTCCATGGTGCGCCTCGAGTTTGATCTCGAAAGGCTCAGCTGCAGGCTGATCGAGAGGAGAGGCTAGTGCGTGGAGGCATCCATGCTCCGTGGGGCCATTTGCACGAGCGTTGGTGCAAATTAGAATGTCGTTACGGGTACATCTCAGAGCGGGAGCACGACGGCAATCTTTGAACTGGCATTTTGTCCTGCGAGTGAAACGAGAAGTTAGTGAGGTCGTGGACCTTGCCCGTCGCACTGGTATCCGAACTTGACAATTTGGTCGTGACTTTAGTGCATCAGCAAGAATCCACGGACTGATACCGTGGCTCTGAGGTTTGACTCCTTTACCCGAAGAGTGTGTTCTAAGGAGGGCGATTCGCAGAATGTCGACAAGCTCAGGCGATTGCCAAGCGTCGAAGTATTCTCCAACTCTCCAAAACAGATCGGCAGTGCTTTCGCCGTAGTCAACTTGGAAAGTGTGGTTGCCCGATATCAGTCCAAGAAGACTATAGATGCGATCTCGTTCGTCTGCGCACTCTGCTCTTTTGTGCATATGCACCAGATCCCAAAAGTCATGACGACTACGCTCATGTCGTAACCAATCGACAGTTGCTACCTCTTGGTGAGACTTCTCCCATTGATCGAGCCAGAATACCCATAGTTGAGCTGCCGACTCTTGGTCAAGGTGTTCGAGGTCTGTAGTCCTTGCCACAGCACGACCTAGTAAACGATAGTCTATCGCAACGTTCGGCAACACCACTTTCAGATCCTTTGCAAGGAGCACTTCCTGTACAATCCATGCGCGGTACCAGTATGGGTCGAATCGTATTCTGTTCCATTGTTCGCGTAAGCCTGTGGGGCACTCCTCCCACTTCTCGGACTTGAGCCATTCGTGGAGTTCACGACCCGACTCGTGGCTTTGCCCCAGCCAAATATACACTTCTTTTGCTTTGATGTAAATGTCGCCCATCTGCTGAACCTGATGGCTGCGCTCCTCCAAAGAATCCTGATCTATACAAATAGAGTCGATCCAGAGTGCCTCAGTGAGACTGGCATCTGCCCTTGGATTGAGTGCATAGAACTCTTCCAGGAAGGCATGTAAGTTGTTTCCTACGCGGAAAAATTTGCCATTAATCAGGATTTCATGTCGCTGTGCTTGATTGCCCCATCGATAAGACAAGCAACGATAGGAAGCGCTCTCAACCTCATCGTGCCAGAGTGAGAGCTGTAAGTGACCTTCCTTGGAGCGATCAGGTTGGACTTTGATGAGGCGAAAAGATCTACTTGTTCGGTTCAGTTCTTCGTGTTTGAATGACCTTCTTTCACTGCGTTTTCCACAGTCCGCTAACGGCTGAGTCGGAGAACCTATTATCATTGCATGACCAGGCGAATTTGACGTTCGAGGCCCCGGTGTCTGTCAGGTGTCGCGCACCGTTGGCGAAAAGCGCAGAATCGGGAAATTGGTTGGAGCAGTATGATTACTTTTTCATTTAATTTATTTTTATGTACATTAGCGTCGCTATCCACGAGCTGGTACACATGCGATCGAGTTGCGGAATTCTTGTGGAACGAATGATGAGATAGTGAGGCGGAGCAGACATGGAAGGCGCTCCCCGCACCCCTCAAATGGAGGACGCGGCTAGGCGTGCAGGCGCTTACTATCAACACGACCCGCACTTGCGTCATGAAAAGCACGACTCGACACAATGTTCACTACAAACTTTGGTTTGCGAATCCCATAAGTCTATACTCTGATCATGTTAAATCTTTCAGAAACATAGAAATGAACCACGCCTAGAAACAGGAAGTTTTCTCAGACTATGACGCTTGCGATCAATCTTCATCAGAGCTCCGGACAAACTCCTCAAATTTGTCTTCGTCTCCATCAATCTCTTCAGGCATATGCATAATGAGAGACGATCTACTCGAAGGTGAGAAGCAAGATGACTGGCTCGAAGCAGTCATCAGTAACTTCAACACCCCACCATTCTCCTGCTTTTGCCTCTTGTTGAACACCTTGATTAACCTCTTGATCTTGCTAATGAACTGTAAAATTTCCTCTTCATATTCATCGTCGTAGAAGTCCACCGAGTCGATCAGAATGAAGATTGCGCTATAGCGTCGCCTGATGTTACGAAGCAATTGAGCAAGGCCAGAAAGATAGGTGTCATAATCATCGGCCTGCATATTCTGCACATCTTGCACGCCGAGGAACGATAGCAGTGGATTGCCGTTGGCGTCTTCGCTGTCATCTCGTGCATTTAGAGCAAGAGCTTGGCCGAAGATTGTCTTGGCCATGATAGCTGGTCCTGAGATTTCGCCGTCAGTATGCAGGCCGCAGAAAAATGAGAGGGCGAGAGTATCCGGTAGCTTTTGAATGCTCTCCCTCAGGAGAGTGATAAAGTAGGAAGCCGGTGTCATCTTCTCGAAATCACCGTGTCCCTGGATGAAGATCGCAGCAGAACAGTTCGAACTCATCCAGTCTCGGAACTCATCCGCTTTGCCAATGTATCCGGAGCGACCTTGGAATGTGAGCGACTCATCAAGGCCGAAAGTCAGAACCGCCCTTAGGTCCTTGTTGTGTTCGGCCTGAGTCAAGTCGATCTCCAAGGACGCTATGAGGGTTCTGGGAGTGTTTGATGTCCGATGTAGCAGATTGGAGAGCCTCCTGATCTCATCATCTGTCGAGTCTGTTAATTATAGAGGAAATACACTCATGGAGATGATCTGACCTTTTTCTTTACTCTTTGCTTCGTGATCTTGTGTCATCTTCTCACGCAACCGCCTCTCTTCCGCTACTTCCTTATTCCCTTGAATCGTGATGAGCATATTCTTGGGCTAGCTATGCCGGTTCTGGTGCAACTTACATTGTGCATTCTTCCCCTGGTCTACAAGAATTTCCATGATCATGTCCGCCTTTTTGGTAAGCGTTTCCGCCTTTTGTGTAAGTATCTGTACGCCAGCGTTTGTGTCGAGTGTCACTGCAAGATTGAGTTTCGCCCTCGCAGCGAGATATATCGAAGCTTCTTTCATGAATTTACGTTTCGAATACTCGATTTTGTTGATGTGCAAATCAATGGACTGGCCATAGGCATCGTTTTTTAGTAGGCTATCGCGCACGCGCTCTGGAGAAGCAGGTTAGAAGCTAGCACTTTGACAAGACCAATGGTAGTTCGATCTTTCTCAGGAGACATTCTTACTTGCGGATGGTTGACTATACCAGTGAATGATGTCACCAAGTGCCATAAGAAGGTGAACGTGTATCTCGTTGATGCAGGCGCGCAAAGAATTGTTGCCCTGGTAGATGTTGCCGTACTTTTCACACTCGATCACGGTATCGGGTATTTCCTCCAGCAAGCTTGCCATTTTTTCACGCAGTTCTTTGTGGCCCATCATCGCCTTTGATATAAATTAGCTGCGTCAGACTTTGCATGGGCTACCAATACCGTCAGGATCAAGGTCAGACCACCACAAAGAGTCTTGTAGTTGCCATCTGGAAGAAGTCCCACAAAAGCTTTGATGGAGGCGCTATGGTCGCCGAATTTCCGGAATGCACTACGAAACTTTCCCGATTTGCTATCGCGACTTTCGTATTGCTTAGCTGCCAAATCCATAGTTCTCATCACCTCCTCCCAATTGTCGCAAGCACTCAAGCTGAAATTTTTGATCACAGAATTCTGCGACTCTTTTGACTTGAGCGTGTTTATAGTATTAGCGAAACTTTCTGTCGTCTTGATAAGATGCATGTTGCTCTCCTCCAGCTCCACATCTGTTAAAGACATTGCACTGCGAGCGTGAGGCAGCGATGCTGTCTTTGAGACGAATCTATGACGCTCCACGTCGAAAACGCATGGAAGTTCACCGGCAGGATCGCAGAGGTCGGTATCGCGGTTTTCGATGAAGTCCACTGCAAGCGGCTGTCGAGAAGGACTAGGGAAGGAATCAAAGCTGCGCTGGGCCATCTTTGACAATTAGAACCACAGCAGCAAATTCATGCAGACTAAATATTAGGGATTCAAACGGTCAGCCGAAAGGTAGAGAGTATGATGTACCGCTGAGGCAACGTCTCGTCAGGCTGGGGAGGAGCGAACTATCTGAAAACCGGGAGGCTCGCGAGGCTGAAAACTGATTACACGTGCATCACCAATAGCTGTGCAATCTACTACACCTGTGCGATCTCTTACCGTGCGCCTTACCAACTCCGGCGATTACAGCCCCAAGCTGCTGACATTCCTTCGTACATGCCTGGGCGCATTTGTGTCCCGTTTCACGTCGCTACCTTGAGTAGGTACGGCTAATTGGGGGCGCCGTGGTAACAAATCTGTATCTACGCTTCTACGAACACAGTCCTCCGTTCTAACGTCGAATGGCTATCTAAGCATTGTCTGCATATTTTTGTCGGTTTAGGTCACCTCGGTGGAGGGATTGCGAGTGGTGCCCTCCGCTTATCTTGCGCCCCCAACGCTGTGAGATGCAGGCTAAAGTGGGCCCTGGCCTATCAAAAGCAATCTCTCTCCGCAACGTGCCCCGATTATGGTTGCAATCAAATCACCAGGTTCGATGGCAAAATTGCATTAAGAGCGTGCTGACCTGCATCATGCAGCAAGCTTGGAACTCATCGGAGCTGCATCAGCATCTGTTCACCGGTCGACACTTTTGACCATTTAATGGCATAGCGCCTGAATACTTCGTTGCTTCTATACTCTCTAGTAATTTGTAGCGTGGTTTGAATCTCTACTTGCATTGTGCTCCTCGCGATCTGCAATCCCCCAACTGTTACATCCACGTCTTGGTTAAATTGAGATGGCTCTGCTTGACGAGTTCCACGTACAGATTGATCCGAACGGTGTGGCTGACCCTGTCGGTTAGTATAAACACACTCCTTGAATGTGTTCCGCTCTCAAATGGTCACTGATGTGGAAGCCAGATAAACCTGATGTCTCAACAGAGGCAAATGATGAATCTCCGGAACATACTGCCGAATTCTCCCAAAACCATCCGATAGACTCTGGCTCCGGCGATGGCGTCTCATCCAAACAAATGTCAGCGGAATGCGAAGGTTCTCCCAAATTACAACAAGTTAACACCAATGAGGATGGGCAGGCTCTAGAAAAGAACAATAGCAAAGACCCAGACGGAGAATACGACGAAGACAACATTAGTGATGGAGAGAGCATCGACCAGATCGATGAGTACTTAATAATGAACGAAACAGATTATATTCGAAAGAGAGATCAAGACAAGACCATTGATGAAGAAAGCGTCGACGAGAAGATGGCAGATTTGAGAATGCGACATCGGGACCTGGAGAAACGTATCAAGCTTGCACCAAAAAGACTGAAGCAAAACAATCAGTATACAAGGATTATCGAGGAAAGAATTAGCCTCTTGGAAGAGCGGTGCTTCGCATTTGACAACAAGATACTGAAGGCAAGTGGGATTCTTGTCCCACCTGATCTGCCCGAAGTAAAACCACCTGCGACATCGACTCTCAATCCTGACCTAGGTTTCAAGTTCTGGAAAGACTTCTCCAGTAAAGCGTCACCCACAAACATCATTGACGTGCTTATTGGGGAGCCAGCGGCCACGAGATCGGAGATGATTCGGCGCAAGAAGGCCTCTACTAGCATAGGACAGGACGCAATATCTTTGTTGGAAGAAGAAAGGAGTGCGAATCGGATGGAATCATCCGAGGGACGCAATTTGGACGAAGAGGTCGCTGAGCTGAGAGGGACACAACTGCCCGAGAGGATCCGTTTCAATGTTTCTTCGATACCACGACTCTTCTGGAAATCCTGTAGCGGTGAAGTATACGACGACATAATGCTTCGTCCGTTTAAACCGCTCATCCGCAAAGCAGATGAGATTCATGAGGTTATGTTCTCCATGCAAAATGCATTGACCGCCATGATCACTGAGCGTGTGGCGTCGCGACAGGATGGGAGCACACAGGACTCCAAGCCAAACGGAAAAGCCATTGATGAGGATGAGAAGACTGAGAACCCGGAAAATCCGGAGAAACCCGAAGAGACAGACCTCATCACAAAAGCCGAATGGGAGACGATAGTGAGAGACTTCAACCTCTACCACTGCGAAGACTGTATGAAGGCAATGGCGCTAGAATGGCCGAAATTATCCGCCTTTGAACGCTCTTGTTCTAGTGTCCGAAATCTTCTTGAAAGCATCATACTGCCTGTCCACCAGAAGTTTCGTACGCGCCGGACACAAACCCTACACTTTCAAGATCTGTGGCATCTTTTCCAGACTGGCGATTTGATCGTGGATAAGATGCATACACAAAAGGCAGGAAACTCACTATCAAGTGTCAAATGCAGGAGGGTGCTTCTTACCCGTGGCGGTAGACGTGTTTTACATCCCAGTTTCCCGCCACCCCTTCTTCCCTGGACGGGGTCGTTTCTACAAAAAGAGGAAGAACCATTGGCTCCGATCAACGGAATAAACGTTTTCGCTATTTACGCTTACTATCTGGACTTCGACGGCTCAGTGTGGCGTCCTGTGCGCGAGCGGTTCGTCATCCACCCATACAGTGGGGAGCGAAATATCACAGATCTTGAGATCTACCCCGTCGAGTACGCGGATGACACGGAAAAGAGGCTTCAAGAGAGAGGCAAGAGATTCCATGATCTCGTGACGGCGAAAACAGTACCCTACGTCGACTGCACGGGCATCGACCTCGATACAAAGGAAGAGATCAACGACAAAGTCATCGTTGACGTTAGAAGCTATTTCAACTCTGAAGGGACCGAGCTCGCGCCTTACATGCCCCCTAGCGCGTTGAATGTATCTGAAACAAGCGATTGCTATTTTGGGATGGATTGCACATCGGATGAGTCTCGATGCCTTCACCGGAAGCAAATGATAACTCCTGACCAAAGTTCCGACTTGGAAATCTATCAAGATCACATATACGGAAAGTTGGAGTTCAATGCCGTTCCATATGATCTCAAACTCTGGGTGCCTGATTTTGCCATCTGCCACTATCGGATTTTCGCCTACAAGCTACAGTCTCGTGACTGGGGTATGTGATCATCAAACCTAGTTTCATGAAATGAATGCTAACAACATGCAGTACAGGTAGAAGTGCAGAGCCTCAAAGCTCCAAAGAAAAGAGACATGAGTCAGGGTTTCGATTTACTTGTGCTGCCTGAGGATCATAAACAAATCATCGAGTCTCAAGTTCGAGAACACTTCCGCAAAAGGGGTCAACAAGGCCAGAGAGGAGGCGACACTGATGACATAGACCTCGTCAGAGGTAAAGGTCAGGGTCTAATTATATTGCTACACGGTACTGATTCAAGTTTCAAAGCCCTACTGCACTGAGCTAACTACATCCAGGCGCACCAGGTGTAGGCAAGACTTGCACTGCCGAATGCATCGCCGAATTGATGGGTAAGCCACTCTATCCCATCACATGCGGAGATCTTGGTAGCACTGCACAGGAGGTGGAGGTAAATCTCAGAAAGCACTTCACGCTTGCTAGCAAATGGGACTGCGTGATGCTGCTCGACGAAGCCGACGTATTCCTCGCACAAAGGAAAAACGAAAACCTTGAGCGCAATAGTATTGTCTCTGTATTCTTGCGCATGCTTGAGTATTACAAGGGTCTTCTCTTTCTCACCACAAATCGTGTGGGTGCTTTTGACGAAGCCTTTAAGTCTCGTGTTCACATCTCGTTGTTTTGTAAGTGCAAAATTCTCATTGTCACTCTAGCAAACCAAGATCATCCCCCACGATCACACGAATGATCATCACAGACGGCCACCACAAACCCTCCCTGTAGAAGAATATCATACACCTACTAACATGTCACAACAGATCCAAACTTCGACAAAGAGACAACCATCCAAGTGTGGAAAACCTTCATCAAACAAGCCAAAAAGAAACTCGACTCTGAAGGCCGCAAAAACGTAACCGTTGCCTCAAGCGAAATCAAGAAATTTGCCAAAGCCCACTGGGAAGAAAATCCCAAGGCGCGCTGGAACGGGCGCCAAATCCGCAACGCCTTCCACACCGCTGTCGCCATGGCCGAATTCCAAGCGCGCGAGAAGGAAACAGACGAGGGCTATGATGCAAACAAAGACGTCAAGATCACCATTGGCCGCGAGCAATTCGAGAAGATTGCGAAGACGGCGAAGGAGTTTGACATTTATATGAAAGATACGTTGGGCGATACATATGATGGGAAGGCGTCGAGGACGGGAATGAGGAAGAAGGAGAAAGAGGCGGAGAGGAAGAGGGAGAGGGAGAGAGAGGATGCGAAGGCGAGGGAGAAGAAGGGGAAAGCGCCAAAGAAAAAGGATGACTCGAGTGATGAGAGCGATAGTTCGGAGGAGGATGTGAAGGAGAAGAGTGGGTCGAAGAAGGCACGAGGGAAGAAGAAGAGTGAGACTGAAAGTGAGAATAGCGACTCAGGTTCAGAGTAAGGTCTCAATCGTGCCGAGAAGATGGGTTAGAACATTTCATGTAGTTGATCGCAATCTTGATTTTCTAGTACACATAATCGCTGCGCTGTTGCAATCGATGCGCAGTATGATCGTGATCATGCGATAGTCGTGGAAGTTACAAGAACAATGAAGGTGGAATTAGACCGGGCCCCATTAGCCCATGCCGTATCCTAGCATTGCCAATACTGTGGTGTAGTCTAGCAGATGGGCACGTGATGAAATGATGAGGTGGGCAGCTAAATATATTAGGTGCCTAGTGATTAACCAATGAGCGGAAGGCTTATTGTTAGTCCAACTCACTAAGGACTCTAGAGTAATAGGCAAGCAGACGTGCACGTGATTAACGAGGAGACGTGATCAACGAGGAGACGTGATTAACGAGGAGCCAGGCCATCGACGAGCCAGGCTATTAACGAGGAAACGTGCTTTAACGAGACGTGCTTCAACGAGATAGGCCTTTCAGAGGCCAAGGGGCTGTGAGTAACTCCTTCCACAACTCCTCACGACTCCTCACGTAACGCGCTTAGACTACCTTATCAATAGGAAGGAACATCAAAACGACGGGCACGGACGAAAAATGTCGTCTTTGCACAGCGACAGCGAGGGCTATAGGCAATATTTTTTTTCCGGAGTTAGATTGGAAAGTAAGGGCGATTTAGGTGGTCCTAGGGAAAAATACTAGCCTTTCGGGACCGCTGCGCAGTGAGACCGACATTCTAAACTATATCTTAGATAGCTGCCCATTCTCTTGTGTTGACTGTGTTCAATATTCTCCAACGTCGTAATTGGCTGTATTTAGCACAGAATACAATGCCTTACGGTACACGCTCCCAGCCTAAATCATTCGCGATCACACAATATCCACGATTCTGTACAAAGCAAACACTTTGACAAGGCTGTTATATCTACACTGAGATATTGTACAATGTCTCTACGTGTCTTTGGCATTGGACCACTTGCGGTGAACGCATTTCTCAGCTAGAGCTCTAAACCAACCCCTAGGCTAGCTTCATAGAACAGCACAGTTCAACAAAACTCTTCTGAGGTGTAGGTTATCCAGAATACTTGGCACATTTTATAAAACTATACCCGCATTGTCATAGATAGACCGTGCAATGCGCTGTAAGCACACAATTCGACACGTTTTTCAGCACAAGCTACGCTCTACTCACAGCACGTGGCTTAAACAGGCCCAAAACCTACGATAGCGCACTATCAACTTAATCAAGACATCGTAGATAATTCTTCGCACGCTACCATTAGCAGGGCGATCCACGTAGCTTAAAGCTTGTACGGCAGTACACTAGCACGCAAGTGATAAATGTTCAATACGAAAAGCTAGACTTGTTAATATTTACCCTGCTATTTCGAATAAAGATACACAATCCTCTTTTCGTGATATAATTATTGTCCTCCCAATACGTGGAATAGACCCTGAATTCTAGCCGTTGTACAGCTGTCTTCGTGTAGCACTTGAGCTATTCGATTGTCATCGACGGAGCAACATTACCTAGACAGAAAGCATAGTTTTGTTGAGCATTCTGAAATAAAATGTACAATGCAGACTTGGGCGCTTTCTTGAGGCTGCTTAAACGCTACCTGTAATGAACGAAATGATTTTCGAGGTAACGCCATAGTAAGAGCTATCGAGAGCAGCTAGGAGGACCATCGTCATGCAGAAGATACAGATCTCTAGTCGAGCATCGCACCTGAAAAGTACTTTGTGCTACCCGCAACATGCAACAAGAAGTCGGACAGACCTGTTTTCATCACACAGACTAGTCGTCAACTTCGGCGCAACTGTTGCCTGTAGCGCCCAGGTGGCGATGAGTACAGAGCGTTAAAACACATCATTTGAATCATTCTTGCACAACTTCCAGAGGCGGGACAATTCGGTACGACTCGTCATTTCCCCATTGCAAGTCTTGTCAGCATAAAGTATATACAGGGTTCCCCGCCATCCCACGCTGACATGCCAATATTTCACCACGCATGTATGCTACCTTTCCTGGGTCCGTACATGATACAAGTGCACGAATTCGGAAGGACATTTCGTCTCGAGGCAAGTGGTCCAGTTCATCACGGCTACTAGTCGAGCAGCCCCGTTTGACCCCTTGGAAATCCCAAAGGATCGGGCACTTGGACAGGTATTGGTGCATTTCGAGCCACTTGCATTATGACGGAGAGCCAAGCCTTGATGCGGTGGTGGTTCTTGCTGTTGTATGTAGTATCGAATCATCTTACCATGCATCATGGTCGGCGAATAGTATACCGCAAAGAGGACGTCCAAACCCGTGCCCTGAAGCGCGTCGTCGGGAATGAGTGGAGATCCAAGAAGCTCAAGACGAACTGTCGAATCGTTGTTTCTTGTGCTGTGGGGCGGGACCTCCCGTGCCCTGTCTACCGCAGTGCAGGAAATTCCAGCGATCCACTTCAACCACCTCTTTCATCGACGAGCATGCATTTTCGCGCGGACAAGAGAGGGGGTGTCGGTACACGGCACGAATCTCTCCAGTCGCCCTTTAGCCGGCTGGTTTGGGACGCGTCTGGTGTCGTTACCCCACACGATGCTGCAGGGAAGGCTCTGCGGAAGCGGACAGAAGTTTGCAGTGCATAAGCGAAGACGCGCCTGCATGGTGGGCAAATCAGTTCTGTCACATGCTGGAGCAAGCTGACGCCATTATGGCGACTATTTGCGCCGCTGGTGAAAACGACGCGTCGCAATTGCAGTTGGCGAACAGGAAAATGTGCATTTCGATGTGAGAGTGGTGCGGTGAAAGTGGCGGGTGGGCTGAAAGGGGACTTTGGCCTTAGCGCGATGACGTTGGGTCGCCGTTTTGAGGAGGGCTGTCGAGGTTCTCGAAGCCGGATCCAGCAAACTTTTTCCAGTTCCACGCCAAAGCGTTGAATGCTAGTCGCGTAGCCCTACCATCGCCCTGACCTGACAGACTTTCTCCGTGACCATGCCTGCGACAGTGAATAGCAGGCTTGCCCCCGCCAACTGCCGCAGCTCAACGCGCTCTGGCCATATCAAATCACGGATCCACTCCGGTGCTGTTCCACGGTTCCGCTACCCACCAGACTGCACTTCACCCACGAGCACCCTCTTCACCCACTGAGCTCTACTAAACCGAGCTTCCCTAGGCCAAGGCGATGCTGGGCCTAACAACTTAGTCGCGCCTTCCCCATTCTTTCCCGTAATAGCAAGAGCAATGCCGCGCCTTCCCAACCGCGACGCTGAACAGCAACTGCCCTTTACGGGCGACAATGTCGACGACACCGACTTCTCACATGACCTGTCGCACGCAGAAAATGGAGGCGCACATCCACGCACACGATCCATAAGATCTCAGTCCATCACAGCACAGTCGCTGTCAGGATCGTACTCGCGCAACCCAGTGCGGTCCTTTGCGCACCAGACGTCGCATAGCTTTGCTGGTTGGACCACCCCACTCCCTACATACAAGCAACCATTGACGATATTAGATACGCCCCAATACTCCTCGTCACAGGGCGTGCGCGAGAGGAGCGCCCAATTGGCTTCCTATGCCCTCGACGCCGAAGAGTACCAAGATCGACCGCACCGCCAAAGCTTCGCCGAGACCGATGCCGCTTCGGGAAGGCATGCAGCACTCCTATCAGAGTATGCTGGAGGCAGGGCGTCACCTGACTCCGCATGGGCAGATACCATAGACGAGGACAGCGAGCCAGAGACGCCAGAGACGGTCATTGGGCCAGATGGACACGATCGCAACTTCTTCACTCCGTCTTCGCGGACAGGATATGATGCTCAATCACGGGATCCACGCGGAGCTCCGCATAGTTCGAGAGTGCCTAATGTGCGGGTGCAGGATACAGAGCGGACGCCCCTCCTGCCAGTGCCAAGACTATCCCGGCTGGAGTCGCAGCCCAAGCAGACGTCCAAGCAGGATCCGACACCGTCAGATTCCAACGCCTCGGGCATATCCTACCGAATCAAGGAGACATTCTTCACTGGACGGCAGCATGTCGTCGAATTTCGCCGAAGCTTGACGAACCCGAAAAACTACACCAAGGATGCTCTCGCTTCGACCGCACTGACCAGTCTGGCCATGACATCAGCTGTCTTCCTGGGTCTGTTGCTGAATCTGCTGGACGCACTCTCATATGGCTACATTCTGTTCCCGCTAGGCGCGCCCATATTTAGTCAGACCGGACCAGATGGCATCTCCATCTTCTTCGTGAGCTGCATCGTCTCCCAGCTATGCTACTCGTTAGGCCTCTCGTCTTTCAAGGGTGGTGTTGGCTCTGAGATGATCGAAGTCGTGCCATTCTTCCACAAGATGGCTTATTCTATCATGGAGCGGATGGAAGGCCAATCTCCTGAAGCCATCATCGCCACCACCATCGTGGCCTACTGTACCAGCTCCGTTCTCACTGGACTCATCTTCTTGGGTCTTGGCTCATTCAAGCTCGGCAATCTGGTCAGCTTCTTTCCCCGACACATTCTCATTGGCTGCATTGGAGGTGTCGGATTCTTTTTGGTGGTCACTGGCTTCGAAGTTTCCGCACGCATAGAGGGCAACCTCAACTATGATCTAGAGACATTGCAAAAGCTTTTATCCGCCGATACGTGGTATTTGTGGTGTCTTCCTCTCTTCCTCGCCGTCTCCATCATGCTGCTTCAGCGCATGGTCAAGAGTCCGTTCGTACTGCCAGCGTTTTTTGTTTGCGTCTTCGCGATCTTCTACATCATCGTCGAGGGCATCTTCCGCATGGATCTCGAGGTTGTTCGTAACGCTGGATGGATCTTTGAGCGGCCCGAGGCAGGTGTCCAGTTCTACAGATTCTATTCTTATTTCAGTAAGTGCATGTCTAGACCATTGATGGCCGAAGTGCTAATAGTCATTGCAGAATTCGGCAGCATCGATTTCGGTGCACTGGCCAGCACCATTCCCACCATGTTTGCCCTTTCATTCTTCGGTATCATCCACGTCCCAATCAATGTGCCGGCATTGGGTGCGGCCGTCAAGGAAGACAATCTCAACGTCAACCGCGAACTCATCGCCCATGGCATCTCCAACACCCTGTCCGGACTTGTTGGAAGCATCCAGGTATGTCCCTCTGATATCTCATCAAAGCTTTCCATCATCTAACATCATTCGTAGAACTACCTCGTCTACGCAAACAGCGTCATGTTCATCAATAATGGAGGTGACAGCCGAACTGCCGGTCTGCTACTTGCTGCGGCAACAACTGCAGTGTGGATCGCCGGCCCAGCAATGATTGGCTACATTCCCATCTGCCTGGTCGGATCCCTCATCTTCCTTCTTGGCATCGACCTCATGAAGGAAGCGTTGTGGGACACCTGGGGCAAATGCCACAAGTTCGAGTACCTGACGATTCTTGCGATCGTGCTGATCATGGGCGTCTACGATTTTGTCGTCGGCATCCTTGTTGGTATCGTTCTTGCTTGTGTCAGCTACGTGGTTCAGAGCTCCCGTCACCCAGCGCTGCGGGCATCCTACAGCGGTGTTGTTGCAGAGTCGACAGTACGACGACCTCGTGCTGATGTCCGATACCTCAACAAGGTTCGCGGTCAGATCCACGTGATGAAGCTTGGCGGCTTCCTATTCTTCGGAACTATAGTGTCTGTTGAAGAGGATATGCGTGCGCTAATTCAGGAAGACACTTTCAGAGAGCAGCCCGTTAGCTTCATTATTGTCGACTTTACGCATGTCACTGATGTCGACTTCTCCAGTTCAGAAGGCTTCCAACGCATCAACCGCATCCTCTCACGGAAGAACGTCAAGATGGTTCTCTCTGGTGTCTCCTTCGCAAACCCAGTCGGACGCGCCTTGCGCAGTGTGGGTCTTCTAGACGAAGAAGAAGGCAACGAAGAATGTCCTCCACCCCAAGTATTCGAAGACCTCAACACAGCCCTCGAATCCTGCGAAAACGAACTCCTCGAGGTCTTCCACAAGCACTGCAACTCCGCCTCCAAGCGCCAACAAACCACCCCGCCTATGAGCATCAACGGCGCCTCAACCGCCTCGGAGCAAATCCCCACTGGCGGCACACCCACCTCCTCCTTCGGCGCCAGCTCCCTCAACCCCGCCTTCTCCTCCCCCCGCCGCGGCGCCCGCCTCGTCGCCGCACGCTCCACCATGCGCGAAGCCCACACCGCACACGACACGCTCTCCATCCCGTCCACCGAAACCTCCTCCACCCAAGCCCCTCCCTCGCGCTGGAAAAACTTCTCCCAACCCCTCAAGATCATCCTCCAGACGTTTGAGGATATCTCACCCAAGAACGAGGACTTCTGGCACGCCGTCGCCCCGTACTTTGAGCGCAAGGAATATCCCGCGGGCACTGTGCTGTATTCGCGCGGCGACGACCCGGATGGCTTTTATATCCTGGAAAAAGGACGGTTTCGCACCGAGTACTCGCTCGACCAGGGGAGTTTCTTCGAAGTCATTCTGCCAGGCACGACGTGTGGCGAACTGCCCTTTTTTAGCGAGACGGATCGCACGGGCACGGTCGCGGTCGAGGAGGATAGTGTGGCGTGGCTGATGACAAGAGACAGGTATAGGGAACTTGAGAGCAAGGATGCAGCTGTTAGTAGCGAGTTGCTCAAAGTGGGGTTGAAGTTGACCAAGGAGCGGATGGATGCTATTACGAGTTATGTACTTGTTACTGCGTCGTAGAGGAGGGGAAGAGGGTGGTCTTCTGTTTCTTGTAGATTGTTAGAGGAGGTTGGGTTTGGGAAAGGATAGGAAAATTTGGGGGTGTTGTTTGTCTTCATTTGCATTGTGTTTGGATTAGCATGGGGTTTTGGTGGTTATTTGAGATGGAAATTTTGTGAGGAATTTGAAGAGTTTGAAAGAGGTGATTGATGTTCGTTTGTCGCAGGATACATTATATAAGAGAGTGTAATCACGTTCTATTCTTTGCTATGCAGTACTCAGTTCGTGAATGACAAATTGTCGCTGCCTTGTTTCTGCCTCAGCCTCACGCACGAAGGAAGGCGCAGGCTGTGCCTAGCGCGCTCACCTTTATACAGCCTGCTCCCCACTCCTCTTTCTTCCTACCTCCTTCATACCCTTCTTCCCACTGTCCTGGCCGTCCGACATGATCCCCGACAATTCCGAAGACGCCGGACGACGCTATTGCCAGCTCCGCCTTGATGCGGCTACGGCTTCCGGGCCGCCCCACTTCGACTACCAGCCGCTCCCGCCGCGACACATTCGCATCATCGAACTCCAGCCCGGCGAACGATCGGATCCGTTTCGAGCGCGATTTATTGTTGGTTCGCTCGACGAGCCGTTCGAGTACGATGGCCTGTCGTATATGTGGGGTGACGCTGCACCTGTTGATCGTGTGGTTGTCGACGGTGCGGTGATACCAATTGCGTGGAATCTTGCGAGGGCGCTGGAGTATTTGCGCGACAATATGAATCCGGAGCCTCTTAGGATTTGGATTGACGCGATTTGTATCAATCAACATGACGATGCCGAGCGCGCGAATCAAGTCGGTTTGATGCGGCTGCTGTATAGGAAAGCGGAGTGTGTTCGGATTTGGATCAACGAACCTGATCTGGATGAGGAAAGCGAAGCATTGGCTGCATTGCGGAAATTCCAAGTACGGGAAGAAGAGCAGAAGTTCGGTCTCGGCGATGATCCGGACTTCTGGGATCCCATATTGCCGATCCTGGAGAATGAATACTGGAGTCGAGCATGGATGTCAGTAGCCATATGCAAGAGCAGTAGGATCTGTCGGCTGACTTAGCCTTTCGCGGCGTGGTAGACAGCAAGAGATCATAAACGCCCGTTTTCTGATACTGCACTGCATGAACGCCTCAGTAATCGGTACTACAGTATTCGAGTTCCGTCGAGCTGTAGAATTGCACTTGACTAGATTTATCGGCGTTTATCTTAACATATCGGTCTATGTTAAACTATGGCACAGCGATCGGTCTCCAAAAGCGCAAGAAATGTTCGCTTTTCACGGGGAGGCAAGACAACGATACAAATTAATTCACCTCCTCCATGATAAGGAGGGCTTGCTGGTATCAAGAGAGCATGACCGTTTCTACGCTATCATGCACCTGGCTAAAGATTACCGGGATGGAGACCTTGCAGTTGACTATACAAAGAGTTTGGAACAAGTCATGGTCGATGTCGCTACTCATCACATTTCACGACATCAAGATCTTGAGTTCCTGCTTCAAAGTTTCCCGCCCATCGAGGATTATTTGGATTCTTGTGAAGGCTTAGCTCGTCCCTCTTGGATTCCGAACTGCTGGCTAGGGAGGAAGGACACTGGAGCTGTAATTGCTAGCAGGGGTATGATATACAGCCAGTGCAGTCACAAATCTATTGACATGAGTACCATGCGCCTCAGTGTTCGTGGGATCAAGATTGACAGATTACGAAAGCTCTTCAAATCCGAGCAGATCTTTCGGGAAATGACTGTTGTGCAATTCTGGGCCTCGGCACTTGGCCAACATTTACAGCCATACATGTCCGACAACGCAGCGGGCTTGCCACATGATATCTACTATACCCTTTCTAGCTACTGGTTGCTCGAAGATTTCGACCACGAGTTTTTAAAGGCCGCTCTCGCATATCTGTACGAGCTCAATCAAGTCGCAGAGCTCACGAATATCAACATTGTCGAGGGGAATCAGGCTTTACTACCGGGCTGGAATGATAACACACACGCAATTTTGCAGCAGTTTCTCATACATGTCAGCATACACAACTTCACCTTGACAGATAAGGGATCCTTTGGTCTCACGCCTAGATCCAATATCAGAGAAGAAGACGAGGTTTGGATGGTACTCGGATGTCCACATCCAATCGTTCTGCGACAGCGAGACGATGGAGCATACTCGTATGTTTGCCCGGCAATAATCACTGGTCTCACGGACTCGCTGATGGAGCATGAAGATTTCGAAAAGTTCACAAGGGAAACTCAACCTGGTGAAAAGATTGGAGAGTGGAGAATGGAAGACATTGAATTGGTATGAGCGACTTGAAAGTCATCGATACCATCGCGACATGGATATGGCGACAGGATGATCTCCTGGGATTGAACTTTTCTCTTGTCTTGGGCTTAGATTTCCACTTGTACTTGTACGAAGGCGTATCAGTTGACTTTCAAGTCTTTTAGGTAGCGTGAAATTGGAAGGATTCATGTTTGAAAGACTAGTAGCGGAAATCCCTACAATGCAAACTCCATCCCAAATCGTTTTGTGCCGCATGTGCTCATTCGTTACTCTTCGGATTTATTTTAACACTGCCCTCAACGCCCAGAGGGAACAGAGAATAATGACCACTTCAAGAATTGAATTCCGCGCGCATCAAGATTTCTCTGCTTCTCAAATACAAATGCCAGAAGTGATTGCACTCCAAACTACAGAGATACCTTTCGCAGAGCCATGTGACCCCGCGACATCAGATTCTTACCCCACTGACCAAGCTTAAAAATTCAGTAAGTAGTAAAGACATCATTTGCTCATGCACGACGAGCATGATCGTGGTTGTGGTTTACCGCGCCACGGAGTCGCAGCATGTTGATACTCCGCTGTGACTAAGAATTAGTTGGTCTCCGAGAAAAAGCCACTCCCACTCCGCTCCCATTAACTTTATGAAAGAGAAAGATCTGCGCATGTATAAGCGTCGAATACTCTGTATCTGTTCAAATTAAATTTCAGATCATACAGCTTGCACATTTGCATGATCATCAATTTGTACCATTGAACTCGTCTCATCAAGCGTACAAAAAGAACCACTCGCAATGCACATCAAAACCAACATCACGCTCTACACTGAAGGCACACCCAACGGCCTCAAAGCCTCCATCGCCCTAGAAGAGCTTGGTCTTGAATACAAAGTATTCACCAACCACCCCTGCTAAAACTTCACAGCATTGCTGACTGCTACATCGCCCAGGTCGTGACGTTAGACTTCAGCAAACACGAGCAGAAAGAACCATGGTTCCTTGCCATCAATCCCAACGGTCGGATCCCAGCGCTCATTGACACGGACGAAAACGGCCGCGAGATCAAGATCTTCGAAAGCGGTGCCATTCTGTTGTATCTCATCGCTACGTATGACGACGATCGGAAAGTCTCTTATCCTCATGGAAGCGCAGAGCACTGGGAGACGATTAGCTGGGTGTGTCTCGTTGCGCGCCGGTTTGTGATTTTCTTGCTGATGTATTGACAGCTCATGTGGCAAATGGGCGGTCTGGGACCTATGCAGGGCCAGGCGAATCACTTCACCCGTAAGTTCGAACTGATCTTGTAAGGATGTTGACGTTCATGAATACCCCAGGCTACGCTCCCGAGAAACTCAAGTATCCCATCGACCGCTACGTCAACGAGACGCATCGTCTCTACCGCACTCTGAATGGCCAGTTGGCTAAGAACGGAACTGGATATGTCGTAGGCGATCGCGTCACCGTCGCTGACATCGCTATTTGGCCATGGGTTGCTGCACACAGTAAGCTGATCGTTTCCCCGATACACGCTCAAACTAATATGTGTTGCAAGATTTCTCCGGTATTCCCTCGCTTGCTCCATATCCCGAGATCACGAAGTGGTTCAACAAGCTTCTTCAGAGATCAGGTTTCGAGGCTGGACGTAATGTCCCACGCCCGCATTTCCACATTACACTGAACGAGCTGGGAGAGGATGAGCTTGATAAAGTTGCTGAACATGGGAGGAAGTGGCAGGAAGAGGCGAGGGATAAAGAGGCTGCTCTGCGAGGAGAATAGAATGAGTGATCGAGTTGTGAACTGCTGTTTAGGTGGAAAGGTTATGGTCGTTTCCAGTTCAATGAGCATGCTTCGCTTTTCAACCTCATGCAATCAGGGTCTCTATCTATCGACCTCCTAGACAATTTTTACATCTACACCTCCCATCCTGTCCATCTCTAGCCTTCCACCCTTTTCACTCCGTCCATGCCTACACTCATATTCCTGCGACGCAGCCTCTTGTATCTCAATCGCTGGCGGGGAAATCCGTAACGAGTCGTTTGTGTGCTTGTTTTTGCGCATCGCAAAGGACAATGCCACTGTGGCGAGGAGTGAAAGACCAGCAAGTACTTTAATTGCTACCCCGATGGTTTCGTTGATCTTTGATGGTACCCAGCTCGCGTTGACCGAGTCGCACTGAGATTTTGCATGTGCGTATGCGTGCGCATGTGCGAGAACAGTGAAGAAGAGAGGGGTGAAGAGAGAGTACATCGTGAGCGTGTAACGAGAGAACTTAAAGTTCAAATTGCAGTGAAGGCAGAAAAGAAAAGATCTAAATAGATCCTTGAACTAGAATGACCTTGTATTAAAGTACCATTCTGAATCAGGCGACCCAGAGTTTTTGTATCGCGACTCGCGGCTACTGAAGCGAGAATCGCTCGTTGCGAGGATCCGCAAACCAAGTCGCTAGGGCTCGGTAGCACCAAGCTCATAAACTTATCCTGCAGCAGAAATTGTATCCAACCCAAGGCTAAGTAACTCGCATAACGGTTGATAAAGCTGTTGACGTATCTCAAGCGGCCGTTCTGTGCGTTTTTACTTAGCGGTCAGGCCGACCAGGCGACTTGGAAACTTCTACACCATCGCAATGCCAAATTATGCATGAATGTATAAGCCACTAAGAGAACTGCAGGTCAAGTTTTATCACCCCTCATCTTACTATGTTTGCCCTTGCCCCACTCCCCATCAACTCACTAGGCGGCTGCTGCATTTCCACCAGCCCAAAACCCTCATCCATTTCGCCAATCTGCTGCCTTCTATCTGTTTCGCTCCTTCCATTTGCATACTGATTATGCTTCATAGGAGATGCCTGCTCGTCTAAGTTCCTGTGCTTACTTCTGCGCATCGTCAGAAACACCGCTGTAAGGAGCAAGAGTCCAGCAACTACGCCGATGACGATACCAGCGATTGCGCCGCCTGCTATACCACCATCCTTCTCTGTGTCGGGCGTGGGTGAAGATGAAGCTGGAGCTATTGCCGAACTCGCGGTCGACGAAGCACTTGTCCCTAGCGATGATATTGTCACAACGCTCGAAGAAACATTGTTGTTCACCGCGCCAAACACCAGCGGCAAAGTGATGACACCAACGCCCGTTTTGCAACATGCCCGGGTCGTCCCGCAGCACCACTTGTCTCCATCCGCTTTGTTGTTGCATGGTGTCATCTGTGTGTTCCCCCTCGCGGATCTCGTCTGCTCGCAGATGTCCAGACAATTGCCCGACGTGAAATTTGCATCGGTGCAGAAATTCGCAAAGAAACTGCGTGATGCAGGTCAATTGTCGCGTGTATAGCCAGGCATATGTTACTTACGATATAGTCAGGCCGCCTTCCTCGACAGATCTATTCTGACACAAGCCGTTGGGCAGGCATTCATCTTTCGTGTCGCCTTTTGATCGATCGCCGCCGGCGGGATTGGCGCGGTTTGTTGCGCAACATATGGTTGGTGGGCCGCCGGACGTGCAGGCCTGGAAGCCGCTGAAATAAGAGCCGTCGGACCGTAAGACATTGCCATTTGGAGAATAGCATTGGGATTGGGCGTGTGCGATGGAGAGGATGGAGAAGATGAGGAGGATGCGCATCGTGAACGTTAAGTGTTGAAGAGGAGATTCGATCCCGGGGACACGAAAATTTGCTTAAGATAGTTCTAGGAGGTAGAAAAAGGTTCGAGAGAGGGCAGAGAGAGCCGGAAGACGTAAGCAGCACTACACGGTACCTTGCCCGGAGCGTGTATGGCCCCCAATGTATATGCGGGGGCCGATAACCACCCCATGGACCGAGCGGGGAGTATTTGCCAGCCAAGAGCTGGACCATTTGAATGTAATTTTGGAAGCTGACAGCTTACAGCCTCATCTCTTTACCGAGGCGAAAGGTTCTACGCTTCCTCCCATGGCTGAGTTGGTAAAGAAAGGGCCCACGCTCATCACATTCCTGAGCTCGTGACGTGGCTGCCATATCCTATCCAGCATTTAAAAAAGGCATGAGGGGTGAATTAGCCCAATGACATACATGGCCCATGGTGATCGGTGTAAGACGACTTAGTGAAACGCAGGGCGTTGCTCTCGTGACGAATCAAAGCTTGTGTCCTCAGCCCTTCTTTGATTCAAGATTAAAAAGCAAACATATAGCACGGCTAGAGTTGATCAGCGAATTTGACATGATCTTGCGCTACCACTGTTATCTGGTAAATCCACAGGCGTCCACAGGCGGCTACGGGTGCTGAAGCGAGAATCTCTAGTTGCGAGTAGATCGGCAATGCAACCATTCAAGTCGCTAGCGTTTGGAAGCATTACCCGCTGAGCATCAACCGGACTAGTTCTGCTATCCTAGCGTGGAATCCTCTCTAGCAACTTTTACATACGTCAGCTCATTTTCTGTCGATAGTCGCAGTAAGGACAATGGTAAATTTGGCCCTCACCAGCGGTGAAACATCTTGTTTCGAAACAAGTGCTTGGAGGGTCTGTTGGTCCGGTTTCGTCATCTGTATACCAACGTTAATATATCTCAACAGATTACGAAAATCTGCCGCACCTAACTAGCCAACTCGTCGCATAGACGTAAGATATCATCTTGTAGGGTATTGAGGCTGGAATCATGATCGATTCAGGCATGAGGGCACTTGTGTACTTCTCAACTGTAGGAATAGCAAAAGTTATTTCGATCAAAATTACATACGAATAGATCATCACAAGAAAGAAAAAACCCCCGCCTTTCGTCACACGGTAGTCAAGAGTCTGAGGGTCGAAAGTGCCATCCAAACCCGCCATTTTCTGTGCTACTACAAACTTGAAAGACTTGATGAAACCAGCAAGGCGACTACCAGTTCTGGTTCATCCGAGCGCGTGTTTGTTCGTCTTTGCCCTTCAGTTCCTTGAGGTATTTCTGGAAACCTACCTGTGTGTCCACCGCGGTCTTGACGTGATAGACGCCCACCTGCACAATTCCCGTGGTTCTGGTGCCATCTTGCCCGAGTTTTGAAGCCTGGCCTTCCCGCAATTTGGACTCGGCAGCCTCTACTGCGTTCATTAACACATTCCGGAGCTCCCGGCCGTTCAATTCCGTGCAATTCTCGATCAAATAATCGGCTGCGTCTTCTGAAATCAAGATCTTGTTTGTTTCTTGAAATCGCTTGACAAATTTCCTGACTATCTTGCCCTTAGTCTCTGTGGTCAATGGAGGGTATCCAATTGGACATGTGATGCGCGAGACAAAAGAGTCGTCGATATGGCCTCCTCGATTCGTGGTAAGAAAGAGCACTCCCGAGTAGTACTCCATACTTCTCAAGAAGACAGTAGACAAGCTGTTCCTTGTCAGATCTCCGTCCTTTCTTTTCTCCAGAAACAAGTCAGCCTCGTCGATGAGGAGTATCGCATCCCACCTAGCTGCGAGCGTGAACCAAGTTTGAAGATTATTCTCTGCTCGGTCTGACAAACCGACATCCTGGGCGGTGATGCGAAGCAGGGGTCGTCTTGTGTCATTCGCTACGCACTCCACTGTCAGTGTCTTGCCAGTACCAGGCCCACCATAGAGCAAAAAGATTCTTCCCTCGCCCTTGCCCTCCACGAAGTCATGAGCAGATGAAGAATGGCGCGCTCCTCTTGGAAGTAAAGTTTGCAAGTATTCCTTATTGGTGCCTTGTCCTAGGACGAGTTCTGAGTCCAATTTGTCATAGGAGCGAAATGGGGTGTCATCTTGTATGCCCTCTACCTCGAATACCATCCATCTCTTTGTTCTTAGCGCAAAGCCCTCCAGCCTGCGAGGTAACAAGAGGTAAATTTGCTTAGATTCGCTGGTGTCTCCTAAGTCGCTTGGACTGACATCAATCAGGCCTTTGAATGGACTAAAGCTTTCCCCGTCGTGAATGTTAGGTTGTCGAGGCGGTAAGTGAACAGGTGTTCCACGTGGTAACGGCGGAGGAGGGCGCCAGTCCTCAGCTACTTGCTGTCGATATGCCTCCGGGTCTACGATGATCTCGCCCTCGTATTTGCTGTACTCGTGTTTGTACAGTCTATGCGGAGCAAGCTTGTCGAGCATCGTGACATATTTGCGGCCTCTTCTTTCAAGCCTCTGTCGGAGTTCGTGCGTATCGGACTCGTCGTGGACATATGCAGGTACGACAGGTAGATCGAGTATGGGTCTTGAGCCATCAAACTTGGTGATCATAGCGTCATGTGAAAGCGGCCGGAATGCCGTTCCAGTCCAACCAATACTCCTAAGCAATAGTTCTAAGCGTTGTGGCTTTTCAATGATACTGTCATTGGAATTGCTACTGGTGGGTGCGTAAAGGCAGGACGCAACGACACAAGCCGAATATTCGTCATCCGTGTCTTCAACTGGTCGCCGCTGGTGGTGCCTCAAGTGAGGGTCCTCTCGTGGATCTGGACGGTTCCAGAAAGCTGATTGTTTGACGTATACAGTAGTACCTGGCTTGAAGAGAATCCAGAGACTATTGAATGCGATTTTCGGTCTTTCTTCGAAATATATGGCATGCATTGTGGGAGCTATTGTGGCACGGTACATCCCACTCAGCAGGCGCAACAAAACTGCAAGGTCTTTCGCGGTCGGTAGATCATGTAGATCTCCCAGTGTCTGTAGCTCGCGCAGGTTTAGATGCTGCATGATGAGCTTGTTGAACTTTTCATCGCCACAGCTAGGGCAATTCAATTTTGGATCAACCCTCTGCTCTTCTGGTAGGCTTTCCAGAAACGCACTGAAGTAGTGCTTCAGCTCTTGATAGCAGTGCATAAGGTCGGGAAAGCTGTCGTATGGATTTGCGTGGAACCTGTCTGGATCGGAGCGATAGGGATAGTAGCTCAATGCCGCGTTGACAATGCTGATTAACCTTTTTGAGTGAATAGTTATGTTTGCAGGGAATCTCGTAAACAGCACCGCATCTCGCCCAAACTGGAAGTCCACAGGTCTATCTCTCCATGTGGTTGAAGTGTTGGACTCTTTCCCCGTGATGTCGATGACATCAGCACTGACAAAGTATGTGAGAACAGCCCTGGAGTCCATATCGTCGTCAGGATCAGAGTCTGGGAGTCCGTTGTTTATACCTTTCCACGGCTCGTCTTTGTAGAAAGTTCGCAACTGCTTCCCATCTTGCTCGACCTCTAGGCACCAGAGCACGTCCGGACGTACCGAAAGACTTGGTGAACCTTCTGGGGACACATCTTTCGATATTTGGTTTGGCATATCAACTTGCGCTTTGGATTCGTCCATCTTCAACATTGTATCCGTGCCGTCGCGTGTATCAAGGCCAGCACCGCTGTTCGCATCCAGTGATGGCAGACTCTTCCCATCTCCTAGAGCCCTAACCGTGCTCATGTTTGCGCCTACCATCAATCAGAATGAGCATCTTTCATAAATTTATCTTTGATCAACACACCTCTATTCTATATCTGTTCACTCCGTGACTTGGATATTGATTTCCGGGTACCCAGGTGGTCCTTTAGCGCCCTCGACACGTGATGAACTTACCACTAGTCAAAGAGGTCGATCGAGAAAACTCGTTGCTTGTCAGATTGGCGGTAATGAATACTAACCCATGTGGATAGCAAACCTATATACTCGAGATTGAAGCTCGCAGTGATGGTTTAGCTTGCCACGGCAACCTCACCGGAAAAGATCAACAATTGAACTCGCAGGAAAGGCACTGAGGGGATCTTACCGGCACGATAAGATTCAGTACCATCATTCGGCGCCACATATTATCTCACCGCTCGAGCTTCAATGCAGTCAGCGAGAGTCTGTAGGCGTGGTCATATGAGGCGCATGGTGGCAGTTCACGGATGGGTAAAGCCCCAAGCCACCGATAAGTGAGCAACATCATTATTTGCGGCTGCAAGAGGGCCTCTTACGTAGCTAATTCGTCTACCGGTGAAGCGCCCCGGTCTCGAAAGCTGAAGCAAGATATGTCCACAAGGCTTTACGCCACCTTTGCGGGGTTCGTGTGGTCGCGCTTTGCTTGATCAGCTGCCTCAGCCTGCCTCTTCATTTCGTCATCGCATAGCCTCCACATGTCTGTTAATATTTACTCTTAGCTTGTTGCAACGCTTTCTCAGCTGTGCGCTATACTAGCTTTCACTTGAAAATTGTTTATTTGACAAAAAAATTCTCTACATTAGCTAGGGGACACATACGGCACTAGGGGAAGTTCTTTTCGCATTAATATCAACACGTCTATATTTAGAAGTGTGCGAGATGTCTGGGGCTGAGCCGGTTGGAATTATCGGATTGTTCTTGGCATGGAAGGGTATAGTCGACTTCGGGAAAGTGATCAACAAGTTGAGAGAAGATGACACTCGAGAGCGGGAGGTCATGTATGTGGGGCTTCAGACCTCGCAGATGGCTCTGGCAGACTGGGGTAGACACTGGGAATATGATAAGACAGACGGGCGTTTTGTTCGTTTGGAGCCTGCGCGGAAAGACCTCATCAATAGAATCATCATGCAGCTCGAAGCGTCAAGATTAGAGGCAGTCAGGAAGCTGAGCAAGTACCATGAGTCTGAAGAGAAGTCCAGCATGACTACTGCAACACGGGAAAGTCGACTATCGAGGATGACAGGGAAACTGGTATCGAAAGCGAAAGGCGGCAAGGAAAAGACGCAATGGCTCATGGGCGACGATACCTTCATTGCGAAGCTTGTCGAGGAAACAGACACGCAGTACAGCCGACTCCTCCAGTTGACATCAGTGTCCAACGCTTTCCTCTATATGCACTACGATAGCTTTTTCGATGCGACCAAGCTGGGATCTCGAATGGCATCCTTGGAGGATCTGGTGAAAGCACACATTAAATCCCAAGTAAGAACGAATGATCAGGACATTGTCGCAACAGCTTCGCCACAGACGGACTCGATAGATCAACAGACTCTAGCCGCCTATGCAACCGACACTATAACCTCAAGCATACAACGAGAGCGTGTTCGGGACAGCATCGAAAGGTCACTCTACCATCATGGCGACAGCCGCGTATCGGAGACTATTGCAGACTGGTGGAACGAAAAGTCATGCTCAAACATCCTACTCATTGAGTTTCCAGACGATGCCGAAAGCGAAACGGCGACCGCAGCTTGCGCCCTGTTGTACTACCTCACAGACTGCCACAAGCTCATCTTCATGTTTGAAGAACCACGCGCCAAAGAACCCATTAAACAACTACTAGAAATGGTGAAGATGTTCATACACAGCCTCTTGTCATTGCAAAGACATGACGGGCACTCCAATGAATCTGTTTCGATTGACACCAACGACCTGGACCCCGAGATCGAAAATACGTCGAAGCTGGAGATGCTCATCACTACCTTCCACGAGCTCCTACGACGCGTCACCGAAAGCAGCAAGAGACGGATTTTGCTCATCGTTGACGGACTTGACGCCAACCCCATGGACGACAACGATGGATTCGTCCGCCTAGTCTGTCTATTTGTGTCCGGCCTCAACGACATATGCAAGATATGCAAGGCAGACTCTGGCGCAATCTTCAACCCGTTCTTCGCGCATCAAGGCCATGGTATGCGTCTTTACAACTCGATGCGGGATACGGATGTCATTGATCTTACTGATTACGACTTTCGTGAGGGCTGCTTGAGGGATGAGCTTGCTTCTGCTCTTTACCATTGAGCCGGGTGGACTACTTATGAATACTTTGATGAAATAGCCTGCTGCTAATTAAGGAGGGTCAGGGTATACAACTGATGATGTCTGTGTACGCGCTTGTCAAGAAATCTTGATGTCACTTCAGGACCCCGTGGCAGAGCAAAATAGCTGTGTTCAGTGCAAAAGTATTGATTGGAAGTTGTTAATGTACGATAGAGATACGTAATGGTACTTCCGTGTGACATGGAAGCTTCACGGTTTGTCGTTTTCCGGCTCATTCTCAGGCTAATAAGTAGACTTTACTGCCATTGAATCGAAAGTTGTGGAAGTCTTGCAGTACGCGGAGGCAGTGTATAGGCTGTAACCAATGACATTTGTGGCGGCTCAGCTTTGGGTGCGGCTGAGCAGCTACTGCGCCTCAGCGCCTCACACCTGCGATTTTCATAAAACCCCCGCGCCCTTCTGGCCTTGATTTATTCTCAAAATTTCTTCACTCTTCGATTCATTGCTCCAGCGCTGCACCAAAATGGCAGACGACAGCCCCCTTTCGATCGCTGCGAATATTATTGGCATCATGACTTTTGTTTTCGCCATTGCAGCAGCTGCATACGCACGATGGCTCTGGTTGAAGTCGCGAATCACGCAGCCATATGAATTAATCGCGCAAGACTATGAGAGAGTCGGGCACTATATCCGGGAGACCTGGATATTAGAACTCCAAATGGACTTTACTCCATCACCGCACTTGGATGACTTGATTCGCTTCGTTCACCTGGATCTTATCATGGTTGTGCTCGAAATGGTCAAGTTAACAGAATACACGGCGTCGGAAAGAATTCGCATAGGAAATACTGCTAGGTTTTCCGAGTACTACGGCGGAATTGAGTATAAAATCGAAATGATGAGGACCCTATACGCGAGAGAACAGATAAATGCGGGATTCGCGTGAGTAACGAATTCTATTTCTTTGATAGTGCTGACTCGATCGGTAGGAGACTGAGAAAGCAAGTCTCGATGCAGTCTGTCAAAGACACTGACTTGCAGGAATTGCAGGACCCAGACCTCGAAAATCCACTCCATGCAGACACAAGGCTGGGACAGGATCACATATGGCAAAGGTCCTGGGTACTTGCGGCAGCAGAAATGTCAGCTCCAGACTTAGCGCAAGCCCTAAAAATGGACATGGACAAGCACGAAAGATTTGTTCGACTGGCGGACAAGCTCATTCAGAAGAATAAAATCTTAGTTCTCGCTACTGAAAACAGATTCAGATCTCATGTATAGTAAAGATGCGATAGACATTGGAGAAGATCGATCGATGTGCTGATCTGCGTATCTTCCTTCTCATGAATCATTTATCAAACCGTATCTAAGGGATCCTAAGCTAGTCGTTTTAATCTCGTCCGTAGAGCTTGTTTTTCCTTGCTATATTAAAAGTAGGACAAGCTTTGCAACTTGCCACCGTTTAGAAATACTCGCAGTACGTCAAAGATGACGCAAAACCCATCGCTATCCCACCCCGCCCCCTTTCAGCTCATTCCTCCACCAAGAGTAATCCAGCCGTAGTAATAACCCGTCTCCTCGCTGGATAAAACTTCTCTCATCTCACCAAATTCTCCAACAACCAGGACGCCCAATATCAAGTACAACAGTACCTAATAAGCCGTAATAAAACCACGATGTGCCTCAATGCACCCACCACTCCAGACGATCCTCGACACCTGTCAGAGATCTGATATGCGAGGGTGTACGTTGACGACAAGCAATCCGGATACTTCGGCGCCGAAGAGTGCATCAGATGCCCCGCTACCCCACGCGGAGCAATGTCACTGGACCAGCTGCGCGTCACTCGCATCTCATCACATGGCCAGACCGCGCTTTGAATATGGATTTGATTGGAATTCCTGCACCTGTACTGTATGCGAGCCCTACATGAGCGGGTATTTATATATTTGCGCCATCCGAAAAGCCAAAACGCCTGCGATGCGGAAAAGGAAAAAAGGTGAACCGGCTACCGCTTACTGGTCAAGACTAAATCGACAGCCGCGCTCGCCAATCTCTGCACATCTTCTAGGCTGTGCTTGCAATCTACAATCTCCACGTCTTTGAGTTGCTTGCACTCGGCCTCATCCGGCTCCTCTAGCGCAGCGAACTGGCTATCTACCATCGCGTCCTTCATGTAGTGTCCCTGGCGTGCGCGCACGCGAGCGAGGAGAGTGGCTTTGTCGGCGCGGAGGTATACGAAGTGGACGTTTGCGTTGGGCGACTCGTCGTAGAGCCGTGCGGTGCGGATGACGTCGCGGTATTTCTTCTTCAGGGCGCTGCAGGTCACCACGACGCCTCTGGCGCCGTTCTTGAGGGACGCGAGGGCTTGGTCGCGGAGGAGGATCAGCCAGTCCCAGCGGTCGGCGTCGTTTAGAGGGATGCCGGCGGCCATTTTCTCGATGTTGGCTTGTGGGTGGAACTGGAGATGTTAGCTGGGGTGTAGTATTCAGCATGAATAAAGTGCTCACCTCGTCGCCTTCAATATAGTCGAAGCCATATCGGTCCGACAGGTACTTTGCGATGGTGCTCTTGCCGCAGCCTGCTGGCCCGGTCACGATGATGATGTGGTGTTGGCTGGTGATTGACATGGCGGCTGGGCTTGTGTCGTCCAGGGAGGTAGACGAAATTGACGGTGATGCTGTATTTGACATTGGGGGCGTGAGTGGTGTGGTATATGGTACTGGCGCTGATTGCTCGAAAGTTTGCAACATGATTGCTGTACAGTGAAGGAGCAAACGGGGCGGAGACGAATTCAAGAAGGCGGTACGACGCGGGTGTTTGAGGTGGATGTTCAAGCACAAAGGACCGGGACTCGTCTCGAGTAATATATAGCGTTGGGCTTCGGATGTAACCACGACTATTACACAGGCAGTAAGCAATAACGGCGGACCGGTGTATTGGGGCAAGCAGCGTTTAAGAGGTGGGTGCCTCGTGTGGAAATTCCTCCCGCACAGATGCCGGCAGGCATGACGGCAAGGGGGGGATCATAGTTTGGTGCAAACTTCTGGTAGCCAAGCTTTGATGTCACAACCACGATCGTGTCTGAATCAGCGTCAATTGGGCAGTGCTGGCTGACTAGCCGAACGTCGAGTGGGAGATGAGACGATTGCGGCAGGCTGCCAATGGGAAGAGGGCCTGCGAGGGTCTGGGCGGGAGAAGCGAGAGAGATGCGTGTCAAGTTGTCGGCGTTTGAAGAATGATGCGTAGTGCGTGGGATGATGGCAGTGGTGGATCCGGCAAGGCGTCGCATCGATAGTCTCCCCGCACTTTGCACCCCAGTCAGTGTCAGGTACTGGTGCAGCATGCATGCCTCAGCGGAGCCCAGCACGACGCCCTGGCACCGGAAATGCGGCGCCGCGTTCCGAGTGGGCGCCCAGAGGCAGGTCACAGCAAAGAGGCTCTGCAACAGTGAAAGGGCTTGTTGAGGGCGTGGTGAAGCTGTTGGATAATGGCGCGTGGGGGTCACACGAGGCCGCTGGAAAATCTTCGGGCCGGCGACGGGCGAGCGCGGTCGAGCCAGGCCTGAGCCGCGTAAAGGCAGCAGAGTCAGCTCGCGCGCGGAAGAGACGACACGGCACATCATGATGCTGGAGCAATGCACGCCGAGACTGCATTTGGTCGTGTGCACGTCTCCGCTCCAAGTATAGCCCGGAGCTCTCTGCAGGCTGGATGATGCGCGTCGCGTGCATCTCCGCTGTGTCTCACTGAATTAGGCGCACCGGGGGGCTGTAATCAAGCGCGCCCCCAGTAACGGACTGACGTGGACAGGCAGTGCAAGGGGCGATTGTTTGATCAAAGGGCCGGGCATGTAACCTTGAAGGCTTGGATGTTGGACGGAGACTTCGTAGGGCTGCGGGGAACAAGTCGTCCAGTCGGGGAAGAAGGCGCCAAGCCACGTTCCTGCCACTTCGGGGTGAAGCTATGGCACCCCCAGCCAAGGCCCGCCGACCGCCGACGAGCCCATCGACGACCGCATCGCATCCAGGAACGCGCCCGGCCGTCGGCAGAAGAGCAACCAACCATGTCCTACTTCTTCTCCACCCCCGTCGACATTGACATTGTGCTCGAGGACCTCGACGACCGCTCCGCCGTTGACGTCAAGCTCGACAAGAACCGCAAAGAGAAGGTGCCGCTGTATCTCGATGGCGAGTCGGTGAAAGGCCAGGTCACGGTGCGGCCGAAAGACGGCAAGCGCCTGGAGCACACTGGAATCAAAGTGCAGTTCATCGGCACCATTGGTGGGTAGCTGGCATGCAGCTGTGTAGCCGCGATTAGGCTGACACGTGAACTCCAGAGATGTTCTTCGACCGCGGCAACCACCACGAATTCCTCTCCCTCGGCCAGGAACTCGCAGCACCCGGCGAGCTGCAGCATCCCCAGACATTCGAGTTCAACTTCAAGAACGTCGAGAAGCAGTACGAGTCCTACAATGGCATCAACGTCAAGCTGCGGTACTTTGTACGCGTCACTGTCTCACGGAGGATGGCCGACGTCGTTCGCGAGAAAGACCTCTGGGTCTACTCGTACAGGATACCGCCCGAGACCAACAGCAGCATCAAGATGGATGTCGGCATCGAGGACTGCTTGCACATCGAGTTTGAGTACTCCAAGTCGAAATACCACTTGAAGGACGTCATAGTTGGCAGGATATACTTCCTTCTCGTGCGGTTAAAGATCAAGCACATGGAGCTCTCCATCATCCGGAGAGAGACGACAGGCGCCGCACCCAACCAATACAACGAGAGTGAGACGCTGGTGCGCTTTGAGATTATGGACGGGTCGCCATCGCGAGGTGCGTAGCGCACGCACTTTCTTCTGCGCGCTGACTGACGTAACAACAGGAGAGACAATTCCTATCCGGCTGTTCCTTGGCGGCTTCGACCTGACACCCACCTTCCGTGAAGTTAACAAGAAGTACTCCACGAGATACTACTTGAGCTTAGTGCTCATCGACGAAGGTATGCAAACGCGGATTGCCGTTGTACGACAGTAATGCTGACATCACACAGACGCTCGACGGTATTTCAAGCAATCTGAGATTGTACTGTTCCGACAAGCACCCGAAGGCCTGACTCTGGCGCAAGAGCAGAACAAGTTGATGGCAGTCTCCTAGATTTTGAAGCACTATGAGTGCTATAAGGGTCCAGAGTCGCCACTGAGCAGAGACATGACACATTAGCGCAGACCATGAGCGTCTAGCTTTCATCCAATCCAGAGAAGCAGACATAAGAGCTCACAGTACAGGGTCTCTCAGGCCCCGTTTCTCCGGCACACCAGGGTTGAGCAAGATGCGCATAGATATACCAGAACAGCGAATCTATAACAAGTATTCAGCCAGACCACGGCTTCAGCAAACGAGGCAATTCTTCCCGGCTGTTCCCCAAACTTCATTTTGTGGATCCAAAGGTTTTTGTGACATCTCCATGCATCGGGTTCGTCGGCCCAGCACGCTAGCAAACAATGCCGGCAGGCCACGAGGTTTAGCCCGAGTCATATTGCCGAAGTGCTGCCGGTCTCACGATCGGAGAGAGAGCCGTCGCTACCTTCACCAGCTAACTTTTGTAGTCCTTCAGCCACCAGAGCTCACCTGCGTGCGCGCTCCACGATATTCGCCACCGAATCACAAGATGCTGCGAAAATCCTCACACGTGTAGCTCAATGCATCGTTTCCTATTACAGCAGGCCTCTCCGCTTCATGGGAGCACTGATGGCTTTTCTTCCTGACTGCAGTGAAGATCAGGTCCTTCCGCGGAGCGACATGAGCGATATGCGAAGAGAAAACAGGGACTTCAGTGACTCTGTTGTAATACACGGTAATTCGGCTGCAGGCGTCGTGGCGTCGAGGACATCACGATCGGAAGATTCGGGGAGCATCAGCGATATTCGCATAAGACTCACCTCCTTACGGACCGAGCGTTCGCACACGCAACAGTTATTGGATACGATCCTGGAACGGTTGCCGTAATGTGGCTCGAGAATTTTCAGGGTGCGACCTCTTTGAGAAAAACTTATGGGTAACAGTACGAACTAGGTAAATTTTGCCAGGCCTATGACATCACGCATGCAATTCTTCACTTTCCCATCGCAGCGCACATGCGCAAATTCGTCTTGGCAAACACCAGACAACTCTATATACTCGAGAGCCGGACCGCTTGCTGAAAGTTGTCGATATCAATCCACGTTTGATCCTTCTCTCATAAGTTCCGAGAACACTAACCATGTCTCAGTCACAGCCGCCCACACCCAACGGTTAGTGCCCCACCATCGAAGTTATATTACACAATGGACATTACTTTCCCCAGCAATGCTCGCGTTCTGACATTGCACAGAGCTGACACCGCTTCTAGAACCACAAAATGGTAGCCAAGTGCACCGTCCTGATTTGAGCCGACAACAACCAACAGCATCAGATGTACGACCCCAAATGCACCATGGTCACTCTACGGCGACCAGCATGGGAAGACACGATACCGTCCGTTCGAGCAACATACAGTCACCACCTGGGCCTACTCGCAACAACACAACGTCAAGGAGAACGCTGCAAAGAAACGGCACCACCAGGACGAACAGAACGAGTAGAACGAATCAGACTGGAGGCCTGCTCGATGCGCAAGAGCGTGTTGAGAGACGGCGGGAGCCGACTGTGGATATTGCTAATGATTATTTCACACTCAATCCATGGTACAACCAGCAAAAGGCCAAGCCTGTCTTCGGCATGGCAGCGCCACTTCCTCGCACCGTACGCAAGGGAATGTGGTGGGGAAGAGGTGATCTTAAGAAATCACTCTACAAGGTCGACGAAGGGCAGGAAGACGATGGCATCGACAGAAACGATGCTTTAGACTTTGGAAAAGATATAGGTCAGTTCTGCCACAGATCGATAGGGACACCAGCTAATTCGTATATGCAGAGGATATTGATATCGACTCTGATGAGACTCAAATCAGTCCAGAACACCACGAATCACAGGGTAACGGCGACCCAGAACGCATACGCACGACGATAGGAGGACGCAAAGTCAACATGCGACGCGTGCCAACCGCAGAAGCGAACGAGATGCAAAAGCAATCTGCACAGCCATCCAGACAGAATACCAATCCGCCCAGCCAACCTTCCAGACAGAACACCAATTCCAGCAATCGTGCCCCAGTCAATGAGCATGGTCTGGCCTACAGCGACAACAACGAAGGCGGCCAAGGCAACCAACGCCACCAATTCGGTCTTGCAGATGGCCTACCTCCGCTACAAGAACTTGATTCTCACTCAACCACGCAATCCGAGAAAGACGAAAAAGAGACGCAAAAGCGCAACCATGACGCCGAGCAAGACTACTACAACCAGTACCGCAACCCCATCGCCCGCTTGCGCGCTCAGTACCCACAAGCCCCCGCAGAATTCCTCGCCACCTTCGTCTACCTCTTCCTCGGCATCTGCGTCAACCTCTCCGTCGCCACTTCAGAATCTGCAACCGGCAGTTTCGAAACGCAAGCCTGGGGCTGGGGCTTCGCCATCATGATCGGCATCTACCTAGCTGGAGGTGTATCCGGCGCGCACCTATCGCCCACCATCTCCCTCTCACTCACCGTGTACCGCGGATTTCCATGGCGCATGGCCGTCGTGTACATTGCATGCCAAATGCTCGCGGGGCTGTGCGCCGGCGCGCTGGCATACGGGCTTTACCACGACGCAATACGCGCCGTGGACCCCGGGCTGACACTCGACCTCACGGGCAAAGCCCTCTTCCCCAAGGGCCCGAGTTTCAGCACCGCCTCGGGTTTCTTCAACGATTTCGTGTACATGGCCGTGTGGGTGTGTACTGCCTTTGCGCTCGGCGACGACCAAAACTCCCCGCCTGGGCAGGGCATGACGGCGTTGATCTTCGGGCTCAACGGCTTCCTGACCATGGTGGCGCTGGGGTATAACACGGGTCTGGGGATTTCGCCAGCTCGCGATTTGGGGCCGAGATTGGTGGGGCTATGGGCGGGATATGATAGTGCGTTCAAGGGGGGTTATTGGGCGTATGGGCCGTGGGGAGCGAGTATTGCCGGCGCGCTGTTTGGCGGGTTGATGTATGATTTGTTCATCTTTGTGGGTGGGGAGAGTCCGGTGAATTATCGGTGGCCCGAAAAGGGGGATATCAAGTGGAGGGCGGAGAAGACGAAGGAGCAGGTGAAGGATCGGATTTCGACCGTCGTTTAGGTGTTGATTGGGAGTGCTGGAATTCAGGTCAAGTGAACATGATCACAATGCAGACTTGATTACCCTTTTTCAATTTTTGAATCATGTCCTTGTGCCTTTTCGCTCCATCCCTCCTGTTCTTCTGAAAACCTTCTTCCCTTCACCACATCCTCGGTTTCGCAAATTTACTTGCAAAAGACCCGCCGTTGGTGACTCACGTCAGAAATTTTTCCCTTCCCGCAATATCCACACTTGGTACCACTCCACTTCCTCAGGCTCAAAAATAGCTTCGATAGGGTATGGCTACCACTATCTGTCGCCCCAAGTCAACCTGTCTCGAGGTCATAGTTGTGTCAATTTAAAAATTTCTCCATCTTCACAGCTCAATGGCGCAGCGGAAGCGCGCCGGGCTCATAACCCGGAGGACGAAAGATCGAAACTTTCTTGAGCTACATGTTTCTTTTTTGCACCTTTTTCGACGTTCTTTTTTGCCTTGATGCGTGTCTTGTAGCGTGTGGGAGGTGGTGAAGGCCTCGAGCTGGAGTGAGTGTTTACGACGAAAGTCCCCGTAACGGATCCTTTTCCCGCTGCGCAATGTTAATCTTCTGAGCATCTTGCATCGTGCTTTTTCAGACGTCCTTGTCCTCGTCTTTGCCGGGCCAGACAATCTGCCCCGTCCACACAGCTCGTATGCACGCGATGGCGGAGATGAGCCACATCGTCACTAGCAAGATTGTCAACACACTCGCCACCCACAGAATCGCCTCGCTCTCAAGTTCCCTTCCCATGGCATTCGTCGCCAGCATAAACCCCACATTCGGAAAGATAAACGCCCACCAACTCAATCCAAACCGCATCTTTCTCGCCGCAAGCAAGTTCGCCACGAGCGCGACAGCGAACAGGAAAAATGCGAAAAGCCACATAAACACACCAACCACAAGCGCAAGCACGCGACAAATTTCCCTCGCCCCGCCATGTTTCGCAAAGTACCCGTAAGCCGGGACAGCCTCCGCGAGCCCGATCAATGCGACGATGGTATACGCCACGCTGCCCACGGGGATGAACAGCGCGGGTCTGAACGATGGCGCAGGCAGCCCCTTGTCCAACAGCATGTGTGCGAAACCCACGAGGCAGATGGACGAGATGAGCCATCCAAACCCCTGGAACGCCACGCCCGACAAGACGACCAAGTAAGCGCGCTGCAGCGGCTGACTCGCCGCGACCAGACTGGCAATCGTACCTGTCAACATGGCGCTGTATCCCGCGAGAAACAGCGCGGGCGAGAAAGGCACGGGACGAACGCTGGAATACGCAGCGAGCAGGAAGTACTGCATCAGCGCGTTTAAGAGCGAGAGACATGCATACATCCAGTACAACACATACACCGCGCTGACAAGCCAGCTATATCCAGGCCCGTACGTGACGCCGTAGACTTGCGTCCCGCCGACGAGCGTGCTGATGCTGAGCCAGAAGGCGCCGAGGAACCACGCTTCTGCTGGGTGGCGGAGCGCTTTGCCGACGTGCGTGGGATACAGACACACCCGGGTCAACATGCAGGCGGTGAAGAGCACGAACAGCGCGATGCTGAGGAAAAAGACTATCAGCCCGATGGTGTGGAGGCCGTGGAACTTGTGGGGCGTTTCGCCCAGCGCGAGGGATAGGCCGCCCGTGGACATTGTGCAGAGGAACCAGGCGAATGTGAAGTGTTTGAGGCGCTGGCGAAGACTGGGTCTGGAAGGGGGTTTGTCATGCAGGGGTGGAGAGGACGTTGTTGATTGGGATGGGGTATTTGTATTGGCCATGGTGTTGATGTGTTCTTTTGAGTGCATTGTTGATTCGAAGCTGGGATGGTGGTGTTGAGTGGTGTGAGCTGGTCGATGTGGTAGCTGAATCTACTGAAAGGGTCCATGTTCGTACAGATGTACATCATTAGATTGGAATCATTCTGGCATGGTGGAGACTGAAGTGTAAAGGCAAACGAGTCGAGGTGATGTTGTCGTCTAAAGGTCATACGGATGCGGAAGCGGGACGGCGGATAAGTTCCCCTACCGCAGCTAAGCGTCCTTATTCCCGAATGAATGAGCACGTTGTGCCAAACAACGTTTCTATCATAAACAACATCACACTAGATATACGTACTTTGAGATACGGCAGACTGATTTCCAATCAGGAACGGTTCGATGTTCTACTTCTATAACAACACGAAAAATCAAATGGTATTCCCAAAGCAACAACGCCAGGTCAACGAACCCGTGTCTCAGTATCCTCACCAACAACAAACCTCACTTTCTATTATACGCCCTGCGCCTCACAAACCCTCCCACTCTTGCTCAACACCGTGCCCAACCCCCTATGCACCTCGACCTGAAACCCCTGATGCGCCACCCTCTCCCCATCGACACTAACATAGCCCTCCTTCTCCCGCATAACAATGCGATACGCACTAACCTTCTTATAATCCACATGCTCCATGTCAAAGAAGGTATTATTCTCAATCGCCGTCATAGTCTTGATAGCCGCGAGGGCAGGCAAGTCGCCGCGGATGCGCACGAGATCCAAACAGCCGTCGGAGGGCAGGGAGGCGGGGAAGAAGTTTGCGTCGGGCGACATGTAGGCCATGTTGCCGGCGTAGAAGTTGCCGAGGTGCGGCTGAGGGATAGATTCCCAGTCTGTGGGCAGGGCGTCGTTGATGGTGCCGTATTTGAGGGGAGGAAGGCCCGTGTTGGAGTCGGGGACGGGGCGGTCGTCGGGGCCGAGGGGCTTGGATGCGCCGGCGCGGTATGCTTCGCGGACAGCTGCTTTGGTGTCGTGCTCGACTTTGACGGCAATGTCCGCGGGGTAGACTTTCTTCTTGAATATGCGCACGAGAACGCCCCATGTGAAGCGCGCGCTGCCCATCCAGCGGAGGTGTTCGGTGGCGAGGTCGGCTTCGGCGACGATGCCGACGGTCTGGGAGAGGAAGGAGAGGGTGCGTGTGGTGCCTTGGGTGATGGAGGAGAGGTCGAGGGGCGTGCGCAGGCCCTTGACGATGGCGAGAGCGGCGAGGCTGGGGTTGTTGGTGCCGTTGAAGTTGAGGCTTGCCGCGTTGCCGGAGCCGCAGGGGAGCTGGACGACGGCGATTTTGTGGAGGGCGAGGGCGGCGTCGGATCGCTTGCCCAGGCCGTTGAAGACTTCGTAGGGGATGCCGTCGCCTGAGCAGCATGCGACCACGTCGTAGGCCTCGATGTCCAGGTTCTGCGCATCTCGACGCCGTGGCCGTTATGTTCCGTCTTTTGCACGTCCAGCTCGCAGCGCGCAGCAGCCAGGATAGGCGCGATCATCTTGTGATATGTCTTGACCGCGCCGCCCTGCCCTCCAAACGGATTCACCAGCACCTTGATGCGCTTCTGCCGCTGTGAAGCTCCATACGCGCGGTCCAGCAGTTTTTCAATCCACGCCTCAGCCCGCGTGCTGTCTGGCTTGTCTAGTTTATAGCTAACGATGGCGGGTCGAACCGACTTCTTTGCGATAGTCTGCGCATACTGGATAGTCACGTTGCCGTCGTCGGAGTGCTCGGCCCAAAGAATGTTGTAGAAAGGTATCGAGTGTGTCGACTTGTTCTCTGCTAATATGAGCGACTTCACACCATCGGGGTTCCGTGCATCGTACTGCCTGCAAGAGAGAACCCGCAAAAGCTCGCGCCTTTGCTGGCGGGAAGCTCTTCGTCTGTCGCAAATTAGCCCATGCTCCCCAAAATGTATGAACAATGCGCACCCAACACTATCAGAGAATCCGTTCCCAGCGTCAGGGAGGCATTCCGGCCTACAGCGAGCGTGTCTGACACATTATCGGATGCCTGCGGACGTGCTTGCGACGTCGCAGCGAGCGAAGGGTCGCGAAAGGGGTCCTCATGTCCAGTATTAAGAGCCATGATTATAAGAAAAGGTTACAGGAGCACAACAAGCATATCTAACAAGTACAAGAACGAGCGACGACGGTCAGGCGAGGCGTGTCAGGCTATTGTTCACGCCGTCTAGCAGGTACCGACGTTGACTGCTAACGGACAATTCCGAAAATGGAAGCAACGCCGCTTGGACCCTGCATGCCGAGGCGCATCTTCACGCCGCACATCACTCACACGCGTCGCAATATATTGAAGTTCCAATTCATTCAAGTCTACTCCACGTGGCGCTATGCCGTCTTCACCTTGCCCAAGACTTTTCCTCCCTGGATCCTTGCCTTGCGTAAGCTTCTCTATGCTCCTACCCTTGCGACATTATGATATCCATTGCTTCATCAACACAACCATTATGCCACACCGACCTTGTTGAGACCCTTCAACGAACCGAGACTCAGCGCCAGTCCTTGCGATCTGCTTCTTATGCGTACGAAGCCAGTGATTGGGCCGCTGGTGCCCTCCTGTTCTATGCTCAAGTTGGCCAAAGCATCCTCGCCTAGATTGTGTTAGCAAAATACTTTTACAACAAGTGGGGGCATGGCTTACCGAAAACACTCCTGGCGTACAGGTTGGCCGACAAGAACTGGCAGTCGCCCTTCATCGACGCCTCGGGAGTGAGGCAGCTCATGTTGGTGGATGCCATGAGCTGCTTCAAGAACTCACGCAGAGTCTTGGCCTTGGAATTGATGTTGACCTTGTTTTCCCATTCGAATTCGGTCCACATGGTGCGGAACTGCGTCTCTGTGCACTGTGCCGGCTTGATGTAGTCCATGATATCAACGTGAACATCATTGAGAATGACCACGTTCGAGTCAACACCCTTCTCGCCCTCGTACAGGATGTTGCCGAAGATGACACCCGTGTCAGTCGACGAAACCTTGATGGTTGCCTGGATGTTGATGAAGTCGTGCGGGCCGACGTTCTGCGTTGGTGGGCGCTCTACAACCTTGAGGTCGCCAAGCGTAGCGAACTCGACTGTGAGATTTTGCAGTGTCTCCGTCGTTTGGTTGACTAGGAGCACGTCAAGTACGATATCGAATTGGTGCACCTGCACATGTTAGCTAGACCGCATAATTTCTTGCATGACAACATACCTTGACATAGGCCTCAGCGTAGACAGAGTCCGAGAAACCGGTAAGCTGTACAACACGGCTGAGCTTTGAAGTCATATCTTCCGTCGCCGTGTCGCCACCAGTCGCCCTCTCAAGATCTTGCTCAATCTCATCGCTGCTATCCGCATCCTTCTTTTTCAGCTGACGGATGTTGAAAGAGTCATCGACATTGACAGCCGACTTTGCCCTTTCTGAAGCTTCCTTTGCTGCGCGCTTCTTCTCTTCTGTCTGCACCATCGCCGCGAAAGACTTCCGTGTGTCTTCCAAGAAAACTGTCTCCAGCTCCTTTCTTTGCGAGAATTCCGAGAGTGATCTAACACACGACATGACACGGTCGATCGAGTCTTCGTCTATCAAAGTCTTGACAAATTGAGATTGGCCAACGCGGATGATTGAGATCATGATCAGCATCGCTTCGGCGCGTAGCGCATTTGTGCGGGCTGCGTCCTTTGAGATTTCCGCGTGTCGCATGACGAGCTTTGTCAATGTGCTGGAGAGTACTGTCGCAAGGTAGTAGTCTCCGTCGAGAACCAATTGGCGTAGCGGGGGCTTTTGTGAGTTCTTGACAGCTTCCAGCTTGGCCTTTGCTGCCGCTGACGATGTGAGCGCACTTTCGGTCGCATATGTGCCGTCAGCGAGAACCTTTCGTGAACCGGTGGGAGCAGCGGGCTTTCCGTTTCCATTGACTTGTTCGGCCTCTTTGCCCTCGGAAGCATCGTCGAGCAATCTTTGCTCAGAAGCCAAAATGGGTATCTCGCCGAGTGAGGAGCGAATGCCCTTCCAGGCGTCACGAATGTCCTTGGCGTCGAGAGAGTACTCTCCGATGATCCAGAGGACGCCACGGTACACTTTCCCAGCACGAACCTCGCCCAATGTCGAAACCAAGCGCTCGATAATCGATTGGCGCAGATCGGGGAACCGCTCAACGACTTCCTTGACAAACGAGATGACATCGACCGCCGAGGCGTTGCTGTTGACGTCGGAGATAAAGTCCATCAAGGATCCTACAACGCTGGCAGCAACTTCGGGGAACTTGATAGCTGCGGAGTGGATGGACGAGATGAGCAATGATCGGTATTCGGAGTTCTTCTCGTATTGCTCGTCGACAGTCTTCATGAGCTCCTTCTTCAGGAGAAGGACAACTTCCTCAACATTGCGGCTGGAAATCATCTCCATGGCAATGTTGAGAGACTTTTTACGCACGTCCAGATCCGTGCTCGAAAGGACGCGTAGCACCTCCATGGTCAAGTCGTCCAATACACCCTCGTTCTTCTGGCGCAGCTGGTCCACACGCTCTAGAACGATCAACTTGACATTGTTGTCCGGCTCCTTGATTGCAAGCTCAACAAACTTCCCTGCAGCTGCCTTGACTGCAACGGGGTTGCTTGTGAGGGTGGTGAGGGCATGCGCTGACTCGTAGATGACAGTCGAGACTTGCGACTCGAGAAGGTCGAAGATGAGGCGGAGGTATCGTGCCTTGTTACTGGGGTTTACGATGGCATCCTTGCGGATGAATTCGAGCTCTGCAAGGAGCAAGAGCTCTTCATGGTTCGGGATCGAGTCGAATACGGTGCTGAGGTACTCCAGCGCTTTCTCGTGGCTGACCGAGACGAGAGCAGCGAAGGCGTTGCGCTTGCATGTTGGGTCGTTCTCGTCCTCCAAGAAAGTTGTCAACATATCAGGGGCATCTGGCATGAGCTCCGGGAGATGTGTGAAGATGCTGGCGACGGCAAAGGTTGCGTTCTTTCGGACATATGCGTGTCGGTGCGTGAGACATTGGCGGACGGGTTCTGCTGGTTATTAGTATAGAGTAATTGTGTGGATCCGCTGTCTAGCTTACGCAGCAATGGCTCTACAAGTTCGGCGTCCCGTAGCTTTGTGCTGTTTGCGATTAGCCATATGTTCAAGCTGCATATGCGGAGCTGCCTACACGAAGCGCAGTGTGTTTCCTCGTACGTATTCGTTAGGCGCTTGCAGGTCGAAACGGATGGCATTGCTGTTCCACAGTTAGTGTCCAGCTCATAGGCTTCGATTTCAACACCCACCAGACCAGAATCCACTCCTGTCGGAGCTTTCCTTGTGCATCGTGCTTCGGGCACACCTCGAAGAAGAAGTACATGAGCTTCTTCAATGGCTTCGACTTGCTCGGCATCACGAAGCGGATGATGTGCATGAGAAGGCCTGTTTGCGGGTCGCCATTGAGCATTATGGACAGGATCTTCTTCTGCGAGGTTGTCAGACGGCCGTGTCAACAAGGCGGGGCAGCGGCAATGGCATGAGCGCACCATGGTCTCGATCTTCTGCTCATCGTTGCCCTTCTCCAGAGCTTGCTTGAACTCATTCTGGGACGGGACATCGGCCGCATTGTCCTGGTGTACCTGTTGCGTCCCATCAGCTCCCTGGGCTCGTCATGCGCGGCGGGCATTGCATACAAGACTGTACGAGTTCTCGAGAAACGTCGCCATGTTGGATGATGCGTGGTCACGTGTGACAAGACTGAATGCTATCCCCGGGAATCGCTACAAGAGCTGCGCTGCCTCCCGTGTCCCTCAGCCTGCGATTCCTCAAACCTCCAGGGCTGGTGGGATGCTACGTGTACGGTTCGGAGGGATGGCGGAGATGATGTCGGCGATTGAGTGAAGATGCGGCGAGGGAGAGCGAGGTCAAGGATGGCGATTGCCCTACGCTACGAATGGCTTCTACGGGTTCGGAGGTGCGATCTTCACTTGGGCGTGCTCGTGGTTTAGGTGTCTGTTCGAGGGAATCTAGCTCGCTAATGTGGACCCCTGCCCGCCGCCGAAGATCGCCCGAGCGCGAGAACCTCAGCAGCGAAAGCGCGTCGCAACACCAGGCCTGGGAGAAACATTGGCAACTGCAACATCACCCATACCACTCACTGCGACTTGAGCAGAGTCAGTCACGATGAGCGGAAACGAGCCATTCTACCTGCGATACTAGTGCGTCCTTGATGGAATTGTTTTCGCATCTGTGTGAGCCACGGCGCTGACTTCACGCAGCTCAGGTCATCAAGGTCGCTTTGGTCACGAGTTCCTGGGTGAGTCTGTTGAACCAAGTTTGCAGCCCAAGCGCTGACGACCATCAAGAGTTTGATTTCCGGGTTTTGGGAGACGGACGCAGCGCTTCAGCACGATATGCGAACAACTCCAACTACCGCAATGACTCTCTCATTCGCAAAGAGAGTAAGTCTTGTCCAGAAAGATTCATGCGCCGTGCTGACACGTGCAGTGTGTGTGAGCGACGCACTAGTCGCAGAGATCAAGCGCATCGTCAAGGAGAGCGAGATCCTGAAGTAAGTCTGCAATATGCATGACTGTATCTCGGCGAGCTGACCAATCTCACAGAGAAGACGACACCAAATGGCCACAGAAGAACAAGGACGGCCGACAAGAGCTTGAGATCCGTCTAGGAAGCGAACACATCTCGTTCGAGGCATGCAAATCCGTGGACCGTTCAAAACTAAGCTGACGCTTTTAGACTGCCAAAATCGGCTCATTACAAGACGTGCAGGACTCTTCTGATCCAGAAGGACTCCGTGTCTTCTACTACCTTGTCCAGGACCTGAAGGCTCTGGTTTTTTCGTTGATTTCGCTTCATTTCAAGGTAAGGCTCGTGCAGATCAAACGCTGTCGATTGCACTCACACAGTCACAGATCAAGCCTATCTAAGCGGCGATGTAATGTAAGAGGCGTCGAGGTTCTGGCTGCTGGTTGCGGTAGAGCTGAGCATGAGGGCATATACAGTCCTGGAAAAGCCCACAGACTGTCGGCGGGGTATGGCGCCTGGAGTCTGACAGCATTCCGTGGGGTACTCACAGCCACTGCGATTCGTAGGGTTGTGGCTCCGGCTGAAAGCTTATAGTATGAGCTGAGAGACTTGGTGGGGTGGAGCACTCGATGTTGATAATGTCGTTCTTCAGGCAAATTGAGCTTAATCGGGCCCGTTGGTGGCAAATGCGACTCCAAAGACCACACAGATAATCCACAGCCAGATGCAAGTTACACGATTCTCCTACGAATATGTCTTGATTCGAGCCTCTAGCGGCTTATCCGGCCAAAGTGAGACTAGTGTGTCCATCCCCGCAAAAGTCTGGAAGACAGGCAGTGACAGCGAGCTCAGCCGATCGAGGACCCACTCTTTGCCTCAAGACACCAACGAGATCAACACGACCAAGTCTCCATGGCTCACTGCGCCCACCGCCACGCGTTCTGATACCGACTATTCTCTATTGTAATCGCTCCACCGCCTTCCCTTCGTCCCATGTGTAATTAAACGCTTTTCCTCATCGTGACTGTCGCATCGCTACCCGCCGGACCATGCCGACGCCCGATGATGCTATGCCCTCGCCAGTGGAGCACGAGAGCACCGCTTCCCGCACAACATGCCCACCAGACGAGGCGCGCATCGCCAACGCACATGAATTGAATCCATCGCCGCAATTCAACGACAGCAGCAATGTCGGACCTACCATTGACGTACCGATGCAACTACCAACGCCGCCTCCGCAAGACACTCCCGCACACGCGCCGCCATCTTCAGATTCAGATTCGCATAGTAAACCCTCGAGTGCACGGATAGAAGCACCAAACAGAGACACGCCCACGCCTATGACTGCCACAGACGACGGAGCAGAGGAGCAGCGCACGTCCCAGGTTTCACCGCTTGCGCCAGGTCCTGGGCCGCTGTTCTCCAGCCATTTGTCTTCACCGTTTCCTGCGCAGAGAGTGCGTCTTCATCATATTTGGAGCCATGTTTAGATGTCACTGACACCCTGCGCAGTACGCTCCCAACAGTTCCTCCTCGCTTCTCCGACCCGGCAGCCGCTTCAAGGGAAGCCAAACCTCCGACCGTCAACAATATGAAGTTGAAGTCGAGGTCAAACATGTCGACATGCGCGAGTCATTCATGTGTGGTTATCTCCGCATCAAAGGTGCGCCAGGAAGGCCGTCATGATAGCAGCATAGAGACTGACGCGGCAGCAGGTTTAACAGAAGACCACCCTAGTTTAACCACATACTTCGAGGGCGAAATCATCGGCAGCAAATACTCATTCATAACGCAACATCCGGAATGGGGCTCCAACGAGAAGGTCGACAGGCAGCACTGGGCCCGCTTTCCAGCATACAAGCCCCTCTCGAAATATTCTTCAAGACCAGAGCTAGTAACGAAAGACTGGATGCAGAAGGAGCATTTGTTTATGCGTTGGAAAGAGTACTTCTTGGTGCCAGACCACCGAGTGCGAACCATCAGCGGCGCGAGTTTCGAAGGCTTCTACTACATCTCGTTCAACCAGGTGTCAGGTGGAATCGACGGCATTTATTTTCACGCTAAGAGCGAAAAGTGAGTTTGTCCATGACCTCCTGTACGCAAATACTAATAATCTCAGATTCCAGAAATTGCAATTAGAACATGTGCAGGACTATGGGTGTCAGGGCGCATTTGAATTCCGATGATCATGACTTGAACGATTAGCGTACGGATTGAGCATGTGGGCGCAACTTTGGGAGTTGCTTTCTTGTATCCTACATTGGGCCCCCGGTCTTTTACGCAGTGTGCACTGGAAGGCCGTTGGATTTTAGTCGATAAATGCAACTACGTCATTTTGGTTGTCTGACCCAGATGTGGAGCACTTGTCGAACCTCCACATGGCCGTGAGACTGTGGACCCTGGAAGCTAGCGGAAAAGCCTAGCTCCACAATTATTAGCCTTGCGAATATCTCCCCAAACTTCTTTTGACTACACGCACCTTACATCTCGGCTTCGCTGACCATGCCGCACGCACCTGCGAAGCGCCAAAAGCGCGAAGAATACAAAAATGCGCTGCATGAGGATGAGAGCAATGCTGCGCTGCCCAAGAAGAAATTCTACAGGCAGCGCGCACACGCCAACCCGTTTTCGGACCACTCATTGACATAGTAGGTGTGATCGATGTCAACTTGTGGAACTGTACTGAGTTTGAATAGCCCTAAGAGCCCGGCCGACATGGACTGGGCATCGCTGTATCCTGCATATGCTGTTGTGAAGCGAGAGCAAAAGAGTGCCGGCGAAGAGGAGTCGACACCGTTGGACGAGGAAGAGCAGCGCAGACTAAAGGCAATAACAAAAAACGTCGAAATTGCAGACATCGGATGCGGCTTTGGTGGACTACTCTTCGCGCTCGCACCAAAGTTCCCGGACACGCTGATGTTAGGTATGTCGCATTCTCTCCCCATCATCATCTATGAACCTCCACCTAACACCTCCCAGGCATGGAAATCCGCACCTCGGTAACAGAATACGTGCAAGAAAAAGTCCGCGCCCTGCGCCTGCAAAACGCCTCAATCCAGCTCTACCAAAATGCCTCTTGCCTCCGCGCCAATACTATGAAATTCCTGCCCAACTTCTTTTCCAAAGCCCAGCTCTCCAAGATCTTCCTGTGCTTCCCAGACCCGCACTTCAAGCAGCGCAAGCACAAGGCGCGCATCGTGTCATACACCCTCAACTCCGAGTACGCATACGTGCTCCGGCCGGGCGGCGTGGTGTATACGATTACCGATGTCAAGGACCTGCATGAGTGGATGGTCGGGCATTTTGAGAAACATCCGAGTTTTGAAAGGTGTGAGAAGGAGTTTGAGGAGGAAGGCGAGGCGATGGATGAGGGGGTGGGGATTATGCGGACGGAGACGGAGGAGGGGAAGAAGGTTAGCAGGAATGGCGGGATGAAGTATGTGGCGTGTTTTAGAAGGGTGGAGGATCCGGAGTGGCCGTGAAAGTGATGCTAAAGACATGCGCACAAGATCGAGTCACGTGCTTTCAGCCGGTATCAGGTGGAGATGTCCCAACTAGCTCAAGATTAAGCGAGGCTTACTGGGGGCGAGCATCATTACTTCTATTCTTGTTCAACACTGCCTGGCTATACCGCACGACCCACTTGCCGGCTCAGGCAACCACCATAAATCCCAAAGAGCTCGCGACTACATAAGGATGCCCGCTCTTTTCCCTCCACCTTCCTTACGATAGTGTCTAAACAGCCAGAAATTTAGTCACGATGATCACCCTTCCAATTGACGTTCAGCATATGATTGCCGACTACGTAAGTTCACTCTACACCACCAAACTGTGCGCCAACTCACCATTTCATAGATTGTCACGTACGAAGATCTGAAGGCGCTGTGCGTAGCGTCAAAGTATTTCCACAGCTATGTCGTTCCGCGCTTGTACAAGCGTATTCATCTCCGGTTATGGGATCGAGAACATACAGACAGATTTATGGAGAGCGTGGCGGCTGGTGCAGGCGACAAATTCCGCTTCACCAGGACCCTCGTACTTGAAGACATACCTATGGTCGCTGAACCCATCTGTGATCTCACTGAGCTTCGGTATCTATCGGAATGTGATTGGGATGAGCATCGGCGTGGTATCGACATGACAGGGGAAGAGCGAGAAAGCCGCATGTCTGAGTGTCTGAGGCTATTTCCCGAACATTGCCTGAGAAGGTTTTGGTATGCTACGTGGAACAGTTCAGCCCAAAAGCAATGGCTAACGTCTTTCCAGTTTTGTTGCGCGTCGGTCTTTGCCGATACACATCATCGAACATCTCCAGAACCGGCAACACGCTATTGATCAACTATACTGCACATCATCGCTCGATCTGACCCCATTGTTCCGTAACCTACGTCAGCTCCATATCTATCTTCAAAGTACTGCACACTTGGCACATTACCTACAGCATCCTCATGTGTTCAGTGAGAATATTCATGAACTGTCTTTCATCTACGGTCCAGAAGACGAAAGGGATGGATCCGTACTCCCGGACGAATTCGAGGTAACCAAAACATTGCCGAACTTGAAAAAGGTTACACTAGCAGGCATGGATATCAGATACGCCTATCGTGTGGGCAGAGGGCTAATAGACTCGCTCGACATTTCCACCTTGACTCATCTGAGTATGCTGGAGTGCCAGGGAGGCAATACGTTCGCAACAGGACTGGGACTCATAGCTTGCAAAACTGAGATTGATCTCGAACACATCGCGCTGGACCTTGGCTGGCTCGCCGAAGACAAAGAAGGGTCCGTGGAAATCTATCTTGGAGACCTTTTGGCTGCAGGTAGACACATCAAGAGTCTGCACCTCAAGTGGTATTGCTCGACTTTGGGAGAAGCCTTGGTAGATAGGATTTGTGCTATAGGACCGAGGCTAGAGTCCTTGAGCTTACAAGAAGGCATGGATATGTATTCAGTCTCACCCCTAAATTCAAGGGATCTGGCCACTATCTTCAAAGCCTGCCCGAACCTGCGGCAGTTTGGCTATCAGTTTGGGGACGAAGCATACACCAATAAGGATATCGATGAAAGTATCGAAGACTTCGTGGTACGTGTCTTGTGAAAGCAAGAGCCGGCCAAAGTCCACTAATACCACACAGGAGGCTGCCAAGCACCTAAAAGAGCTGCAAATGGTTCACATTCGCCTTTCACCTTACTGCACAGTCGGCTTCGCGTCTGATGAAGGCCAACCCGAGCCCAACCTCATCTTAACGCAGATCCAGGGGGCCGCGAACAAGATTTTCCGTGGACTGCATCGTAGCTGCCTCAAGCTCGATGCTATCGTGTTTGGGCATCTGGTAGATTTCTCGACACGACAAGACGATGGCGATTGGGGTCCGCTGCCACAGTTCTGCTTCATCAAGGCTGAGCAGAAGGATCGACTTGGTCGTGAGACGGCTGTCGGCGTTCCGGTGTCGCGCGCGTTGCTGCGGAAGACACAGCCGTATACGGATATACTGGACATGGATCCTGGTTCGGATGGGTGGGATCGCTGGGCGTGGCAGGCCACGTCCTAGGCAAGCATGTGCAGGTGACCCGCACGTCGGAGAGTTGTAGCCATCCTAAAACACTCTGGATGCCACGGCAACTAAATTTGACAAGAAAAAGCGACTGGTAGAATCCAATTGTGAGCAGTCGCCATATCGAGTTAGCGTACTTACACAACTTGACTATATGCGCGGCTTCTCTGCAACATCCAAACATCGCTCTTTCCATCAACAATCCAGCTTATGCACAACTCCACTTCCCTTTGTCATTATGACGACTCTACCTGTGGATATCCACTTGATGATCTCCGAATACGTAGGCAATCTCTGTCGTGCGAGTGAGCGCATTCGCTGACAACAGCAACAACAGATCACAACATGTGAGGACTTAAAGACGTTATGTTTAACGTCCAAAGAACACAATGCTTCCGCTATACCAAAATTGTATAAACGCATCCATATCAGACTTTGGGTGCGTGAGGAACTCGATCGCTTCGTCGCTAGCATGACGGCAGGCGCGCACGAGAACTTCCGGTACACGAGGACGTTGATAATCGAGGATGTGCGGCTTCCCGCAGAGCCTCATGTCCCTAGTGCAGTAGCGTGGATCAGTGAAGATGATTCGATGGAGCAGTGTACACCGGAAGAACGAGATGATTGCTTATACTCGCTCATCAAGCACTTGCCTGATGGCGCATTACGTCGCTTCTCGTAGGTCCCAAGCGAAGCCAAAACCTGCAGGCTTCTAATCACCTCCAGCTTCGTGTCGACTCGACCAATCCCGGAGCAAGCGGCGAAGCACTTGGCTGAGCACCAGACGTCCATTTCAGATTACCGTGTGCCGTACACAAAAAGCTTACGCGAAAACCATAGCGCCATCGCCAAGCTCCCATGTTTATAGCACAGAGTGGAACGAGACACAGGAGCACTTGCAACTACCGTCGATATCCAGCGGTCGGGCGCTTTCTCTCAGAATCACCGTAGATGATGGGCAAACTTGGCCAGACTTGGAGATCGCCTCGGGCAACGCTCGTCCGAAGAGCATGGTCAAGGAGCTTCGCTTACTACATGTCTCTGCGTGGAACCTTTTCCGACCATTATCTTCTCTGTACAACTTGTCTCAGTTGACACATCTGAGTCTGTTGGGCTCTTATGGCACTGCGTTTCTCGAGGCTTTTGAAGAAGCCTTCGTCAGAGGTCAAATTGACGTGCAACTTCCGCTCCAACATATAGCTGTGGAATACCAAGACAGCGAACAGGTTGACATTCTCGAGTATGATGCTAGCCTTGTACGCATCTACCGAGCTTGTAAAACGGTCAAGTCCTTACACGTTTGGTGGGAATCTAACGTCCCCGAAGAACGACCGGAAAGGATATTGAAGCTGCTAAAGAATTCAGCAGGAGCGCTGGAGCTTTTGAGTCTCTCACATTGGGGACGTAGTGAGACGCTTAGACATGAGGAGTTTGACGAGATTTGTAACGCTTGTCCCGGCGTACGACAACTCGCTATTGAAATAGCTGAGAATGTACTCGGTCCCATTATCGAAGGCGGGTGCTACCGAGACTTTCTGGTACAACAACATGTCTAAATCTACATACACGGAGCTGACTTTCAAAAGGCCTCAATCAAGAAGCTGAGAGAGTTACGCTTCATTCATCTCCGTCTACCCTACTCCCACCACATCGGCAAAGACGAACATGGCCAGTGGTCCCTTGACATCCTCGTCGCCCAAATGAAGCAGTTTGCCAACAGGCTCTTTGGCGAATTGCACGTCGCAGGCTGCTGTCCGCTACTCGAGGGTCTGGTCATTGGCCATATGGTGGAAGTCCGGCCAGGAATCGGGAGCTGGAGTGTCCCCATCCCACAGTGCTGCTTTATACGCGAAATGGAGAACAATGGCAAAGACTGGAGAGTGTCAGTCGCTGTTCCTGTTTCTAGAGCGATGCTTCGTAAGTCCTTGCCGTATACAAATATTCTGGATCTGGATATGGCGATGGATTGTGTGGAGCCTTGGCATTGTTGGGCTGGCCATGCGATTGCGTAGTCGAGTGGTGGAGCGTGTAGGTCTTCGAAAGTGTAAGGGACGGATGGAGAACATCCTTCATCAAGACCGACTTAATTGGAGTATTAATCTCATGTCTATCTTAAAGGTTATAATCAAGCATACCCACGAAGACGACTTCCTTTACTTCGAGCTCTCAAACAGGGCTCGGGTATGGCCAAGATGAAGTTTATGTAGGTTGCATCGTGTTGCAACCAAACTCTTGGCGACGCTCATTGACACTTTCACAAGTCGGTGGCCAATATGAGGACTGCTGTATAATAGCGACGCTGATGTATTCCCCCGCGAAGACCTCGGGCTTTGCTCAAAACTAATGCTACCAGACATATGAACTCCATGCCGCAATAAAAAGGAAGGAATAGCCTAGTTCTACCTCTTCGTCTAACCTAAGAGCTGCCATGCGACTCAAAATCCGCTGGAAGGAACCATCCCGCACTTTGTTCCAGCACCGTTTGATAGCGCGCATTGCATCCATGATGCAAAATAGCATCCTGCCCATGAATCTCTCCACAATAGGGGCATTCCGGCGTCCGCAACTAGCTTCGCTTGCATAGTTGTTGTTGGTGAGAGAGACTGGAGAAGGAACCAACATATCCGGAAAGAACATGGACCATTCCATTGAGCTTAGCGGGAGAGACTTGAACAGGATGTAGTCTCCGTGGTGCTCGAGGGAAGTATGCTAAAAGCTCGTCAGTACGTGCTGATGGTTAGCGGATAAAGCATGCTTACTGTCGCGCGAACTGCTAGCGCGCCTCGTCATTGTCCTGCGCCATGCAGCGCTCAAACAAAAGAGCCAACATTACGGGTACATCGATATGAGCCCAGGGAGTCACGGCCAACAGCCCTGTTATTGATGATGGCGTCACAACTGTCGTCGATGATGGCAATCTCCTTAACTGCTTAGAATGTCTTTCGCGGGACCCTCTATAGCTGTGATCTTTACGGATGCGACGTAGTGGCTATGCGCGAGAAGCGTTGGAACGAGGTGGAGACCAAAGTTGCCTGAAGCGCCGATGATAAGTACCCTTATGTTTATAAAGCGAACGCAATGCGAAAGAATAATGGTGAGGTGAGTAACTAGAGACTGTCGGCAAGATTGCAGCAAGTTATACATCCTGAGCTGGGCTGGTGCTGATGCAGGCGTTTAGCCCTCAGCTCCGTCAGCTCCGTCGGCTCCGCAGCAGCCTTAACCACCACCACCATCACAAGTACCTATATGCTACGGGCCGTTGCAGCGCTTTGTTTTCTCTGCTTCCAACGACATACTAGCAACCGCAGTTCCTACCTACACTCGCCGAGCCGGATTGATCGTCTTCCCCCGCGCTTGCCCGAGAGCTGTGTCGCAGATACACACCTACTAGTCGACACCGTGATGATCTTTGGTGTTCGACGCTCGCCGTGGTTTGACGCGAGGTGGCACCTTGGCTATGCAATGGATCAGTCACGCATCTGTGCTCCATTTAATGTATGAAATCAGAGGACGGTTTCTCGAGAGATCATAGGGCAACTAGGCGCCTTTTCGCCAGAAGAGCATCACGCAGCGGCTCTACAGCACCTGGACCAAATTCTCGAATTTAACGACATTCATACCATCGAGTCAGAGGTAGAGGTAAAGAAGCACTTGAAGTCTTTCTGTTCCTTCCTATGTAGCCCTAATGGTGGATATGTTTCTACTCAGCCGCAAACATCTACTCAGCCACAGGGCAGTGATCGTAATTGCCCGCGACGTTATTGCCCCACCACTGTGGGAACGGCTTCGCAGGTCCTCCCGCTCCAAACACGGCGAAACTCAGGATGAATAGACACGTCAGACTAGCGCCATCGAAAGCGCCAGCAATAAGGTACGAGTAGTCCTTGAAGATGCGTGGGCGGTAGTTGCGCAGGTAAAATTGGGTGTAAAATCCAACGATGGTCCAGCTGAGCAGTACGCAAGTCTGCGACTGGTTGTAGGGGATGTAGCCGGCATATTGGATGAATTGCGGGAAGTTGATCTCATTAACGTGGAATTTGCCGATCTTGGGGACAAACTGCAGTGATGTTAGCATGAGAGTCATGTCGCATTACTGGACCGATGTACGTACATGAGCAAAGATGCGGTGCGCGGCAACGATACCGGCACCGATGAGAAGACCAAATGGCACTATCGAATACGCTTGGCCTTGCTTGTAGAGGTAGGATGCAAGTGCCCAGGTCGTCGCGTTGGTGTTGTACGACTGGATCGTTGCACCACTCCAGGATGAGTCGCCGTTGCTGTCAGCGAGAAGCTTCTTATTGCCTGTGACGATCGAGGTCATGACCGCGTAGTTGATGAAGCCACCCAGGACAGTGCCGTAAATCTGTGTCATGAACATGACACGGGGAGGCACCTTGACTATGAAATGAATCAGACAAGCATCTGGAAGCGACAGGGATCAAACTTACGATACTCGCCCAGCTTGAGATCCATACTTAGCTGAAGGGCGCCGTTGATGACGTTGTGAGACCATGCGGCAAAGTACATGTTCCCAATCGGGCGACCGGGTAAGATCAAACCAGCGATGACCTTGGACAGGTTGTTTGTCGCGATTCCGTTTCCGAAGCGAGAGTATATGATGATACTCTTTGATGCCATTAGCAGATGCGGCCTTAGACAGTATACACGTAGAGACTTACAAAAGGTGCAATGATGGTTCCCATGCACAGCGCAATGATGTAGCCCCAGACTGGGAGAGTGATGTTCTCCTTGATAACGACAATGAGACCAAGTATGAAGCTGACGGCAAGCACAATCATGTACCACCACCAGGGTGCCTCTTTGTAGTGCTTATGCATGTGCGCGTGATGAGGGTCATCGAACTTTCCAGCTTTGGCGGCCTTGAACGCCCTGACCGTATCACCACCCCAGAAGAGAGCGATGTGCGCAATTAACGCGCCTATCTACAGGTTGTTAGAATTTGTGCATTGTAATCGACAACAAACAACTTACAGCGGCATTGGCCATGAACATGGCATACGCAAACGTTCCTGTCAGCCTCGGCAGACCATACTTTGCCAGAGCAGTCTTGTCAAGCACACCGTCGATGAAAACACTCGCGCTGGGATAACGCTTGCCGTCCTGGGTGAGGAGACGAGTAGACATGAACGGTAGTGACTTGGAGTCCCAAGCGTTGCCGTAGTAAATTGCAAGCATGACAATGAAGCATACGCCGAATCCGAAGGTTTGATGCAGCTGAAGCTTCAATGGTAGCGATGACTGGAAGGAAGTGATCTATCATGACGTTTGTGGTCAGCGTTGGTCCGGGGTGGAAATCATTTTCTTACATATTGCCAGTCTAAGGACAGCGTAAAGAGACCCAACCCCTCGTTGTTGGTCGCGCCGCCGAAAAGGTTCGTGAGAGTTGCGGCCTTCGATCCAGTCGCTTTCATAGCGGCCAAGCAGGGAATTGAGACGGAATTGAGCCATGGGAAGATGTACGCCGGGAAGAACTCGTAGGCGAACATGCACGAGAAAGCGATCCAAAACCAACGAATCGGCTTACTGTCCTTGACAGATTGCCAATGTAGACCTTGGAGCACCTTGACGGTTGGCAGACTGCTCCAGTATACTGCATCAACATGCCACACGCAAATGGGTCGCAGAATTCCGCAAATACCGTAACCGAACAACCCAATTGAGATGGTGCTGAAAATGACAGTTACGGGACTGAGCTCCAAGCTGTAAAAGATCTCTTGCGCGGCAAAAACCTGGCTACTCGGTGCGGCAATCGAGGCTGAGGTCGCCGTGATCGCTGTGATAGCGTGCTCCTTCAAGTTCCAGTGCCCATGATTGAAAAACGATATGACCCGGATATAGAGCGGTGCGACACCCACTCCACCTCCAGCTCTCCACCGGGCTTCGAACTTTTCGCCGCGGGGCAAGAACTTGGCCCATGCATTTCCGAGGAAGTAGGCCATGAGAACAATGAAAGTACCTTGGATAGTGACCAAAGTGGGTTTGAACTAAGGTAAATATTAGCAAACGGGAGTCTGCGCCGAACGGGTGTTTGTACCTGGTAGATTTGGTACACAACAGCCTGAAACGCTGACAGTATAGTCGCGAGGAAGATGCTCCGGAACGTCAACGCTGGCTCAAGGTCGTCGCGCATCGGTAGCAAATGGGCAGCAGCATCAGCTCCAGTGATGATGATGTGATCTTCATCGTCGCGCTCAGCGCTATCGTACGAAGGCAAAGCTGGGGTGATCTCTGGCTCTAGTACGCCCTTCTTTTCGAGCTCTCCATCGTGGACTGCGAGTCGGTGTTTCTCCTCGGTAAAAGCATTGACAGCTTCGTGGGTGGGAACAACGGTAGTTTTACCCTCGATGCCAGGCGCACCGAGGATGAGACCATCGCCCATGGGATTTGCGGCCATGAGTAGCGTTGTCGTGGTATATCGTCGCGAACGTTAACATGAAGGGGTAAGCCTCGTGGCTTATATATCTCATATAGAATGGTGATCATGCGAGCACGCTATCGACACAGGCGCTGATGTGATAGCGAATTGCGGCGCGGGTGCACGAACTGGCAAACGTAGATAAGGGTCCTGTGACAAGCAGCGAATCGAGTGAATCGCCTAATTGCGAAAGGGAAGGTGTCGCACCGCAGGATTCCATCGGCTGTGAAATAAGCCCAGTGGAATATCTGCGCAACCGTGTTGGTGGACGAATTTTGAAGCTAAGCATGGATCCTACCATGCAATAGAACCTAGATTTGGAGATACTGGCGTGTGGGGATGTTCGAGAAGCACGGAAGATCTAGGTGTGGAGGTATTTCGGTCCTAATTCGTGTTTTCGAGCGACGCCGAGATCACCGAAAGATTCTTTCAACGCCAGCGAGCAAGTCGAAGATGCGATTCACGCGTTTCAATATGTTCATCAGCGAAACTTTCGAAGACATCGCTAGCGGTGGATGCGTAAAATGCGGGGTATGTAGTCAATCGTAGGCTTTTGGGAAGGCTATACCAGCGGGTGCCATCAAACGTTGCCTCCCAATCAATCGCGGCCGCGGTGCGACCGCGCAGTTGGTCCTCCATCTCGAACTACCGAATACCTGATACGCGGTTGATATCAAGCACGCGATAAGAAGCGTTGCCAAGCGTCGGCCGGACTTCTTGGTCGAGCTTAATCCTCCCAAGAAAGAACGGATGAGGCCACCCGTGGACCAATGAACGACCCATCGCGTGGACGACCTGAGAGGGTCAGACCTCTTCCTTCGAATAGCGCAGATGCCGTCACGGCGACAGCAATGTCGTGATTCTGGTGGAAAGGGGCCTCTCCGACCGATGTTGGGTGGCCATATCGGCATGGACGATCCGTGGTCAGATGGCTCGCGTCGGCTGCACTGTCAATTTCAGACATGTGCCCGAACCAAACGCCTTGCCCAACCATGTCCTCGTATCGCGCCATTGTAAGACTAACTTGGTAACCATCTCCTTCGAGCAAGAACAGATAAGCTGCCGTGGTCCTGGACTCTTCTGCCCCCGGACGCGCTCCCTTTCCGATCCTTCGCTATTTGGCTTGTAGTAGATCGAATGGGATAGCGATATTGCGGCGCAACAGTGCGAGCACTTTTTGGGTCGTGCGAATGGTCGAGACGTGTTGGATGACGATGCGCGCCACGTTGTCCTGGCCCCTCACAACATCTCGGACGGTGCCAATCTCTGCACACGTGATGTTGTCGACAGCCAACCAAACGTGGATTCCGTCGTTTGAGGAAAACCGAATGAAGAAGTCCAGAGATGTGTTGAAGCAAAAAGACGTTACGACGTGTTCGTTGAGGGGAGATGAGTCTTATTTACACAACAAGTCGCTTACATGGCAGATGACAGGCCCACCAGACCACGAACAGCTAGACTAGGCAGCAGCCATAATATCCTACTAGGTCCAGCGCACTTCACTCCATCCTACAAAACAGGACTGGCCTTCATCATCGTTCCTAACGTAATCGATGCAGCCATGAGCACCTTCCATCGATTCCCTCTTCTCCCAACGGAGCTACGTCTCCAGATCTGGGAAGCGACCATCGAACCACGAACTGTCATGGTCTGCTTCTCATACAAGCCCAAGACAAACGATTACCTTCTCTACCCACGACTGCAGACATGCACCCCTGTCCCCGCACCGTTGCAGACCTCACAAGAAGCACGCAGTCATCTGAAAGGCTTCTACCAACAACTCTACAGCGAACAGCCCGTAGAACTTGAATTCCCAATCGAGAGATTTGATCAAACTATTGAATTGCCGCGGCGATACGTCTGGTTCATTCCAGCCATCGACATTGTAGACATTGGAGAAAACCAGCTTGAGCGCCTACGGCAAGCTGCGCCTTTGGTCCAAAGACTGGAGGTTGAGCGGCTGGAGCGGGACACGTACTGGCTCTGGCTTGAAGCTGAAACAGAGTTCCCTCATTATCACAGCCTCAAAGAAATGAGAGTCGTTACCAAGTGCGATTTTAGTGCTTATGTTAAGGAAGACAGTCTGGGGCGGCGGTGGCCTTGTGCGAAGGAGGGGGTCATTCTCATCGATGCGAACGGGAAGCTCAAGCCTATCACTCTCATGGCGTTGGTCAATGGGAAGGTTCCGGATGAACGAGTGGGGGAACCAGAATTTCTGGTAGGACATCGACACATGCATGATAGCTGATGGTGAGCTGCAATGTTTCATTTATTCAACTGCTTACAAACCCCCCTCTTACAACCTTCACACAGCCAACTCTTGTGTGGCTTAGTTGTCTTCTCCTTATAAACTGGTCGCTCCATCCGAACACCTTTCCACATCTTGATTCTGTACGACACCCGATCGACATAAGAATATTTATCAATCTGCAACCTGCCTAGTTGCTCAAACTTCTCGCACCGCTGGCTGTATACAATAGCGTTATACCCGTCATTTGGATATTGCCGGATTAATGTCGCAATCTTTCCGCTGATCCAGACACCGCCTGAGCAGCCTTTGTTGTCGCAAGTGAAGCGTCCGAAAATGTTTGTCGGAAACGAGCGCGTGGCGCCTTCACCGTTTTCGTTGTTGTGAAATCGAGCTGTGATGGAGTGTTCGCTGAGAACTGCCGCGACGTTTTCATGTAGAGATAGGTACATTCTCGAGCAGGGCGGAGGTGGCTTTGGCTTGAAGGCTTTCTTCTTGCCCATCTTTGACGATGCTCTTACTGGTAATTTGGAGGTTGGAGTAAATATGGGAATGATTTGGAGCGAGTTAAGGATTTCTTGACGACGTGAAGAGGGAGACAAGCAGCAGCCATGCTCAATGCAATGCTGCCTACCAGAGCATCGACTTGTCTATACTACTGGTCGCATATCTACCCCACGCGACCTGTTGGCGGTTAGGAAGAAACTCGAACCACCCAACAGCACATTGACGGCATCGACTTGGGTCAAGCGCGCGCTGTTGGTACACATGTATGGTTATGAACGCATCCGCGCTGTTGAGACGCGGGGTGTGGTGTTACAATATGCATACCCCGCCTATCCGCATCGTTGCCATCACCTTGGTACACAGCATACCACCCGAACCGCATATGAGATCTAGGGTGGGAGAACGCATCTCTCCCTCTCATTGTCTGTACATGTGTACCATCCGGACTGGCTTTCGGTATTCGCACTAATGCCGCTGTCGTCACTCCAGAAATATCAAATACCTGGATCTCAATGTAGTTCGCAGCTATCAGTCATGCTTCGAGTGATTGTCGTGTGCGATCTAATATGCGCTCATCCTTAGGGTAATCATACTCACACTTCAACACACAGTCTCGACCTTCAAGTCACTTTGGATCTTGATTTGTGCCACCCGTAAAAATTGAAGAGAGCTGATCAGCACTTGCAAGTCTTATTCATGACCTAGCACTATTGGGGAATTCCTTTTCGTGTGTAATGACGGCCGACGACTAATTGCGATTGAGCCTCGATCGTGACGCTATGCTGCGGCATGACTCGTGCCTGCTTTTCACATGCGCGAAGTAGCTTAATAGTCTCTGGGAGCGTATCAACAAGTTTATAAAGAAGCTTAAATATGTTCAGTACTGCGACATGTATTGGCTGCTTTTGCAAAGTTTCTGAATGTATTCATGCCATCTCTTGACTTTCCTCGTCAGATAAAGCCGGACAAGTGTACCCTAGTAAGTATAACATAGCGTACCGCCCTCGGTATTCAGCAGATCCTTGATTGTGGCGTTGCCCGCCAGCGGGCCGATGTTGACCTCAAAGTCCAGAGTGACGTTCTTCCCACTATAGTCAAAAGGTTTGATAGGCCCACCCACTTCATTCAGTCGTGCTGTCAAGTCTTTTTGTTGCCATTGCCAAAAGATACGGTCAATGTTGCCATGATGACAGTAAAAGAGCGGATCTGTGTACGTCAGCGCGTTCGTGCATGGAGTGGTACAGCAAGTCCGCTATACTCGAGTCACTCACCACCTGGACTCTCTTCAGCATCCGCCATAGTTCCTTGAATACCACCAACACCATAGTGACCGCTTGAATGGATGCTAGACAGACGAGGCTTAGGCCAATTCTCCACGGTTTTTGCGAAGCTGAAGTAGTCTGGCTGAGCCAAGGCTTCCTCAACTAACTTCGGTGCTGCCAACCGGTTGATGATCCATGGCATAAAGTCTCGCACCAGGCAGTGTGGCGTAGGCAAGTTCAGCATAAAATTTGGAGGCGCAAATGGGCCATTCATGACGCATCCACCGCCAGTATTCCCAGTTAAATTCTGAGGGTTCATTTCGGGTGGAGCTACCTTTGGGTATCCATTGCCACCAAAGCCAGTGTCGGGGTTGAAAATGGCAGAGTCGAAAATGCGGGCGGAAGTTTCATTAAGAGGCTCTGCATCCAATGACCAGTCCCAGTATCTACAAAACAGTTTGGAAAACCTTGTTTGGCACAATTAACTCGAATGGATGTGCTTCCATTGCAACAATCGACTTACGGTTGACCAAGAGTCCATCCGCATTCATCTTTCAGTGCCTTTTCATATGTCGCAAGGAAATAACGGTGCCAGAGTAAAAATTGTCCCACTATGTGGATATAGGGTGTCTGTTCCTTATGCACAGCTTGAAACTCATCGAAGCGATTTACCGTACCATTTAGGGGGGACCCGGCTTTGACGCGCGTCAGGCACAAAACCGCCTCAGTGTAAGATTTCCTCTGGGTCTCAGATAGCTGTCTCCTACAATTCCAGAATTAGTGACCCACCCATTGAGGACATTTATGATAGACTTGCCATTCCATCCTCTTGGGAGGATTTGTGCATGTACCCGACCCATTGGTTGGGGGCACAGCTGCGGCCGCTGACCATTGCGCCAAGCAGAGGCAGACAGGAAGGAGCTTGAGCACAAGCATGTTGTTTGCACAGATTTTACAAGGCGGAAGAAAACAAAAAATTGGCGTGGTGTAGTTCAACGACACTGCTATGCTGAAGAGCACCGACCGTCCACAACGCACAGAGGCAGTTTATGCTGTCTGAAGGAGGAACCACGACGCCTTTTTACACGAGGCTGCACGGGCTAGATAGCTCCCAAGTTATTCGCCGGTCTTAACTAGTTGTTACTCGATCTCGCGCTTGCGTCGAGCGTAAGCTTACTATGTGGATATGGATCGCACCCAAGAAATGACTTGGCATCAATACGTCGCTGAAATTTCATCGCAACGCGTATGTGCATAGATTCCGCTCGCTTTGGATGCGATTCTGCCACGGGACACTCTCGCTCCCATCAGGTTTGGGTCGTAGCCCGTTGGTTAGGTCTTTCGCTCCTGTTGCTTCTGCTCGTGGACAAGTCTTCGGTTGGATGTTTCGATGTGGTGCAACCCTTCCTTGCATCCTGCAACTCTGCATCTTGATCCCAATTTGGTCTTGACCGGTGGGCCCAATCGCTCTTGCCCGCAAACCACCGAGGACAATATATCAAGTGCTGATTAAAGGGCACGCATAGTCAGCGCTACGGTCTTGCATTATCGTAATTTTCTTGAAGCGCGCCAACTCCCACATACAGTACGACATTGCTAGCTGCTAAATCGTTGCCGTGTCGATATGGTTTCTTCGCTAGCTAACAGGGATGTTGAATTACTTAGCCACGTCTATCCCAGCTAGGTTTCAGGGTGTTTGGTGGGAGGCTCATGATTCGCGATCCTCAAGAACATCGGCTGGTAGATACTAAGCATGGAAAGAAGTTCTTGAAGTCCAGCCTTCCGTATGGCAAAGTCTTGTTGATCAGTCTCAATCTGTAATATATCGGAGATGCTCGAACAGAACGTACATAGCGACAAATATAACTTCCCCTTTTGTGTCAGAAAAAAAAAGGCCAATCGTCGGTTCTTGACTGCAGAAAATTCTCGGAAGTGCCCAGAAACTGCAGGCTGTATCTGTTCAGCTGTAGATGCGATCTGCGAATCTTGGAATGGAGGAGGGGTATGGGTGTGCACGCGTGGCTGCGGACCCGGTGGCTCTTTATCCCCGGTTCATCTCATTAGGCTCTTTCTGGACGATAATATCGCCTCACCAGCCTGTCATAGGTCAGCCTGCGCCTTAAGCAGATGTCAAGGTAGCTGTCACTAGGAGTTTTGAGCTACTATCATGATGCGATCAGAACAGGAAACCATTCACTACCGCAATAGCATGATCGAACTTGAAATAATAATTGGTATTAGTCTACAAGTTAGCGTAAAACTTTTGGTATGTCTATGAAAGGCTTTGTGCCTCACACATCTTTTTGTACAAAGCTCCATCTCCGTTCAACAGTTCCGCATGCGTTCCTTGCTCCACAATTCTTCCACCGTAAAATACGCAAATCATGTCGGCATCCTTAATTGTCGACAGCCGATGCGCCACAGCAAACGTGATGCGATCTCCTTCTTTCGCAGCTTCGGACAGTGCATTTTGCACGATCTTTTCGCTTTCCGTGTCGAGCGCGCTCGTGGCTTCGTCAAGCAAAAGTATGCGTGGATTGCGAATGAGTGCTCGCGCAATGGCAACGCGTTGGCGTTGACCACCCGAAAGCTGGGTTCCGTTTGGTCCAGCGGCTGTGTTGATTCCTTCCGGGAGGGACGAGACAAATTCCCATGCATTCGCCGCACGCAACGCCTGTTCTATATCCGCATCCGAAACCTCAAGTATCGTACTCGAGTCTGGGTTGTCAACACCCAGGGCGATGTTCTCGCGGATGGTTCCTTGGAAAAGTGTGGGTTCTTGCTGCACTAGTCCAACCTGACTTCGGTATTTGCGTGGGTTCAGGGTCGTCAGATCGTCGCCACCGACAAGAATTTGACCGCCTGTAGGATCGTAGAAGCGCTCGAGCATTGCGATGATGGTCGACTTGCCGCAGCCCGAAGCGCCGACAAGCGCGATGAACTTGCCCTTTGCAGCTTCCAGGTCGATACCCTTTAGGACGGGAGCGTGGGGGCGAAGCGGGTAGGCGAACTGTGTACCACTCAATTGAATAGAGCCTCCAGACTTTGGTGCGTTGTCCTTGTTCTCTGGTGTTTCTTGAACCACTGGTTGAAGTTGTCGCAACCAGAAGATGGCGTTCGCACCATTCCTGCCCTTCGTAATACTAGTGGAGAAGCCGAAAATTTGTGCCGTTGACTGTGCGCAGAAGAAAACGGACATGTACGATACGAAGAACTCAAATAGGGTGATCTCTCCAGCGGCGACTAGACGAGTTCCATACCAGAAACCTAGCGCCTGGAACCAGTATTCAGACGCCTGCGTGAGAGCGAACCACACCATCACGTGGAGGAGCGGCTTCAATGCGCCATTCACGGCGTGATTGAGCTCGTAGTTGTACCGATCCAAGATGGAGTTTTCGATGCCCAAAGAGGATACTGTCCGGATGGCGGTTGTCGATTCAGATGCAATAGCTGAGCTGGTTGCAAGGCGCTTCGCAATCATTCGGTCAAGGCGGCCGTCTAGACGCATCTTGATGTATCCACAACCAAGTAGAGCGGGTATGCCAGCAAGGACAATAACTAGGCCAAGTTTCCAGGCGTACACGATTCCAAGGATAGAGCAAGCTGCGATACTGAAAGTGGCAATGAGAATGAACCCGACATTGAAGCCCATGAGTTCAAAGACGGCTTGAGGATAGGCATCAATGCGACTTGCCAAAGCACCAATGTTGTTCTCAGGGCGGTCAAAGTACTCGAGATCTTGGCGAAGGATATCGTTGAAGATCTGCTTTCGGAGGTTATGCGCCAGTGTCTGAGCCAGGGTGTTCGTTCCCCATCCCATGACGTAGTATCCGAAGAGGGCTGCACCAGCTAATGCAACAAACATAGCGGAGAAGAAGTCACCAAGATCAGTCATCTCGTCAAGGGGCAGTGTGAAAACTTGGACCATGTTCGCCATGAGTATGGCCTGACCAGGAAACAACCCAGCAGACAGTATGCATCCACTCACCAGCGCGAGGTATGCCCATTTCAGGTCAGGGTTTTCGACCACCAGGCGCCAGATAACTGCCAGTAGTCCGAGCTGTTCGGTGTTCTGTTCATTGTACCGGTCGCTCCCAGCATGTAGTTCATTGTTTGCCGGGTCGGCCGTGGCATGCCTGGTCAACGATTTGCTGGCTTTTAGTTCGTGGGTACCCTCGTCGAAACTTGACTTTCCAATCTCGCTGCCCTCTGGTGTAGACTCATTGGTTACAGTGAGCTGTTGAATGGTTACCAAACGCGAATAAGTACCGCTCATCGCGATCAAGCTCTCGTGCGTGCCCTGTTCGACAATCTTTCCTTTAGACATGACGACAATCTTGTCAGCATTGCGAATAGTCGCGAGTTTATGTGCGATGACGATGGTTGTTCGACCAGCGGAAGCTCGGTCCAAAGCCTGCTGAACAATTCCTTCGGCATATGGGTCAAGAGCGCTGGTCGCTTCATCCAGCAACAGGACCTTGGGATTAGAAACCAGACTCCGCGCAATAGCAATTCGCTGTTTCTGGCCGCCTGAGAGGAGACCTCCACGCTGGCCGATTTCGGTGTCGTAGCCGTTCGGCAGCTGAGAAATGAAGTCGTCCGCGTACGCAATCTTAGCCGCTTCCACTACATGGCTCATTTGTTCTTCTCTTGGAGCCTTCTCAAGGTCCGTGCCGACGAGTCCGTGTGCGATATTGTCAAAGACCGTTCCGCGGAAGAGCACTGGTTCTTGTTGGACCAGACGTATGTTCCTCCGGAGCCAAGAAAGATTCAGCGAGTCAATCGGCCGGCCGTCCAGCTTAATCGCCCCAGAAGTCGGGTTGTACCATCTTTCCAAAAGGCCAATGATTGTGCTCTTGCCAGATCCACTCTGGCCAACAAGTGCGGTGACTTTCCCGGCAGGTGCGTGAAGGGAGAAGTTGTCCAAGACTGTCACATTAGGTCGTGTTGGGTATGAGAACGAGATGCCCTCTATGGAAACGTCTCCAGTGAGTGATTCGGGTTGCTCGCCAGAGGCATCGAAAGGATCGATAGCAGTCTGTCGGTCGATGAGGATGAATAACTGGGCAGCAGCTGATGCGGCGCGAGTAAATTCGATCGAGTAGGGTGCAAGCTGAGTTATGCTGAGTGCAGCGATGACGACGGATAAGAGTACTGTGAAGACGTCTCCTGTCTCCGCAATTTCCCCATTAGCCAGCATGTGGATACCCCTCCAGAACGCCAATGCGTTGCCGAGATAGATGATGGTGTACTCGGCGGAGAAGAGGATACCAAAGAGCAGAGAGATTTTGTTTCCCCACCAATGCGCTTTGGCAAGGTACGAGTCGAACCTGTCAACGAGGCGGGATCTCATCTCAAACGAATGGACAGTGCGAACGCTGGAGAGGACACCCTCTGCAAAGGCATTTGCCATTGCATAGTATTCAAGGATTTTCGCTTCGTACCCTGCTTCAATAAATGCACAACCGATCATAACAGCGACAGTCAGGGGCGCGATAACGCAGATGATGAGCGTAAGCTTCCAGTTGGTGACGAAAGCGATGATAAAGGAGCTCAAGAACGCTGACAATCCCTGCACAGTGAGGCCCAGCTTCTCAGAGACACCTGCTTGGATGAGACGACCACTAGAGTAAGCCTGCGTTGCGATTGATCCACTGTTACCAAGATCATAGTAGGCGACTTCTTGGCCGAGGGCGGCTTTGAGATAGGCATGGCGTACGTTGCGGACTATCCGGTAGGCGCTATACGTGAGAAGAGAGTTGTATATGTATGCCATCACGAATCTACCCAGTCCGAGAAAGAAGAAGTAAAGCGCCAAGGTCTGGCCTGAGTCCCGGAAGTTGTCGGCGGCAGCTTGTCCAGAGCCAAAATCGGTAAACGCGGTGACAAATTGGCCGAATATTATGTTTTGTGCTGCGATACCAACGCCTGATGCTAGCGCAGCGAAGCTAGCGACGGCTATCATCGTGTACTCTAAGGGTCCGGCATATGTGAACACCCTCTGTAAAGCTATGTTAGTAACATTTGAGATCAACGTATCGAGGAAACGTGCCCAGTAAGCCTTCCACGCACTCATGGTGGGTTTTTCATCGTTTGATTGGGCGTCGTTGACGTCCAGCGCCAAAACAGCATCAAGCTTCTCGCCCTGTGAAGCACCCATCTTGGTTGTGGTGGTAAGAGGATGAACCTATTGGCTCTGAAAAGATCTGAAAACCAAGAAGTAGCCAAATTATGGGGCTAGGATCTTCCTACAACAACAACTGGCGTTTTGTGTGTTGTATGCGAAGGATATTCAAGGCAAGAATCGTCGATGCCATTGAAATGCGATCTGAAACCGCTGGAGGGATTGTGATACTCATCCTCAGATATATACTGAGGTCGAATCATGTAGTTTGAGAGAAGACGGTGTCATTGCCCAGACGATTGCTTGGCTTCAAACACCGTGGAGTCGAACGCTGCGCGGATCCGGACATCGTGAAAGCCCGCGGGTCCGGCCCACAAGGGGATCGCAGTCGGCCCTACCACCAAACATGCTCGTCGCATATTCAGGCAATTCTTTGTTGAATCTTCGAAGCACATACCGCAGAATGAATTGTGAAACACCTCAGGCAACAGATGCTGCTATAGCCGCAGTGATTCATTCTGGCTTGGCGCCTTCGAACAGCTATGGCATCCACACGCAAGCACGAAACGTTCACCAACATGGTCCATGAGACACAGGGATATTTTCGCTATAGGATTCCGACCTATACCACGGTGGGGTTCTAGATCTTCGCGCATCCGTTTGCGACGATCTCACCGGACGCAACCTCGGGTGACTCCCTCGTGATTCTGTGGGTTGTTACTAGCTCGCATCGCATGTAGTATTTGCCGTATGTGCGGTGCGTCTGTGGAACTGCAGATTCGGGGTGGCAAGAAAAGGACGAAGAAGCTTTCCACATTTTCCTCTCGCACGCCAAATGATGATTGCTCTCCACATACAACTCGTCACGAAGGACCTGGCTCAAAATAGTGGCGTCCACGTTCCATTACCCAGGAGCGTGAGTAAATCAACCCTCTTAGAGCAGAAGATATTGATCTAGTGCTTGCATCATACATTAGTTCTAGGACAACTGAGGTGTTCTGGCTGACATGGACTAGATGTATGAGCACATTTCCTTCCACGCACCGATGGCGAGAGACTAGATATCGGACAAATGGAAACTGTTTACAATATTTGCTGCATACTCCATCTTTGCATTCTGTGTGCCTGTCACTTGGTGGAAAAGAACACCGAACAGCGGTTAAACACGGGTCGTATTATGGCATCACCAAGTAGCCACCTATAACACAAAACGCCGTCAGCGAACAACGCACAAATAACGCAACCATAAGCACAAAGGATCGATTCAATCATCGGATGGATACATACCTCTTGTGTGGGGGCTGCTTACTTCCAAAATGTGGGTTGGGCTAAAATTTGATGCCGTACCACGATAGCCCGTGTATGTGCTACTGCATGGCGTCGGACTGGCTTGCTGTTGGACCTCATCGTACGGCACGCGTCGATTCTGTTGCAGGTGGCATCTTTGTGATGTGTTAGAGTAGAGGATCATCCCTCCTGACAGGATAACAATACTACACCGTGATGTGACTAGTCAATGCGGTGTGAGAAGACTAGGTGGACCTAAAGTCCAGCCAACGGTCTGATTGACGAACACATGCTTACAATGAAGTTTTTGAGGAGCGTGGAGGTCAGTAGTCGAAGCCTCAATTGCGGAGATGTTCGCTCGATCAGAGACATTGTCCTTCGATTAATTCATCAATCTTGAAGATCTACGACATATAAAGCACGGCATTCAACCTCGTAGTCAAATAGCCAACGCTCTCATACACTTCATCTCAAACCCCTCAAACAATCCTCAGTCATCAACCATGTATACTTCAACAACTCTCTTCACGCTTATCCCCCTCCTGGCCAGCGGAGCCTTCGCTTACCAATGCACCGGGTCCGTCCTTCCGGTGGGCGGCAGTGTCGTGCTGCCAACGAACCAGGGTTACTGTTGTGGATCTACTGGACCTCTCGTGCTTAACGATTGCACAAACGCAGGACGTATGTGAATTGTACCTTCCCAATAAGCAATATTAACTGGCACAGAATCGGAGGTAGAGCAAGGTAGCCTCGCAGACTTCACTGCTCATTGCACCCGGACTGGCAAGAGTCCTGCGTGCTGCGCTGCGCTAAACGTCGCTGGCGTCCGCGTGGTGAGTACCTATATAATGGATCTTGCGTAGAGATTATATCACTAATCGTCAATAGGTCATTGGATGCAACAAGATCACTTAACTCGGCTAAGTACATGTCGTAAGGAAAGAAAGTTCTGTCTGTTGTATGGAGTTCCTCCGGGTTTCGGCTCAGGCCAGGCAGAACGGGTTCCTGTCGCTACCATAGTTGAATTGAGTGACAGGAAAGCCTGTTGCAATAAATACACCCACATTCGCTCAAATACCTGCTATTGCTCTATTCGTCCAAAGTGAATCGACCTGCTCCATAGCTTTCACCTGAAACCCTAGCATTGTGACCATAGCTACCAAGACCAAGTGCACAGGGTAGTCTCAGTTACCGCCATCTTCGATCAGATTGGCAGCGAGGTCAGCGTTTCCACTGTAATCGATGGCCACATCTACGATGCTCACACCTTCGTACGCCAAGGCCTCTTTGAGCACGCTTTCAACATCAGCTGAGTCACTGATTCTGTACCCTTTCGCGCCGAATGCTTCTGCAAATTTAACAAAATCGACGCCGCCAAGCTGTACACCAGAGGAGCGACCATACTTCATGACCTCCTGGAATTCGACCATGTTGTACGCCGAATCGTTCCAGATGAAGTGAGTGATGTTGCATTTTTGCTGGACGGCAGTGGACAGCTCCTGTGACGAAAACATGAACCCACCGTCGCCGGAGATGGAGATGACTTTCTCAGAGCACGGTTTAGACTGGGTGAGAGAAGCTGCTATCGCCCACGGAAGCGCCACGCCAAGCGTTTGCTGTCCATCGGAACTAATGTATGAGTTAGGCGGTGGAAGTATGACATGTTTGTGGACTTACCTACCAAAGCAGTCTGCGGGGTTCGTAGGCAAAGAAGAATCGCATGAAATAGATGTACACACTTCCTACGTCGACGCATACGGTCGTGTCTTTGGACACCGCACTTTGTAGTCTTGTGATAAAATGTAACGGGTGCACAAGGCCTGATGAGCGACGGACCTCCGGTCGATCTTGCCACTCAGTATATTCTTCGATTAGCCCCTTGCACATTTCTGATATGGTTGTCTCCGATATTCTTGACAAATGGTTCGTGATATACTTCACATTTTCGACGACTGATCCGACGAGCTCAGATACCGGGCGGTAAGACGTTCCATAATCAGATGCCATGAAGTCGATGTGTACAATCTTCGTGGTGCCCTCCGGATTCCAAGCATTGGCATCGTACTCAACCGGATCGTATCCAACAGCAAGTACAAGGTCCGACTTGGTGAGGAGCTTGTCGCCTACTTGGTTTCGAAACAAGCCCACTCTTCCGTAGAACAAATGGACTAATTCCTTCGGCACGGCACCGGCTGCCTGGAATGTCTCCACGGTTGGTATCGGGAACTTCGATAGAAGTTGGCGCACCGCGCCAACGACCTTCGGACTGCTTGCCCTCATCCCCAAGAAGAGTACCGGCAACTTCGCGCTCTCAATCATCTTGATCACCTCGTCAAGTCTATCCGGAGGTGCTGGTCCATAAAGCGGTGGTACAAAGGCACGACTATCGAATGGAAGGACACCCGACTTGCCCTTTGCGACATCTTGTGGTACCGAGATGACGTTGGCACCTTTTGGAGAGGTGCTTGCATTGCGAAAAGCATTCAGGATAACTTCGGCAGCCTGGTCCTCGACATCGATGGGGAAAGCCGCTTTCGCAGTCGGGCCGAGAATGTCTAGCGCCTTCATGCTTTGATGCGTTTTCTTGAGGTTCATCTGCCGTGGTACAGATCCCACAATCGCGATGACAGGATCGTTTTCCGTCGTAGCAGTCACCAATCCAGTAGCGAGGTTGGAAGCTCCAGGTCCCGAGGTTGCGATGCAAACGCCTGGTATGCCCGTGATACGACCGACAGCCGCTGCCATGAAGGCCGCATTTTGTTCGTGTCTGGCGACGATGACTTTTATTTCGGGGTGATCCAGCAGGGTGTCGAATATGGCATCGATTTTGGCTCCTGGCACGCCAAATACGACGCGGACGCCAGCATTGTACAGGCTGTTTACGATAATTTCGGCAACCGAGTTTCCAGTCATATTGAAAGTTGATGCAGGAGTGGAAATAAAGCAGAAGTAGGAAATCGCAGCTCAAGCTTTTCGTGGGAGGGCCTAGCGAAGCTTGATCACCGTCAGTTCCAGGTGAAGTGCCTGCTGATGAACGAAAGTCTGGTTTTACAGCCTTTGCGTCACAAAACTGCTATGAATATTTGCTGTTCTCCGTGCTTAGGAATCGTTTGGAGGATACTTGTGTAGATTGTTGTGCCTCAGCATGCTGTAAGCATGAGGATGCGCCCCAAATAATTTCTTGCCGATCTGTTCCGCAGCCATGACATCACGAAGGCTAGCTGCTTCCTCAACATCTACATGTGCCAGACCAGATGTCTTGACTAAAAACAAAGCCACAACCTAAATCCGATATTGTCCGAGTAAACATCGAAAACAATTGTTGGCATTACTCCCAAGCGTTTACATCGGCCTCAAGCAAACACCAACATTCGTCATCATTACAACACCGATATCTTCAACGCAATCTCCAGAATGGCTATCAACGAAATATATCAGTATTCGCTGGTGAATGCGCTAATGTCCGGCGTCTCCGATAGCGGTATAACGGTGTCTACACTTCTTACCAAAGGCAACCAAGGGCTCGGCACATTCGTTCTCATGGATGGCGAGCTGTTACTCCTCGATGGCACAGTTTACCAGCTTCAATCAGAAGGAAGAATACGCGTGGCGGACCCAGATGATCAGATCCCTTACGCCGCGGCCATCCGATTCGAGCCACAGCGGACCGTGAGCGTGGTAATGGAGAGCAAGAATGCACTAGACCGCGTGCTGGAAGGGAGAAACGACCATGCTGGGAATTTGTTCATGGCGTACAGATTGGAGGGTCGCTTTTCGCGTATTAAATGTCGCACGGTAAAGGGACAAGAATACGCTGGACAGCCGCTGTCCGAGCTGGGTAAAAGCCAATTCGTTGCCGAATACAACGACATCGAAGGCACAATTATTGGATTCAGGTCTCCCAGTGCATGGCAGGGTTTCTCTGTCGCAGGAAATCACATGCATTTCATCGACAAGGACCGGAAGGTGGGCGGACATGTACTAGAGATGGAGAGTAAAGAGAAAGTGAACGTCGGGATTGCGACGGTCAAGGACGTGCACATTGAGCTGCCTACGAGCGAGAAGTTCAATGATGCGAAAATGGCGACGGACGATGCGGGCTTGAAACAAGTAGAAGGCTGAGAAGTAAATCTGAGAAGGCGGTTTGTTGTCAGCCTTGTACATGAATGCTGGTTAGGGTCATCTTCGGGGTTAATGGCGTGGAAAAAATGGACATGAAAATGCAACGGCGCAAGGGGGAAGCGTTAGGATTCGTTGGCGCCCTCATTGACGGGCGGATCGAGTAGGCACCAGCATCTAGCACACAACGCTTTGCGCCACCCATACGTGTAGACATAATTTACAACCATTGTTCGATACTGCGTGCGATACCGTTGAAGGATGTATTAGCCTATAATGGACTAATCTGGCGAGGTAACAGAACCAAGTCTAAGTTCGTGAGGCGTTTTGTGCCACAAGCGAGATAGGCCTGCCTTCACCTCAGATAGCAAAGTGAGAGAAGCCAAAATTAACGTTGACCCTTACCCTTACCTGCAGAGCTATCCTGCAGCGCTAGTGCGGGCCAAAGCTAATCCTCTGTTTGCTCCTGGATACAATGCCTAGCGTCCACGCAGCTCCATTGCTCTTCCACTAACTTTCCAACTTCTTTGGTTGCAGATGTCTGGCCTCATTCGACTCCAGAATGGACCTTCCCAATGGCCCGACATCAAAGATGCTGCACACATCCTCTGGCGAGCATCAATTCATCCGGAAATCAGCCCTCTCCGCGACACATTAGCTGGAGACTTCTCCTACCCTTCACTCTTTGCCAAAGACCTCCACACGGGGATCAACTCAAGCCGGAGAGCGATTATCGTGCGTTATCATGACAACATTACCATTGCATTCGAGGGAACTGGTAGCGACGCCCTGGTCATGAATCTGTGGACGAATCTATGGGCAGATGCCAAGGGTCCGAATATTTGGGACATACCGTTCCCGGTGTATACGGATGGCAATCGAGTCCATAGCTTTTATCGCGACATGTGGCATGGCATGCGAGCTTCAACACTCGACGCACTTTCGGAAGCTGTCAAATGTATCGTTGCGAAGGGTAATGCGCCAAAGTCGATCGTCGTTGCTGGGTTTTCAATGGGTGGCGGCGTCAGCACGTAAGTGATCCATTCCAGCTCAACTATGTGCATTCTATGGTTTGGAGTCGAACTGACAAATCTGCACAGCATGGCGTTCATGGACATCGTACATCATGTCCGCACCACATGGGGCTCTGAATCGCCTGCTCCATGCGACTGGGCCAAGGACGAGGGTTTTGCGTCCTTAATACAGCATCTGACCTTCGCCGCAGTCGCAGCTGGCGATCAGGGTTTCCATACCGTTTTGAACAACGTATACGAACATTATTCGATTCGGGCGTGGGACTTCATGCATCACAACGATATCACACGTCATGCCCACCATCCTGCATTTCGATCATTCAGAGGTTATCGCTACATATTGCCCGATGCTATTGTACGGCATTTTGGAGCTGAGTTCGGTCCTGTGGGTCATTGGATATTGGGGTATTTGAAGGCGGCGCAGTGGATGACAGAGCATGGAACGGATCAGGTCAAGTCGGAATATGTGTATCGATAAGACTGAACCATTGTCCTTACTTTTGGACGAGTCCTGTACATGATTCGGCATGGTCGTATGGGAAAGAGGCGAATATAGTCATAAACAGCGGACGGTGACATCTCGCACCGAGGCTTGAATCATCACATGAGTTCATTGGGTCATAAAAGTACATGAGGTGCCGACATGAATATATAAAAGCGATTGTGTCTGTCCGCGACCTCAAAAAAGGTGCCAGTACGCATGAAGCTTCTTACTTTCGTCTTGTCCATACGCTTCGCGAATGCTCCACCGGCACCCTATTTTTTTGATCGCCTAATCCAACAGCTTCTGCGCCCAGGCGGCACTCTCATACCACGCCCTGATCTTCTTTCCGAACACGTACAGGGGCAGTGCCATGACAGTAACGATTGCGGCCGCACCCGCCATCAAGCCGAATACATACATGGGTCCCTGGGTCTCGAGCAAGCCAATCAGTGGGTTGAGCACGACGGTAACGGCGCCTGCGGAGATCATATTGATGGAGGAGAAAGCCTGGGCAGAGTGGTCGGGGTGACAGTCAATAACATAAGCGATAGCGATTTGAACAACAGCAACACTGCCGACATTGGTGACGGTCATCCAAACGAGGACCCACACAAGGGGAAGACTGTTCTCGAATGCTTCGCCGAGTCCGATGAGTCCGGCCATGGTGATTGGAATCGTGATGATGAGCAAGAGAAGACGGAACTCGGGCTCAGCCATGCCTTTGGTCGTTCCGTTGTGGCGCGCCATCAGGTTGACCGAGGCGTCGGACAGCCAGCCGAAAAAGGGGCCAGAGAAAAGACCCACTACGAATAGCGGCAAGTTGGTCAGTCCGATTTGACTTGGGGTCAGGTCGTACGGAGGTGAAGACAGCAGGATCGACATGAAGGTCGAGATACCGGCCAGGAAGAGGAAGACTGTGGCGTTGAGGAAGCAGCTGTAGAAGACAATGGGGGAGGAGAGAAGTCCAAAAGGCTTAATGATGCCCTTGAAGAATGACTTGTTTGAAAGCCGACCACGGGTGACGGCTAGCTTCTGGCCGTATGTCATTTTGGCGGGGAGGATGGAGGCTTTGAGGTCCTCCTCGTCATATTCGTCGCTCAATTTGTTGGCTTGGACATGGATCGTCGTGACATCTTCAGTTTTGCGGTCGAAGTAGGCGGTTTCGAAGATTGAGAGGTAGAAGACGGGGATCAGGGCCACGAAGATTAGAGCGGTGATGAGGAAGTTCGCCATTACACCGAATTTGTCGGTGATGAAACCAGCAAAGATTTGACTAGAGATACGTCAGAATATGTCATGATATTGAACGTTGCCACAACTCACCCAACCTGTGCGCCAGAGTTCAACATTAAGTTCCAGACAGCGATCGACTTGCCGCGCTGGTGCACAAAGAAGATGTCGCTAATGGTTGCGGTGAGAAGCGTGAACAATGGCGCCGAAAACATACCACCAGCCGTACGAGCAATCGCAAGCATGGGGAACGTCGTAGAAAAGAAGCCAGCAAATTGGAATAATGCCATCATGACGACAGCCAAGATGTAGAATGGTCTCCTACCCCAAACGTCCGTAGCAGCGACCGCGATGAAAGCTGCGGCCGAGGTCCAGAAGGTTGGTGCCGTTAGGATCCAGGTGCTGATATCGCCCTCATTGCTATTAAACTTCTCGGTGAGCGGCTCGAGGCCGGGTGTCAACATTACAGTAGTTCTAGAACAGATCAGCTGGCTGAAATACACAGAGTCCCGCGTCCATGAACCTACGCGTTGGTGACCGCAGAGCCAAAGGCTAGGAGGAATAAATGCACCCATTTCGATGTAAGCGACCTGATAATCAGTCAGTGGTCGTAAAGACGATCTCCGAGGCGACAAAACCCACCAGTTGAGAGGGTCGTTTGGATCGTCACTAGGCTGCGGTGAGAGGACAACGCCTCCCTGCCTCTTCGAAGTGTCTAGTTCCTGTGCATTGTCGCCGTTCGTGTTCGTCTCCTTGACACCTAGCCGGACGGTGCCCCGAGGAAAGGCCGAACGCCTGCTCTCCAATACGCCCCAACCCATCGTGAAGAGTTGAATGGACTAGTGAAAGGATGTCCTAAGAACGGCCCGCGTCTTAGATCAACAGTCCGTCGATTGCGAAAGATGCGAAAAGTGAATGAAATACCGTCCAGCAGTTGCGCCTAAACCAGCAGGCTATGAAACGAAGATAAGGAGAAAGATAAGGGAGTGGAAGAAAAGATCCGAGATCCAGCCTGCTGTCCTAAAATGTATGTCTTCGGCCTCAGTGATATACGGCTTGCTTTCCCGCGTAAGCTGTGCAGTCTATACTGCCCAGCCACAGGGTTTGGACTGTGTACAAACACGTTACGCGTCTGGTGTGCTGAAAAGGGCATAATTCGGTCATTCATGGCTTTGCTACATGTCGCAAGAAGGTATCAAAAACATCGAGAAGCGATGCGCGCAACCCTGGACAAGATCTGCCTGAAAGGGGGTCGCTAAGTGGTGCGTGGGCCCTGCACTCTGGGGCTCGCGGAAGGTTTGACGGCTGCAGTTCGCTTCAACTCTGTGCACGTGGTGGGATACTGTTCTGCAGCACGGAAACACCCGCTGTACTCGTCTTCTTCAGGACGAAACTTCAAACAGGAAATCTGCACGGCAGTGAGCATGTTCCAGGGTCTTCAACGCAGATATCGTGGTGGTTGAGTTGCGTGCGATGGCCAAGTGTTTCGAGACGTGGGGGAACGCCCTTATTTCTGTCGCACTAGCCGCCTTTGATCGACATCAGCCACGGTCCGAAAGGCCGGGTGTGCCTGAGGTCCTCTGAATGTCCGAAAGTGCGGACGACTCACGCCACGATTACCACACAAAAAGTCCCGTGCGGATCCACCCGCAAACACTCAAGACAAAGCGCCAACTCCAGACTCGGGTGCGGCACTGAGGATGATCAACGGGCGGGACTGGTAAAATCGCCGATAGGAACGATCTCCTTGACTAGACTTGACTAGATCACCTTTTGTTGATTAGCGAGCAGTCTGACAGCTTGTAGCATGGGTCGTGTCAGTCTGCTATCAAGAGTAGCGTGTTGGTTTAGGACGAGAATGGACGCCAAGTAGTGGTCACAGCCGGTGAGGCAGCAAGGAGATGGTTGTGAGGCATGCAGGAGGCCAAAGCATATCATGGATGACGAATCTGCGGAGTGACGGCACCCAGGAACAGCGTCTCGAGCACGCCGACCATACGGACATTGAACTTGCCTACCTGCGTTCTTTCATTCTGACACCTACACCAGCGCCTTGCTATCACGAAGATCTCGTCGCTCTTTAGTCTTACAGTCTCTCGTTGATGCTGTTCCATGAGATGCGGGATGTAAGTGACGCCGCAAAACTCGGCGGTGTTACTCCCATACTTCGACCTATTTGGTCTCTCTTTCTCCTCGGGCCGTCGAAGAATGTATAGGCATTGCCTGCCATAAAACGTGCAAATATTGTCACCTGGCTTCCAGCCTGGACTGGCTATACTAAAATGAACACCTTCTGTCGCAAACAAGCAGAGTCCTACCACAGCGTTAAGGTACGGAATGCATCCACTGACCCAGGTGCGCGAATGGTCACTCAAGCCGTCAAATGCCGAGTTCTTCCTTTGGAAAGAATTGTGTGTGTTTGTCGAGATTCTTTCATCGTTCTCGCAAAGATGCGGTCATCTACAAAAACATTCTTCAGATATTCTATCGGTATGTCCGTGGTTGCTGATTTGTCTCCGTCTTCAAATGATCGCGTCAGGGCTAAGGCTCTGTCGTAGAATGTCATCACAGCTGCAAGTATAGGTTTGACCATTTCCAATTCCCCCTAAAGGTATCTTGATGGAAACCCTTCACGCCAGTGCAAGAGCTGGTGGTACTCGACGACTTCGGAGATCCTGTCGGCAATGAAACCTAGCACTTGCAAAAAAGATTTTCCTTCAGAACATTGAGCAAAGAACAGATTGTGGTTCTTGATCGCGTCCGCCCTTTCACGGCTGTCTTGGACATCAGTCTCGCCGCCAAGAAAAGCGGACACTGCAAAGTCACGGTAGCTGGTCTTTCTGTTCCATTGGTGCTCTAGAAGTCGTGAAGCTGCGACGATCCTGAGGAGGTTCGGATACCAAGAGGGAAGCTCTGTGCCGCTCTGCTCTAGAGGTCGTGGATAGCTAAGCAAAGTTACATTCTGTCCAATTTCAACGACAAATCGTGCAAATCGTGTGTGTTTCCTCCAGTAATCTTTTCGACAGAGCTCACTGTAGTCGATCATGGGGGCGAATCACTTCTGCAAACTTTCGTGTAACATTGCAGTAGTGGCCCAGACTCTGTCTTGGATTCTTTCGCTTATCTCTACTGGAGGCAGATAAGAACAGCATGCCAGAACTGAACTTCCTCAAATAATCTGCGCTCAATTGTCTCGCGACGGACTTGTTACATCAGCTGGCATTCGTCGAACGCAAGGGCTGATAGGTGCGCGCTCTGCACAAGTGCTGAAAGGGCCAATCTGTCGAACGTCAAGTAGCCCGGCGATGTTTAGTAACCATTCACGACAAACGTAAGGAAATCATTGAAATCACTAAAATCTATCGCAAGGGCGCCAACAACAAGATTAATGTGCGGTGTCAAAACACCCTCTTGAAGGGTCCACAGTCTTCTGAACCCGTCGTGATTAAGCAGCCAGTAAAGCTCAGCCCAAAAGCTGTGACTATCTGGAGGCCATTCTTCTCCTCTCCAGAGTAGAACAATTACATGGTCAGTATTCAGCCTCCAGTTGCTGGTTAATTCGCATACGTAGGGTGAAGTATGCAAGAATTCTTGCACTCGAGGCTGAGTGAGAAAGCTCCCAACCACACCAGGACAAATGCGGATTGTGCGTGAACATGTCGCATGAGTGGTGTCTGCATTGCCTTCTCATCATCATCCTTCTGGTTGATGCAGATCGTGTCAATCCATAGCAGCGTACTCCGGACCTACAGCTGCTCCAGCATTTTGAAACCACTGTAGTGACCGGTATCGAGCCTTCCTTGCAAGACACGTTGATCAAAGCCGTGGATTTCCCCCATACTTGCGAGACTACGCTAAATTCCGGCTTGTCTTCGAGCTTATGCCGACGCATTACAATTTGCAACGAATTCGTAGCCAAGAACCAGGGGTAGACATGGCGCAGGGAAGGCTCTCCAGTCTCTTCGATTGAGATCAGGCGAGACTCTCCTGGTCCAGCGGAAGGTCATAGTAAGGCCAATGCCGACGTCACAGAATTGACATGGTATCGCGCAATAGTATAGCGCTGCTTCGAGCGAAGAGTATATTAAGCGAAAAGTAAGGATGCGTCGAGTGACAGGCAGAAGAATGTACCGCTCGCGCTAGCGCTGGGACGCTAAGCCATTTCGGTGAAACCGTCTGGACGAATGGCTCACTTGCAAGTGATGTAAAGTCAAACAAGACTCATAAAGATTAAAAAAAATCTAAACAAAGAGAATCTCACCCGTAGACCTACTATTCATACCGCGCGCCAACACAATAACCATAGCCTTCTCTGGGTCCGGCACTCCCTTCTCCTCTGCCCTTCCCATCCACGGACTAAGCTCACCTGACTCCACTTCCCACTTTCCTCTCTCGATAACAACACCCTCAATTTCGTCCCCGTCGACAAAGACTTGCAAAGACTCCACGCCCTCATCATACGTGCCCGAAACCTTCACCTTCCCTCCCTGCTTGACCGCGCTCGCCGTCAAACCCGGCGCTTTAGAGCCAATCTCCTTCTTCCTACCCCCAATCTCGATCCGATCGCTCTTCAACTCCGGCGTTCTCTTCGGCGCTTGTCGCAACTTACTCCCCTTCTCAAACGCGTATGCATATTGCAAAAGCTCACTATCTGCATACGCGCGTCCCGCGAACGTCAGGTTCACTGGCATGTCAATATCCTTCATGACGCCCATAGGCACACTTATCGTCGGGATACCCAACTGGCGAATCGCACAATTGCCGTTCGAATACAAGACGCCGTTGCGCCATGCGTCTGCTGCAGAATGCTCGTTGATGTCGGCGTCGGCGCGTCCTACATCGCCGTTACACGGCCAGACAACGGCGTCGAGACCGAGCTCGACGAGCCAGTCTTCAAACGTAGCTTTGCGCATCGCTTCAAGGTTGCGCAGTGCGGGACCGAGATTGGGAATCGAGTATGTATCTGGTCGGCCAGGTGTGATATGTGCGACGACATCAGTGTGGCGGACGAGCGGGTCGTTGGAGTCGTATTTATCTGGTACGCTACCCTGCGGGCGCGGGAAGATGCTTGCGGAGTCGATTTGAGAGAGGCTGGTGGCGAGGTTGGAGTCGGCATTGGCGGCGAGGAAGTCGTCCCATGCGTAGGCCATCAGCCGGCACATGTCGATTTCGTTGTGGTGAGGTGGCGCGGTGGATTCTTCAACGAGGCCGTCGTTGCGGGATGAATCGGGGGCTTCGAATTTGGTGACGACGGGGAAGTCAACTTCGATGACAGTTGCGCCCGCGCTTTCGAGGACCTTACGCGCGTTCTGCCAGAGGACGATAACTGATTGGCGAGTGTGGACTTTGCGTGCGGTCGGATCGGAGTCAGTGCCTCCAATATACATCTTGGGCACACCGATCTTCTTGCCCAACAGAGACTTTGCTTCGGAGAGTGAGTGGTAGGATTTTGGTCGTATTGTGTCGACCTCAGGGAGCTTGACGAAGGGCTGCGCCCTCCAGAAGTCGCAAGCCGTCTCATCATCCTTCGCGACGATCACGTCAAGCAACGCGAACATGTCATCCACAGTCCTCGTATGTGGAACAACGGTATCGCAAGTTGGGAAGAGCGGCCAATTGCCCCTGATGGAGATCAAACCTCGCGATGGAGTGTATGCCACAAGGCCATTATTTGATGCAGGCGATCGCCCAGATGAGATGGTCTCCTCACCCATGCCGAAGACCCCAAAACTAGACGCCGTAGCTGTGGCCGAGCCATTTGACGACCCAGAGGCGAAAGCAGCAGTGAGATATTCTGCGTTGTATGGTGACTCAGCTCGACCGTATACACCTCGCTGCATACCGCCAGCAGCCATAGGTGGCATGTTTGTTCGACCGAGGATGACCGCACCAGCTTCCCTGATCTTCCTGACAGTGAATGCATCTTCATTCGCAATAAGATTCTGGAAGGCTGGTGATCCAGAGGCGACAGTCATGCCTTCGATCTTGTAAGAATCTTTGATTGTGCATGGTATGCCATCTAAGGTGTTCACGGCCTTGCCCTTTGCTCGGCGATCGTCCGACGCCTGAGCAACATAGAATGCATGCTCGTTGACGACAGGCACTGCATTGAGATTGGTGGAGCGTCGGTCATACTTCGCAATTCGAACCAAGTGTTTTGCAGTCAGTTCAACACTGTTGGTCTGACCATGAGAAAGGGCTGCGGCAAGGTCTGCAATTGATGCTTCGACAATGGATATGCTCTTATAGTTGTTAGTGATGAGATCAACGACCCTAGGCTTCTATCCTGGGAAATGCAGGGCATGGCGTCGACTTACTTGAGATGAAGTTGCGGGAGTCATAATATTGTGATCGAAATTGAAGCTGGTGTGCAGCGATCATGTCTGCTCAACTTGGACGCAGCACATCAGTTATATGCTCGTCATCTTGCTGACCATCCAACCTGGAAATATGGAGATATATCCCGCATGATCAGCAATGAGCAGCTGCAGAGATCTGCGCAGTGACCGTTTTTCCATGTTGTTGTGATTGAGCAGCTGTTAAATTGTTGTAGTTCACGCACATGCAGGGATTGATGCTGCTATCTCCGCTCGTGGGGCATTGTTATCCACCAAATAACAGCTGTTAAATGCGCATCGCCCAATCAACACTTCCATCGCTACTATTATCAGAAACAAGTCTGGGGTAACGATGCAAGCGTATCATGGTCGTGTTCTTCCGGATTGCGTATCTGTCTCACTATCAGCCAAGCCACCCGACAGCGGTGGAATGTTTGGACCGAGAGCATGATAGTGGAGATATATCTCCGGAATTGAACGCCTGTGTGGAAATCATCTTTGCATTACTTCGACATCGCCCGCGGAATCACATCTTCATTTGTTATTTACAACTTCAATATGTCGCCCCGTGAAGTCGACAATGACCATGTTCCAGGCACGGTGTATCTTGTGGACGTCATCGGTCGCGCCACGTCCCATCTTCACGATGCTTCGCACAAGGATATCTTGCTCGTCCCAAGACCAAGTGCTGATCCAAACGACCCATTGAATTGGTCAAAACCTCGCAAACTCATGGCAGTGGGCATGGCATACCTTTACGTCTTCGGTACCGGGATCGCAACTTCTCTCCAGTACTCCGTGCTCGCCGACATCACAGCCGACACTGGTATTTCAACGGCCAATCTAGTCGAAGGTACTGGCGTCATGTTCCTTTTCTTCGGCTGGGCATGTCTCATCTGGCAGCCAATCGCCCTGACGTATGGTCGTCGCGGCGTATACCTCATCACGACACTTTTGACGATCCCGCTGATGGTTTGGACGGCGTACTCGACTTCATCACCCGAATGGTTCGCGCATCGTGTGTTGCTCGGCATTGTCGTTTCACCCATCGAATCTCTGTGTGAAGTCACAGTTCTCGATCTCTTCTTTGCCCACAACCGCGGCACATATATGGGACTATATGTCTTCATCCTGTTTGGGTCCAACTTCCTCGCCCCACTTGTTGCTGGGTGGTTTAATGATGCCTATGGATGGCGGTGGACGATGCATTTTGGAGCAATCGTTTGTGCTGCAGCTTTTGTTGTCATTTTCTTTTTCATGGAGGAGACTATGTACGTTCGCGACAACACATACGGGGGCGAAAGCGTCGCGGGACCAAGTAAAGAAGTGCCAGCCAAAGAAGACGACAACAACGAGAAAGGCACACGAAGCTCCGCGACGCCATCGCCGATTCCAACAGCGCATACTCCGCTCAAGCGTAACATCAATGAAGGCCGCCACAGATACACACTTTTCAAATCTATCCCAGGCCGCCCTTCGAACATTGATATGCTGCGGATGGCCTATCGTCCAGTAGTCATGATCTTCCGCTTCCCAACCGTGGCTTGGTCCGGCTTCCTCTATGGTATCAATTTGGCCTGGTACAATGTGCTCAATGGAACCGCCAGTCCTGTGTTGAGTGGTGCACCCTACAACTGGTCGGCTGCATTGGTCGGCTGTGTGTACACCGGACCGATCATCGGTGCTGCAATAGCATCGCTTTGGTCTGGTAACGCGGCAGACTGGATTGCGCTTCGACTGGCGCGGAGGAATAACGGTATACGTGAGCCAGAACATCGCCTTTGGGTTCTATTGATCTCCGGGATCATGTCTGCCGCTGGACTGATAACGTGGGGCGTCGGAGCTTATCATGACGCGCATTGGGTAGGTTTGGTATTTGGCCTCGGCATGCTCACATTTGGCTGCGTTACTGGCGGCTCAATTGCTGTGAGCTACAATGCCGACTGCTTCAAAGAGCTCGCAGGAGAGACGACAGTATCGGTCATGTTGATCCGCAACACGATTGGGTTCGGATTCAGCTATGCGATTACGCCATGGTGGAAAGACCAAGGCTTGCAGGGCTGTTTCATAACCGCCGGTATGGTTTCCTTGGCTTGTACGTTCACATTCATGATCATGATAGTTTGGGGTAAGCGCTTGAGACGGTGGTCAATTCCTGCTTACCGAAAGTACATGGCTACGACGGTGGTGTCACATGAGTGAATGGCGTGGTAGCTTTCAGTCGTGTCGCAGTCGATTCAGAACCCTTTCTCAGATCTTTCATTACGCGTTGAAAAGTAAAGTGGTCGCAGTATAGCTTGATGCTGCAATTCATGAACTAGTTTCAGCAAGTCTTTGCAATCTTTCACCAGCCTCAGCCGCGGAGGGTATGTCTAGCTCCAGATTCTTGACCAAGTCACCAAGGAAGGCAATCAATCGTTCTGCTTCTGCTCTTTGTTGGCCGTGCTCGTATCGTGAAGCATTGAAGAGCATATGTCCAACGCCGAGTAGTTGGTGCACGATTTGGCTTCCAGCAACCTTGAACATGATGAGCGGCGCACTCTCCATTTCTTCAATAAGTGCCTTTGTGATTTCCATGATCTCGCATGCCGGGGCTTGGCAGTATAGCAATGCCATAATGTTGACCAATGTCTCTGTGCAGGTGATCTGTACCGCCATGTATCTGCAGCGATTGCTCTGAAAGTTGTCGTCCGGATCTAGGAGTATGCGTGGCTTATTCGATTTCAAGCGAGCTAGTCCATCGAGCAGCGTGGCAGGAGACGGCCGTTCGCAGAATACAGCGAGGGCAGCCTTGCGGTTTTTGCATCCTCGTAGACTAAAGATGGCGTATTCGAGGAGGCGGAAAAGGTCGGTGATGTAGTCCCACCCCGCAGTCCATGCCTGCTTTTCCGGATCCATAGTCGGGAAGATCCGCGGATATAGGACCGATATCTGCGACTCAGGCATGCGTACGATATGACCAAGGACGCAAGCGGAGTGGACTTCGAGACGGTACATACACCAGAAAAGCCTCCTCCGGTCGTCGACTTCGGTGATAGACAAGTCTTTTGGCCAGCGACTTTCATCATGAAAGCCATGCTGTGCCACTAAAGCATGGTATAGCCCAAGGTAGCGATGGAGGTCATTGTGGTTACCGCGCTGCAAAGAATACACGGCCAAAAGACCAAAGGCTCGCAGGTAATCTAGGTCTTGGGACTGGGTCATGCGTGTCGGTATTTTGGATATCGCCTCGTTGAAATAGTGCTCGCAGGTCGGAATCGGAGCGCCCCGAAGCAGTTTGTCGTCGAAGACTGCGTTCAGCGAAGCTGTTTGAGAGCTTACTGCACAAAGTGCCATAAGTAACATGTAAGATGGGCTATCGGGGTCGGATGGCCCGTCCTCCCATCGTGTCAATAGATCGCTCTCTGGCAGGAAAGGAAAACTGCTAGCAGTAAGCATCGCATCCAATTAGTTGTGAAAGCGACCATACTAGCACTGGTACATCGTGTCGCAGTAAATCCGCACGAGCCGACGGATGTGTCTCAACGATGTGCAAGCTGACGCATCGTCCGATGAATTGGCATAATCGCTTTCCGCTTGGTCTTGAAATTGATGCATGTACCGACTGTCATGCAAGTGAACTTCTACTTGACGGACCATCGGCTTTCGGCCTCGCCGTCGCAGTGGACGATTGATAGTACATGCGACCCCATAGTCCATGCAGGTCAAGCAGTTTGAAATTCCTAAATCTTGTCTGCCATTGGCTGCACTTTGGCGACATTTGAGGCCTCTACCGTGGCAGAAGTCGCAGGCGAGCGATGCGCGCTGCCTCTTCCGGACACGTGGAGTGGGAACACCTGCTGAAGCGAGAGATTGCGAGGGCATGCTGCTGCCGACGAGGGGAAGCAAGAGTGGGGAATGCGCAAAGGAGTGATTGAGGACATTTTGATCAATTAATACCAGCTGATGATTGTGTTTATCAGTTTAGCAGCTGTTATCTTATCGGGGCGGAGAGGTTGGGATCGACAGCGGGGCTCGCTTCCGTGATCGGCAGGTACCGACCCAGATCGCGGGGTTAGCATCACCTTACGTAGTTTAAATTACGATTCCCGTCCTCATCCCTTGTTTGTCCGTATGTTGCGCACGAATGCCATACATAATTACATAACTCTCAAGAATCAGCATCAGAGTTAAGTATACCCTTGACCATTAGGACGACCGTTCGTTCCGCCTTCATACCATCTAAAAATCGAGTTCCCCAAAAGGAGCGTCAGTGTGAAGAAAATCATTTGTCTCAGAAAGCCTCTGCAACACGGTTCCACCATCACTGGTGTCTTTGAACTTGTCTTGGTTACAGTTCCAGAGTGATTCCCAAACCTGAATAATTCCGATCAACGTTATCTTATAAAGTGGTAATTACTCCTGCCCACTCCTCACCTATCCACAGACACCGCAATCTCCATCGCTTTGCCAGTAGCAAGGCCAAACTTCTCATCAACAGATATCACTACCACCATTTCATCAGTCAACATCGGCGCTGACGTCCTCCTATCTTGCTTTGATAACACCAGCGATAGAACCAACATCAACATGTCAGCACCATTCGCTGATCAGACTCCCGCCCGGGTTCCTGGCATACTGAACAACATCGCCTCAGAGCTACATCTCAATGGGCACCTAGTCTCCACTGGGTGGATTGATGAAGGAAGCCCAGGAAACAGCCTGTTCATCCACATATCAGTCCCATGCCTTCAGAAAGACCACCACTGTCGGGTCGTCTCATACAATGCAGGTGTTCAAATCATTAGTGAAGTCTCTTGTTGTTCCTCGACACCACTCACGGCAGTATTGGTGGTCGATGGACTTCGATCACGTAGGGCAGGTGTGGGTCTGGTTACACCAGCAGTTTCGGCATGGTGATGGCCTGGACGTAGACTTTGGCAACACGATGACGAACTTGGAATCGGGGCAGAAGAAGTAAATGGGGCTTGTCCATTATCTCTGCAGCGACTGATTAGAGTTACTTTTGGGTAAAGGCAATGCAATGTAAGGGAAGGGGAGTTTGTAGCGCGTGGAGGAACAATTACACTAGATCTTACGGACTTGCTCATGCGTTTTCTTATGTTTGCTGCGAGATTCGAAGATACGACGATTATAGACTGTATATGTGTTATGTTATCCTTGAACTGCATTCGAGCGGCTGCATAGAGTGATAGAATACATCTTTGAACAAGGAAAACGATGTGATTGCGCTTATCTAATGTTATTCGATTACAAGCCACTGCAAGCAAACAAATCAGATGCACTTAAACACAGGCTATAACCGGCCCTCCACAAAGTGCTGAAACAGTATCGTTTATATTTTGTTGAAATAATGTACGCCTATTCCCAACAGCTGATATAGATGAAACAGTCTAGCTTACGAAAAAATGTCGCATGATCGAGCCAGACCATCTAGAAAAATCTCCATTGTAACCGGCCAAGAATTGCTAGCCTCTCCTTGTCCGGTTCGGGGTCGAACTCCTTCAACATAATCGGTACGAGTTCTGACTTTCTATATAGATTCACTTTTTCTAGATTATCAGGATCGCGCAGTACTATACTGCCACGGCGATTAATTTGCATCCCTTGAAGCCAAGCAGGGTACCACCCGGAGTATTCCCAGTCGATCAGGAATACCTCCCAGTCTTCAATTCCGTCATACTCTTTGGTTTTGGTCTGTCGAGCAATTACGTTCCTGATTGATGGGTCTATCCATGTGTACTTTGGTTCGTGGGGTTCCCAGCCTGGGAACACAGACGTGAACTCAGCCAGTGATCTCGGTTGATTTGGGGCCCACTCTATCCCAGCAGAGCCAATCGCACGCTGCAATTGCAAAGCACGGTACATGGCTGCGCAGTATTCTTCGTAGGTTTTGTATGGCCCAACAACAGCGCGGGATGCACTTGTGTTTGTCTCTAGGCCTGGCGGCGCGCACAACCAGCCTTGTCCATGAGCTCGTCCGTAATATCCTTCCTCAGATGGAAGTTCACGGAGGTAACGAATTTGCGACGAAATTTTCGCGCATATAGTATCCTGTGCGTGTATAGGTAGTTCTGCGAACTTTTCGTCCGACATCATGATACCTTCAATGAAATTCATCATGAAGCAATAGACCACGCGAAACTCTCCCGGGATCGACCAGACCGCTAATACGGTAGGTATGTGCAGATCAGGGCGATTTTGCGCAAGGAAAAGCAGGTTCTCAGCCTCCTATTTGTGTTCATACCGAATTACTAGGGAGATAGCTTGCTTACTTCCACAACGTCTGGACTAGTGCTACATTTGACTACAGTATCTCCAATTCTGCATACTTTATGCAGTCCAATCTTTGTATTAAGACAATTCTTTTCAGTAGTGCCGAGGATTTCCTCTAGGGACGGAATGGGCGGAGTGGAACGCGCTTGGTAAAGAAGCGTCACGTCATGCGATTTCAACGTAGTCCATTCCTTCAAGTTCGCAGGAGCCGGTGCTGAGCGGCGTTCGTGACTTTTCAGCCATGCCGCCTCCTGATCAGGAGCTTTCCAATCTTCCTCCACCACCTGCTGTTTGGAACGAAGTGCTATCTCAGGCGTCCACAGAAGGGGCGGCCGTTCAGTGTCCATGTTGGGAAGGGGGGGGGGATGGATTCAAACGAGAAGATAAGCAAGCGAATATACAGGTGGATTGGTGGGTGAGTAGATGAGTGAAAAAGTAGAACTTGTTATAGGGGTTATGACTTATATTATAATTCTATCTTTGTTGAGCAATCAATACGGGCGGCATGTGTCTCCGAGCCTGTATTTCAGGCAAGTCAATCCCTAAACAATGAATGAGTCGAGATTTTTTTTTGGTAATCAGTCTTTTTCGGACCGGGACAAAGAATGTGCCTCGACATCGTCTACGTTAATGCAGGTTAGCTAGCATTTTCACTCCACAGATAGAGATACTAGATCGCGAGGTCATTATATCTTCTTTCAGTGATTGTGCGCCACTAGGAAGACTGTTTGCGTTGGTCACATGCCCCTGGTTTGTGTACGTGCCTTGAAAATACACAAAGACTCATTTCATGCATCATTCCGCATCCGGCGCCCAATTTGATCGCTTTATTTCACCGATGAAAGAAAATTCGCGGGCGCGAATTATATTTACGTACAAAGCGTGGTCGCAATAACTAGCACAAGCCAGATTCTCTAGTACTGACTGTCGAGCGTGGCCTTGTTGGGCTTCCTACGCTCTTTACGATGCCCATCAACAACACTAACCTCCCTTGCCTTGGCCTAATCATGTATCTACAATCATTTCCTCCCTCTATTTGGCATTGGTGTTTCATGTCGCTGTGACGGCGGCGCTTGAGCTGACACAAACTGTGCATGTTTCATTCGAACCCGCGACGATGATTAAATCGCGTTCTTTAGAGATTAACCATACTAAGCCTATCATTAGAACTTCAAATAAGGTCACGTACAGGATAGAGCGCCACTAACGAGAGGTTGTTGATGCAGAAAGACTAGACCAAAATATTCATGAAGAATGTTTCTAAAGCAACAGCAATGCGCCACTCACGTGCTTGTTTCGACAAGCGTACGAAGGACAGCCTTGGGTCCTAGACATGGCCATGTCGGAGAGGATGACTCGAGATGCAAGCTTGGCGACTTATTGTCTATACATACATCAGCCACGAGGGATTCCGCCATGGGCTGCGCAGTCAAATGTAAAGAACATAGGAAATGTCGAGAGTTTCTGACCACAGAGGTGGAAGGAGACATACTCGCGGAGATACCTCACATGATGCACTCAACTCCATATGTTGTATGCAACTAGGTCATTGCGGACTTCATTCGCCAGCAGGAGTGCCCATCGTCGGAACTACATCTGTGGATCGAATTTCTAGATCTCCAGATGCAAGATTAGGCAGTCTCCCGCTGTTCCTTGAGTACCCAAACGCAATGGACCGTCCCGCTCGGCAGAGCGCGCGGCGTGTTGCCAAGAAATTCGGACTCCATGATCGAATGTCACTGCGCTTCGGGATTGTAAACATGATCGCCAGTGCATGATTATGATTTGCGCCTGCCTTCTTGGTGGCGGGGGGCGGGTGAGACGCCTGCGGCTTTAGGAGGCTGTGTGGTTGGAGAGAAGGTGGTGATTGGTTTGGGAAGGGGGCTATTTGGGGCCTGAGGACACTGATGGGTGTAGTGAGGGATGGACGGCTTGTCTTGGCTTGCGAAGATGATCTGCGAATCGACATCATGCTGCGCAGGGAACACTGGATGCCTGGATTCTCCGTATTTCGTGTGTTTAGTCCTTTAAGGCGTCGTGATATAAAGGGCTCTGTGTTTTCCTCAGGAAAAGAATCATATCTCAATCCAATCACTTCCTCATCTCTTGCAGTCTTCATTGCAACAAAACCCACACATCAAGTCATCACATCATCAAAATGCTGTCCTTCCTCCACCCACTCGTCCTCCTCGCCGTCGCAGCACCAACGGTGCTCAGCTCCCGATTCGAATGGCACCGCTGCGACTGCGAGATACCCGGCGAAGGCCAACAAGCCACCGTCGAACTCATGACCACCACATTTACCCAGCAAGACGGCAAAGAAGCCAGCGTCAGTGGCAACGTCGAATGCAACACGATCGGCGCGCGCCCAGACGGCTGCGCCCTCTGGCTCCTGCTCGAGCACTGCGTGGACACGGGCATCTGCGGAGTCGGGCAGATCTGCTATAACCAGGAAGTCGTGCAGTCGGACAAGTTCAAGGTCAATGGCAACGAGTACAAGAAGAATGACTACACGAACTACGATATTGATCTCGAGGGTACGGGAGCATGTGAGTCGCACTGCGCAAACTATGGGTATACATTCCAGGCGAATAGAGCGATTGCAAAATATGGGAGGGTTGTTGAGGGTTTCGCGCAGCCTACTGCTTGCTCATAGATTGTTGAGAGAAGCGCGGATAACAATGTAGTCGGAGTCTCGGCAAGAACTGTAGCATGTAGCAGTATAGTAAACTTGAGATGCTGAAAGAAGAAAACGTTGATGGAAGAGAAATTGGCGCATAGTGAATAGTGACAGATAAAAGGCACTTTCCAGCAATACAGAGAGGTATATCGATTAAACTTGTGTGTTCCACGGCGCATTCGCGATGGAATTAGTGATGTTTATGCGCCTGGCATCGCAGTTCTACGTGTCTTTGGTGATTTCGAGTGTGAAATCGCTCTTAGCATGAACCTGGAAAGCTGAATGAAGCATAGCATACATGATGAGAGACGAAGAATGAGGAACGACGAGTGAGCGGTGATAGGGCTGTTAGCGCGACTGCCCCGCGATTGCGCCACAGTTGCACCAGCCACTTGGTGATCTCATAGCGACAAACAAAACACACGATGACTCTAATCTGATCACAACGCGCCTGCGCCCTTTCTGCTGTTTCTTTCCCGGCGTAGAATTCAGTACAGGTGCGCCCTTGCTTGCTGCGCGTACTTGTTACAGCTTATTGCACACGCCTGTCAGCGTTGTTGCCTGAATGACCGTGTGTCTAAAAATTGTTCCCCACCCTCTAATCATTTCACCTTCCAGCTCTTCACGGAGAACAACCTCTCACTCGGGCGCTCAAGCTTTGCTTCTTCTCAGATATTTCAGGAATACACCACACTTTATTCAACCGACACGCATTCCTTCTTAGGCCACACACACCGGCCACCACCATGGCGCACCGCGACACGGCGCCGTACGTGGCTCAGGACCCGAAGGAGATCACAGCGCTAGTGCACTCACTCGAAGCACACAAGGGCAAGAAAGGCGCTGGCGGTTTCTCGGTCAAAAAACACACATTCGATCTGCCAAATGGCCGCACAGTCGACTCTTGGAAGATGAACGAGTGGGACTACAAGAAAGCAAACCTGCCCACATATGCGCGAGGTCTATTCACCTACCTGAACCGCCAGGGTCAATGCGAGATTGCTGTGCGAGGGTACGACAAGTTCTTCAACCACGGCGAGGTACGGAAGACGGAGTGGAAGAATGTCACGCGCGACACTCGGGGCCCGTACGAGTTGAGCGTGAAGGAGAATGGCTGCATCATCTTCATCTCCGGATTGGACGACGACACACTGCTAGTCTGCAGCAAACACTCGACGGGCCCTAGAGGCGACGAGCCCAGCCATGCCCAAGTGGGCGAGAAGTGGGCTGAGAGGCACATTGCCACAAAGGGAAAGAGGAAGGAGGATCTGGCACGGACACTACGAGCCATGAATGCGACCCTTGTCGCCGAGCTATGCGACGACGACTTCGAAGAGCACGTGCTCGCCTACACCCCCGACCAGGCTGGTCTCTACGTCCACGGCATAAACCTGAACCTGCCAGAGTTTGCTACATATCCCGGACACCTCGTCGACAAGTTCGCCGACGAGTGGGGCATGAAGAAGGTTGAATACGTCATGGAGAACGACATCCAGGAGGTCAAGAAGTTCCTCGACAAGGTCGCTGAGACGGGCAACTACAATGGGCGCGACACCGAGGGCTTCGTCATTCGTTGCCAGTCGCGTGAGGGCGATGGACCTTACACAGACTGGTTCTTCAAGTACAAGTTCGAGGAGCCATATCTCATGTACCGCCAGTGGCGCGAATGTACAAAGGCATTGATTGGCGGCAAACCTCCCCGGTACAAGAAGCACGAGGCCATCACGAAAGAGTATCTCACCTTTGCGCGGAAGATGTTTGCACAAAACCCTGGACTTGCGAAATCCTACAACGCAAATCATGGCATCATCAAGCTCCGCGACGACTTCCTGGCTTATCGTGGGACGACTGGTGCGGAAATCATCAGGCAGGAGCTGGAGAACGGTCCGATTGAGAGCAAGAAGGCGACGCGCAATATCGTCCTCGTTCCTGTCGCAACTATAGGCTGCGGGAAGACAACCTTGGCTCTCGCGCTCGTGAAGCTGTTCGGCTGGGGCCACTACCAGAACGACAACGTCAAGGCAAAGAAGGGACGGGGCCAGATCTTTGCGGACACGATATCCGCCCTTCTCGTCACCAATCCTGTCGTCATTGCAGACCGCAACAATCATCAGAAGCGCGAGCGAGACCAGATTATCACCGACATTTCCAAGACTGTACCCGATGCGCGCTTTGTCGCACTACACTATGTGCACGAGCGCTCAAATTACGACAGCATCCGTAACGCGACTCGAAAGCGTGTTCTGGATCGCGGAGACAATCATCAAACCATTCAGGCAGGCTCAAAAGGCTCTGGGGAGATTATTGAGATCATGGAGGGCTTCATGCACCGCTTCCAGCCAGTCGACACTTCAGATGCACCTGATGACTACTTTGATCTCGTCATCAACATCGATCCCACTGTCGAATCTCGCGAAAACCTTGAAGTCATCATCAGCAGAATGTTCGAGACGTACCCCGCCTTGTTCGAAGGCAAAGACATGCCCACTGATACCGACATGGACGAGGCCATTCATTGGGCCATGAACGACTACACTCCAGACTTCAAGATGGACCTTTCTCGGAACGGTGGCAACGGCGGTAACCTCAAGGGTGCGCAGAATAACAACGCGCGAAAACAGTCTCATCAGGAAGCTAGGGCCAAGAAGGCACCTCGCATGGAGTACTTTTCCGTCCGCCTCGACAACTCGCGCGTGAACTCGATCCTAGACGCTGTCTTCGCCGGTAAAGACGCTTCGACATCTAAAATGTACATGCAACTGAAGCAGACCCGTCGTGTGCAGAACGAGTTCCACGTCACGCTCATGCATCGCGCATCCGCATCCGACAATCCACCATACTGGGACAAGCTGATGAAGCTCTCCGAGGCGTCGCAGCAGACGGGTGATAAATCCTGGGAGCCGGAACTCGGTACGTGCAGCGTTCACCTGGAGCGTCTGATCTGGGATGACCGTATCATGTGCTTCGTTATTCGACTGAACGGATCTAGCACCCTTCAGATCAACACCGAACAGGGCTCGACGACCGAGGAGCTCGTATTTGAGTCCACAAATCCTGTCGCGCACGTTACAGTCGGTACTGCGAGCCCAGATATCAAGCCTAAGGAGAGCAACGACTTGCTTCAGCGTTGGCTTAATGAGGGCTCAGGCGGTAACACGGGTATTGGAGAGCTACCTGTCAAGGGCAGCGTCATGCTGAAGGGTAGCGTGAGAGGTGTGCTTGGACGGATGTAGAGCGGCCATGCAAGCACCTTCAAGGATCGCTTTTATGGGAGAACCAAAGCAGAAGGTAATGAAGTCATGACAAGTGCGATGAGAGCAATCGCGGTGCTGAGAGAGTAACGTGGTTGCGCTTGATGGGTTGGTAAAGCAGAAATTAGCATACGCCCGGGCGTTCTTTGTGAGCATGCATCACGACAAATGCAACGTTAGATATGATACCATGAATACAAAAGCGTTTCTGACTTCCTGCATTTCCCGTCCAATCTTACTAGATTAAGTAATGCTAATACTCATTGACTGCGAAATGCTGAGCTATAACTCAGTATGCCTAACCCACCTCTCCAACACCCGCATCTCCCTCCGCACCCCATCCACCAACATCTTGCCCAGCCGATCCGTCTCCCCGAACCCGCCCGTCCCGCCGTGCATTATGTCCCAGCACACGTATTGCATGTGCTCGCGCTGGTCGTGCGAGCACATTTTGGCGGGCGTGAAGGAGTGGCCTGCGATCATGTGAGTATGCAGCAGTGGTTAGAAGGAATGGTTAGTGTACGCACATGCATAATCAATACATCTGTCTTCCACGCCTGCCTTGCGGATCAGGCGGTCGACGCGGAAGGCATCGTCTTGGGCGGGGAGGGCGCGGGCTGGGGGGAAGAGAGCGGGGAGCAGGGAGAGGAGGATGTGTGCGGGACGCATTTTTCTGTGTGGTGTGTTCGAGGGTGGAGAGTTGGTGTGTTTACTGGGAGGTTGGATTGTGGCAAGGTAAAACGGAGCGTCGAAGCCGTGGTGTGGTGCTTGTGAGGTTTTGGAGGGTGAGGTAGGATAGAGAGTTAGAGATGTTGAGAGATGTTAGCGAAGCACGCTGGCGACTTTCTTGGTACTTCATGATTGCTGGGTACCTTGGTTTGAGATATGGTTGGCGCTTGTCTTTAATTGGCTGGACCGTAATGTACGTTGGATGAGCGCCGCTTCTCTTTACTGAATTACTGCATCCACAACGTATTACGTTCTATGCTTGCTTTTTCTGAATGTCACATGAATTGCTAGTCTGAAGAGGCGTTTCTCAAACCTCACGTTTTCGGATCAAGCAAGTTTGGCCACAGAGCAGTTAGGAAGATAATTATTACACTTTAGTACGATAGAAGCTTTTGTTCCGTGGTAGTCACAAAAGATGCCTACTACCCCCTCACTGCAGTCTTAGCTGATCCCACGTTCCGACCGTTCTCGACCAAGCTAGAATGGAATCAGCGACGCGCATCTTGCTCGATCTAGATGAAAGATCCTAAACCAAGCCCTCGTTCGCCCTTTGCACCATGCGATTGACTTGTTCTTTGAACACCTTGTCGAAGTTGACCAATTCCTGCCACCTGTAGTGCGAGTTCCTTCATGCACGCACTCCTAGCGAGCATCATGGCAAAATCATGCCTGTAACCTGTGTGCAAGGCTGTGCCTGTAGGTTTGACACTTTAGCAAAAGGTTGCATTACATACAAATACTGTCCGAGGTTGCGTACAGACAATTGATGCAGTTTGGAGGTCAAAATTGCGTTCAGGAAGCTGTAGTACCGTGGCGGTATCGTTTGACTCGAAGGTGGAGAGGACGCGCGCGGCGCTCAGGAGCATGGATGTCGGGCTGAGCAACTTTATGACGGCGTCTGAGATTGTTTTTGAACATGTATTTGATAAGAAGGAAAATCCTGACAGGAATGGGAGAGTCTTATATATAGCCATGTCTGTTAGGATGTGGCATGCTAGGGTATGCGCTACCAAGCGCAGGATTTGAACCACTTACTTGCATTGTGAACTCGTATCTTTTTTGAGCTTGTTCCTGGTATCTAGGCGATAATGGCCATCTCGGGTCTACTCCTTCTACCCAGATATACCGTCCCATCCTCCTCGCATGTACTCCGATGTAAGAATGATTATCACTGCGGTTTCGTACATTTCGTCTTCGATATCTTGGCTGCTGAGGCCAGCAGATACACAGCCCATGGACAGAATAAGTAGGTGTGCGAGCTTCATTTTGAAATTTGTTCTTGTGGGACGAGGCTCTAGAGGTTCAGAGATGGCAGACCGAAAGAGAGTGGATAATGCATTTATATGTTGGCACTGCGATTCTTTAGCCCACTAAGATCTGGTAGACTCTCGCTACCGGTTTCTCAAGCACAAGAAAATTTTACAGAGAAATTGCATGCGTGAAACAAGTTTTGTGTGGCAAGAGAACGACGGCGTGAGGCAGGAGTAAATGTTCGCGCATCACCGCCTCCACAGCCTCAGCATTGCAGACGGTAGCATGACAACCACTCACTACGAAGCTCCCTGAATAAGAAAAGAATACGACTTGACCAGATATCTTCCATTCCTTGGAGCTATTGATCTATGGGGTGCAGTGAATATGAGCGAATTGGAGAAGAATTCGTCTAATCCAGACACCACCATTCATCCACGATGAGAGACAATCTCATATCCCGATACCCCTTCATCGCGCTATCCTATTGCTCAAAATCCACCTCAACCGCCTCGATGAGGCTTTCCACTTTTTTAATTTCTTCAGATGTCGCATCAGGAATACTCATGTCAATACTTTTACCTTTCTTAACCACACACAACTTCCACGCCATCCCTACGATACAGTCGGTCCTGTGGTTTGGGTACACAACTTCGCTTGCAGCATAAAACATCAGCTGCGTAGGGAGAGATAGGTCTGGAGATACTTACATTTGTGTAGAGTTTCGTGAAAATAGTCTGATGGGGCTATGTGAGCAGTTATACGTTCCCACTTCGCAATGGCTTGACGGACCTCGGCCGCCTTGAGCTTGAGTACCACGCACGTCAGCTTAGCGGCCTGGGTAATACCGTCAGGGAAGTCGCCTCGATACTTGGCTTCGCCTACAACGTGGAATTTTAGCTAGGTAGGGAAATTTGCGAAGATACACGAACATGGAAGGGCTAGGCAGTTTACAGAGATGTGTTGTCAGTAAATGTTGCCGTGAAAAATTGAATGGGCTAATTGAGCTGAAGATGTTCCAAGTCGGAGACGTAGTTGTGATTATTAGTCTGTCTGCTGCGGCGACACAAGGATCTTCGCTTCTAAGTGAAGTGAAATATCCAAACTATGCGCGATAATCGAGGAATTTGACTAGTGCAATTATGATCAATTCCCTTGAAACTTTGCTCAACTATTGACCGTCAAGGTCTTCCGTGGATGTCTGTGAGCGATCCATGCAAAATTGATCCCCTCTATGCAGTCACATCGTTCAAGTCTCCGCGCAGGTACCTAGACACCCGAGTAATTTGGTCTGCGCGTCTATATAGGTCGTCTTCCATATCTTGTCAGCGATTGCCGGCGGAGACGGGACCTATCAACAAGATGATCAGATACACGAGCTTCATTTTCGTTTTGTGTAGAACGAGGCGGTTGGGGCTTCTGCTCCGCTAGAGTCTGGAGAGTTTCCACTCCCGGTTGCGATCGTGGCAGTTGAGGGAAATATTCGACAAAAGAAATTGAAGTTGCGGGCAGCGGTAGCATGGAAAACCAGATACTTTATAGCAAGAGCACCCAAGTTTGTTGGAACAGTGAATTTCACCCATTTCAACATCTTTGCGACGCACAAACAAATGATTCACCGTAACCTCCGCGGGGTGAGCAAAGATACGCGGAGGTCAAACAATGAATTTCTGGGTTCACAATCATGTACCCAAGGAAGGCATGAACGCGTCTGATCATTGCATTACCCCTCTCTAAAATCAGGACTTCGACCTCTTCTCCCTCCCCTCCAAACTCATCACCAGATTCTCCAAATCCACCATCCACTCCCCCTGCGACTTCCCCTTCCTCGCCTCCTTTACAAATCCGCCCATCGCAGCCATGCACTCCTCCTTGCTCATCCCAACAAAGACATCTGCGCCGCGCGATAAGAAGAGGTCGCCTAACACATCTCACATTAGCAAGCCTATTCAATGAGATGGGGAAGTATATACGCACAAGCAAGCGACACATCGCTCGCCCCTTCACCACGAGAATCTATATGGGGCATTTCAAAGTGCTCCGGAAGGGCGGCGGGGGAGTAACCGTAAGGGGACGTTTCGGGACGCTCGATGGATCGTGGGGTGCTGGCGAGGGTGGGCGTGATGCACACGAGGAGCGCGGCGAGGTGGTGTGTGAGTTTCATGGTGAGGTGTGAATGTGGTGTGAAGATATTCTGGATGAGGCGGAAGATGCTGAAGGAGTAGGAGTGCGTATGGCTTTTATCTATGGGATGATGCTGTTGTGTGGTACGGAAGGGTCTTGGATACCATGGGGAGTTATGAGGAAGTGAAGATTGAAATGAGAAAATTCCGCACTTCTCCTCGCCTTCCGAACCTCATACCGTGTCTTGGATGGATTCATGGCATCAAGGTGGAGAGTGGGGCCGAATGTTGTGCGTTAACAAATCGAAATCATTGCCCGTGGTTCTAAGATAGTTCGGTTCCAAAGATCGGACACGGACACGGACACCTACACCACACACACAATCTCATACCTCAAAATTCACATAGGCATTCAAGAGGGAATATCATCTCAAAGTCACATGCAAATCCATAATTGCATTCAAAATGAACACAACGCACTCAAAACACCGCCTATCGCGCTTATGATCCATTCTCATATTTCCACGTCCATGTCTACATCCCCTTTCCATCGCCTGTATATCCCCTTTCCTTGCCCATTCCCTCCCCGTCCCACCCCCTCCCGCCGATCTAAGGAAACCCAAAAAGCGGCTTAACCAACCGCACACACATACCCGGACTCAAATCCAAATGCGGCAGGCTCGCGGGCCCTCTATCAGTGAGCATCCTGCCTGTGAAATCACACTTCGTTAGCAAAGTCGCTCTTCATGTTGGAAAACTGACTACAATGAGGGGTGCACGTACACATTTCCCACAAGATATTCAAATCCACGTGGGGTTTTGCAGGGGGCAGGTCGGGCGTGGCGAAGGGGCGGTATTCATAGTCCGGTGGAAGGGCGGAGGTGAGTGTGGTGAGCGCGAGGGTGGTGAGGAGTGTGAATTTCATTTTGAAGTTTCTCCTTTTCCGTGGGTTTGGGGGTGTGAAGGTAGATGGGTTATCTTATGATGTGATGTGATGGATGGAAATGCAAATGCGAATGGGAGAGGAGGTTGGTGGGAGAGATATATATCTTGTAGTGAGTGGGTTGTGGTTTTGGAGGGTACCAAGGTACTCGAAAAACAGTGGCGTGAAACAAGGTCTTTACCATTTCGGGAATTGTGTCAAAGTTTGATGCCGGGGTCCGGAGATGGATGTATGTCTTCGGGGCACTAAAACGAACCAAACGAGATCCGGTATCAAAGAAACCAATTCTGGAATGTTACAGAAGCCCAGCCAGCATTTTCAGAACTTTTCTTGTGGCCTGAGATATCCAGGAACATCAACGTATATCTCCTAATAAACAGCCGGAAAAACCCCCCATCCTCCCCCCATCAGTGACCTGCACACAACCATTGACATACGCCCCGCCCCTCCCCACAAGATACAGCACCGTCCCCGCGATGTCTCCCAACCCACCCATTCTGCCCTGCGGAATCTGTCCCGTGCCATAAGCTGCAGGATTACTCGCCGTCATCTCGCTGGGATACGGTCCGGGCGCGATGATGTTGCTTCGAATGCCCCATTCAGCGAGGAAGGTGGACATCATTTTAGCGAGGTGCGCAGCGGCAGATTTGGTTGCGTTGTATGCGAGGCCTGCGGAAACCCAGCGCATGTAGGACGCCACGGATGCGACGGTGATGATTTGCGCCATGCGGTCGTCATCTTCTGACGTGCCGATTTGGGATAATTTGGATTTGTCGTGGGCGCGCGCGATGCCTGTGCCGGTGACTTTGCCTGGCGCGAAGCCGCGGCGCGTGTTGGCTGCTTCAAGGAGCGGGAGGAACTGGGCGGACACACCGATGACGGCCTGGGTGTTGATTGCGAAAGCGTTCGCCCAGCCGTCCCAGTCTTTGGTCATGGTGTCGGCCAGCTGTTCGATGGATTCGGCTTTGTAGATGTCCTGGCCGTTCTTTGGGCCGAGGACACCGGCGTTGTTGATGAGGACGTCGACGAAGCCTACATCTTTCTTGATGGTTTCAACCGCTACTTTGATGGAGTCGAGATCGGTTACATCGCAGACGATCTCTTGAATGACAGAGTCGGAGGCTAGGGACCCGTGAGGCGACGATACAATCTCTCTCTTGGCCTTCTCAAGAACATTCCGACGACGGCCGAGAATGTAGACCTTTGCGGCGCCGTTCTGGTAAAGTGCTGAAGCAATTGCAGCTCCAAGTCCTGGCAATGGTGAGTTGTTGTCGTGGATGCGGGGCACAGAGGGGTAGCTCTGGAGCTTGAGAACGTACCACTACCGCCACCTGTGACTACAACAACCAGTCCTTTCGGAGAGAACAGGTCTGCTGGATTGATTTGCGCTTGAATGTCCATGGTGAATGTGATGGTATAGCAATGTAGTCCTGGTTTCGCAGCTTCGAAGTGTCGACATCGGCGTTTGATATTCCGAGCTCGATGTGGATTGCGTCACAGGCGGAAAGAAGGCGCTAGAAGATGGATCAAGCAACGAAGTGTGCGCAGAAAAGTCGAGATCGAATTCGAATGGGTATCGTGCGTATATGTCGATCTTAAAACCATCACTCTCTCAATTAATGCCTCCCACAATCTTCAGTCCCTGTTGATCCGCCGAGTATGCCAGGATATACCGACATGGATGCCACGCGACATGCGATGCCGGCGTAGGGATGTCGATCGAATGCACCACCTCTCCCGTCTCCACGTGTGCGATCCTAAGCTTCTTCTCTTCTTTGTCGTCCGAGCCCGCCGTGATATAGCTGCCATCAAACGAAAAGTCTATGCTCTTGATGAGCTCTTTTGTGAGGTCGAATGTGCGCACGCATATCCATTCTTGCGTGTCCCAGAGCGAGACGAGTGCGTCTCCGCCCCCAGCTGCCATGTACTCCCCACTCGGTGACATTGTGATGGCGTAGCACGAGGACGTGTGGGCGTTGAGCGTGAGTACGGGTTCGAAGGACGGGTAATCCACAATCTTGACACTTCCATCGCCGCCCGTCATGAAGAGGTGATTGCCCGACCAGTCGAACACGCACTGGTTCGTCTGAAGCGGTTGTCGGTGTTCTGCAAGCACGCGAAGTGCCGTGCGGTCAATCGATGCCAGCACATTATCCTACACTCATCAGCACATGCTCCTCAATCCAATGAACTTCTTCTCATACCTTCCGCCCCGCAACAATCTCACTCCCATCCGGCGACCACGCCAGCGTAAACGGCGTCTCCCCGACCTTGACCTCCCCCACACTTGCCTTGCTCCTGATATCCCAAAATCTGACCATGCCGTCACTCCCGCAGCTGGCCAGCTCATTCTCATTGATCGGGTGAAACGCCACGCGCTCCAGCGACGTGACCGCACTCGCGCCGGGCGTCCGCAGCTCCGTCGAATTCTTCACATTCGACTTTTCCGGGTTCCAGATGCGCAGGGTGCGGTCGGCGGCGCCGGTTGCGATGAACGTGCCGTGATGCGTTCCAGGAGATGCTGCGGATGTAGTGCGAGGAGGAGATGGAGGCGTTGGGGCGCAGGTTGTCGATGTAGGCGGATGTTTTGAGCTTGGAGAAGACTTTGGGGAAGACGTCTTTGCTGACGGAGCGGGCGCGCGTGGGGGGCGCCATTGTCGTTGGTAGGGCCAATGGACGATTCGGAGCGTTCTTGCGGGTTGAAGACGGAGATTTTGGTGGAGTTCGAGGTTTGGAAGTCGCGTGAACGCGCCAAGCGATCGCTATCGATAACACTTTCACCAGCGACCGTATGTGCACATACCCGATAAGCTCACGCGCCAGATATACGAACATCTTCACTTCACTCAAGTCCCACGTGCATCTCAATTCTCTTAGAAAATTGTCATTCTTCCGTTTTCCTATTCACTTCCAAAAATCTACTCCTTCTTGCTCTCCACCCCCTCCTTCTGCATGCCCTCACACCCCACCAAGTTTCCCGCCTTCTCCTCAATCCCTCCAAAACCCTGCGCGTTGGGATCTCTGTTCGCGCTCGCAGCCTTCATCGCATCAACGGCTTGGGACTTGTCCTGCGTGCCTGAGGCTTTCCACGCCTCGTTGCCGGTGACGTTGCCGATGGTTTCCTGGATGAGAGTTAGCATGAATTATTGGTGAGTGTAGTCGTAGCAGAAGGCGAGCCTGGAAAGAAATGGGTTTGAGACGTACTTCAGCGGCGCCCTTGACGTATTGCGCGTGCGAGGCGACGAGGCCGGGTTGTTGGTTCTGGTTTGGTGCCGACATGATGTGAAGTCGAGATGTGTAGGAGGATTTGGGTATGTATGTGATGGTGAGTATTGATCTCAGAGTTGTTTGGGTGTTGCAGTTGTCTTGTGAACTTGTTGCTGAAGCGTATATATGACACCAGGCGCGAGTCGACTGACGTCACCACATCGACATGTCGCGTAGAGCGTGGCGTAGCGTGGATATTAGATCCACACTACGCTAAAGGACGATTGGAAAGGGCTACACTGACATATCGCCTATAGTTCCTTCCACGAATAGTTTTGCATTGTCTTACCGAGTATGTCAACCTCGGCCATGCTGCATATCAATAGGAGAGAGTCAGAATCCACACCAACGATCGCCCGTGCGATATTATGTGTACTTCCAACAACGTTCCACGGCATCATTTAGAATGCTTTGTCCATTCATCCTAAACGAAACAAACACTGTTCTACTTTGGCACAGCGAGTCGGACCGCACTCTTAGCGTAGGATCCCACCTGCCCCAAGCGTAAATATACCTCGGCAAGTAAACGCTTATTCTGATAGCTTGTTACAAATCGCCCTATCCAACGTGTCTTTCGCTAGCCCCAAATCTCATATATACACTTTCCCTTCCCCTTCGTCTTTCTCTCCCTCCTCCTTCCCAGTTTCTCGTCTTCTCCCAACCACGAAATATGGCTCCCAAAGACCTCAACCGCGGCGCCCCAGGCCTAGAATACTTCACCCCCCAACACCTCACCTCGCCGGGCTCCCTCCCTCAAGCCGCCAAACCCACCCCAACACTCTTCCGGCCCCTGAAAATCCGCTCCACCACCCTCCGCAACCGCATCCTCCTCGCCCCCATGTGCCAATACTCCTGCGCCTCTGCCGGCCCATCCACCGGCTGTCTCACAGACTACCACGTCGCAACCCTCGGGCACTACGCATTAAAGGGCTCCACGTTAGTCTTCGTCGAAGCTACCGGCGTCACGCCCAACGGCCGCATTTCTCCGAATTGCCCCGGCCTCTGGAGCGATGCGCAAATCCCGGCTTTGCGCCGAGTCAGCGATTTTGTCAAGAGCCAGGGCGCGCTGATGGGCGTGCAGCTCGCGCATGCGGGGAGAAAGGCGAGTACATGTGCGCCCTGGATTGCTGGCGCGCAGAAGACGCAGGGCGGGAAGAGGAAGGTTAGTCTGAGGGCCGGGGCGGATGTGGGCGGGTGGCCGGGGGATGTTGTTGGGCCGATGGGCGGGGAGGAGTGGGCGTGGGATATGAAAAAGCAGGGCGATGAGGAGTGTGGGTATTGGGCACCGCGCGCGCTGTCGGAGGGCGAGGTCGGGGAGTTGGTCGAGGAGTGGGCGCGCGCGGCGGAGAGGGCGGTTAAAGCGGGTGTGGATGTTATCGAGATTCACGCTGCGCATGGGTATTTATTGCATCAGTTTCTGTCGCCCGTGACGAATCGGCGGACAGATAAGTATGGTGGGAGTTGGGAGAATCGCACGAGGTTTCTACTGGACATTGTGCGGGCGATTCGGCGTGTTATTCCGGAGTCGATGCCGTTGTTTGTGCGGATTAGTACGACAGAGTGGATGGAGGATACGGATTTGGGCAAGAAAAATGGCTCTTGGGATGTCGAGAGCAGCATCAGATTGGCGAAGGTGCTGCCGGCGCTTGGTGTGGACTTGCTGGATGCGAGTAGTGGTGGGAATAGTCCGCTGCAGCGGATCAATCCTTTCAACTCGATGGATTATCAAACGCTGATTGCGTCTCGCATTCGGTCGGAGGTTAAGAAAGAGGGCTTGAAGTTGTTGATCGGCGCCGTGGGCCTCATCACGGAAGCGGAACAGGCGAAAGACATTCTCGAGGAGGGAGGAGCTGTAAAAGTACGCAAGGCAGACGCTGAGATGGCGGAGGAAGTGCGGGCTGCGGTAGGCATGACGGAAGGACAGGATGGAAAGGAGCCAATGGCTGATGTCATTCTGGTCGCGAGGCAGTTCATGCGAGAGCCCGAATGGGTGCTCAAAGTTGCATGGCAACTGGGTGTGGACGTTGCATGGCCGAATCAGTTCTTGAGGGTGCGATTCCCTAAGTTGTGAGCGGAATCTAGATAGTATACTTTCCCGAAGAGAAGAGACGAAGAGGTAGCCTGTATATCTTCGTTGGTGCTCTGGGTTAGTCCACACCAGCACCTGTCTGTTTCACGCAAACATCAAGTATATAATCCTACCACACGCTTTTTCTTTCACATACGACCATAGGGCGTTGAATACAAGGCTTCCCGTCCGCTCAGCCATATTTAAGCAGCGCACCGGCGGATTAGTAGTCAGGTGGGTGACCACTGGCGAATCCCCGCTGTTGTATGTTTTTGCAACTTTTTTTTAGCTGTCCTTAAGGCACTGCTTAATAATAGCTGTACACAGTGCTAAGCTCTCCTAACATATGCGTTGAGCCTTGTGGATTGTTTCTTCCTGTTTCTTAGAGTACAGCATAATCTTATACAATGTAATTAATTATGTCTACTTCTTCAACCTACCTGTCTCCCCATCTCCCTCCGACACCTAAAACCCAGTTCCATGATTTCACCGTTCACACATCGCCAATTCCTCCACCACCTTCACACCCTCAAACAAGTCGAGCCTTCCCCTAAACTCGTTCAATGCTGTCCGATAATGCCGGGGGTTCACCGCCTGATACGAAATTCTACTACCCTCGCTCTCCAGCACCTGCTCTTCCTGCTCCCCAATCTTCAGCTTAAGCACGTTCGTACCCAGCTTCGAGATACCGAGTACGCCACCGAGACAGTTGGTGGCAAACTCCCCGTCGTCAGTGCGTTCATGGAAGCGCGACCGGAAGAAGCGTTCACCACGCGGCAGTGGAGTGAATGCGGTTGTGAGTACTGCGACAGAGGTGCTGTTTGTGTTGAGGATGTCGTTGTATGCTCTCCGCAAGTCTTCATGCGATGAGTCGACATCGGGGATCGTCGCTACCACGGCGCTGTTCATGGGTACTTCGGAACGATGTCAAGCCTACAATGCTGATCATCGATATGCATCTCTAAATTGCCCGTCAAATTGTATCATTGGTTGTACATTGAATATGCGCAGTTGCCTTCGGCTGTCTGCCAGGTGTAGGGAGCAATGGATTAATCGGCTATTGCGGCATTCGATAACCTAACGCACTCCTTTCAGCTAGTGAATCTGGCTTCAGAGCGTATGCAGGCAAGCTGATCGACGTTGAAGAGCACACAGTCACTGGTACCCGTTTGCGTTGTGATAACGCTAGCACTTGACCTGTATGAACTATAGTTACCCACCAAATCAAAGCCGCTAGATGTTTCCTATCACGTCTCTAAAATCCGTTGCGGCATCGATCTCTAGCATCCACTGGTTACTGAATGTGTCTGGACTTAGCCTCGTGCCCAAATCCAGCTCAGCGCCCGAGAATATCATGGCTGAAGCCTACGTTGTTGGACCAAAACTCAGCGACTCGGCCTCGGGTCTTCCTGCGTCCGGAATCGATTCTTCAGCGCGCCTAACATCTCTACCAGCTATATCTGCAATTATTATAATAGGCTTAGCCTCTACGCTTAAGCCTTCCTTCTATCTATATATCTTTCTACTCTCGCATCTACTCTATTCTGCATAGAATATCTTATATTATATCTAAGATCTATACGTAGTATACTAATTAAGCTTCTCTATAAGCTCTAATATTTCTGCTAGTTACCTCTTATAATAATTATAGCTATTATTAAAGTATAGGCTACGCCTATACTTAGGCATCTTTCTAATAGCGCCTTAAGCCTAATTAGTTAGTAAGAAGGATATATATAGGCAATATACAGATACCTTCTTAATAAGAAATATAACTTTATTTAGCACTATATAATTCTATTCTTATAGGCTAGCCTATAATAATTATATTTCTTCTTTATACTAATATGTAACTAAACTTTAAAGGTATCTAGATAGACTCTTAATCTAACTTAGAGCTTAAGAGGCAGAGTTCTAATTATAACTCTTAAGCTTATCTTATCTAGATAGAGGCCTGCTTAAATACCTTTAAAACTTAACTTAGCTCTATTAATACTGCGCTATAGAATCTTATAGCGCACTTTAATAATGCTCTAAGTCTTTTATCTACTCTAATAGCTATACTAAATACTACTTATTCTACTCTTATAATAACTTTAATTCTAACTATAGTAGCTTCTAACGTTAGAGAAATAGAGAATATCTTTATCTATTCTATAACTAAATAGGCGCTAATTTAGCGCAAACTACTTCTAGTAGAAAACTTATTCTTAGAGAATAAAGCTACTTTTAGCGCTTAGTATATTACTATTATATATAAGCTTATAGTTAATTTAGACTTTATTAGAGACTATTAGAACTAATATGCGTTTATCTAAGCTAACTTCTTAGTAAAAGTTTAGAAGAAAGTAGCTCTCTACTATAAATTAGATAGAAGTAATAGCGCTTAGAACCTAGTCTTATTTATAGAATATCTTATATTCTACTATAGTAATATATTAAAATCTATTAAGTAGCTAATAATTAGATAGCTAGTATTAAAGAGCTTAAGTTAGTTTTTACAGATAAGAGATATAGCACTAGATATAGAGATAGAGCGTACTAAGATAGTAAGAAGAAGCTTCTATAAAGAGTATAATATATTAGATAAATTAAAGTATAAGGTAATTTATAATATAAAGTTAAAGATACTAAACTATAAAAGTTCTAAGTCTTATCTATATACTATATGCTTTAGTTAGATTCTATTATCTTAGTATATTCTAGTATGCTAAGCCTTTCTAGTCTTACTAGTACTTACTAGTATATATATGTAATCTATTTCTTAGCATTCTAACTTAGCCTTACTACTTAGTTATAGAACTTTAGTATTTATAAGATAGAGCTTTTAGTTATTTAATTCTAGATTATAATACTATCTCTCTTCTTTCTTAACCTAATATTTTTATAAGTTTACTAATCTTATTCTATACTAGAAAGTTACGTAATTATCTATCTAATTAAATTAAATTCTTAGATATTATTATAATAGTTTCTTATACTTAGCTAAGAGAATATAATAAGAAAAGCCTAAATTATGCCTAAATAGGCTTAACGTTAGAGATTCTACTTCTTAGTACTTCTTAGAATAGTAAATCTAACTCTGCTCTTATACTTTAAAATAGATCTATTGCATTATAATGCAGCACTCTTACTATTATATTTATATAGAGTTATCTTTTTATATATATCTTTTCTATTAATTAGATAAAGAAGAGACTATAGAAAGTAATATCTATTATCTAAGCTCTATCTAATAATAGAGTTTATATAGAATAGCTAAGCGCTTATACTATAGTAGCAATAGTATAATAAGAGTAGAAGATCTAACTACTGCTGCAGGCTAGAGAAGCTATTGCCTAAGAATTACAATAATACTCTATACTTCTTAGAAGAATTTAGAGTACTAGTATGCAAGCAGCATTATATAGCAGTTATTAATCTTAATATATATCTTTAAGAATAGTATATAACGCCTATAAAACTACGTAAGCAGATTATTATATACTACTCTTAAGTCTATCTGCATTTCTACTAAGAATGCAGAGCTTAGCTAATTAGAATAGGCCTTAGCAACGCGCTATATAGTAGAAATGCGTTGTAGGAATAAATAACCTTCTAGAGCAAAATAATATATTGCTAAGAGGCTATTTTGTGCAGTTTTATAAGGGGAATCTAGATCTCTAAACAGATTATCTATAGCTCTAATACTCGTTAAGATGCAAGGCTTTAAAGTTATAGGTAAAAGAATATCAAAACTCTAACATTTATTGTAGTTTCTCTTAACGTTCTAGTAGTTTGCAGATATATTCTATCTTTAATAGGTAACAGAACTAATATAGATTTCTATATTAGTTCTCTAAGAAACTCTAAATCTTTAGACATTAGTTTCTAGGTTTAAGAAAACTAATAGAACTAATCTCTAAATAATATTTAAATTAACTATAACTTAAGTATAAGATGCAGAAAATTAATGCGCATTAAACATATTAAGTCTTATAATAATCTAACTAATGTGTTATAAGATATATAATAAAATATATTATAGTTATAGTATTTATTAGAGTAGGCTATACACGCAAAGACTAGAGTTTTATAAGGTTCTAGTAGCTATATAAGACTTATATAAGTTATCTAGAGAACATTTATATATAGGTTAGCGCTAGCGTAGAAGTAATATTACGTAATACTATATTATAGAGTATATATAGAAGTATATATATAGAAGCTAATATTTATATAAAAGTATAGAGATTACTATAGCGCAGATAGTTTAAGCAGCGTTAGTAATTTTCTCTATCTTAGCTATAACTATAGAGCCTACTTTAATGCAGAGTATCTTTGTCTATTTTACTCTACTCTTCTACCTCTCTAGCTCTACTTAGATCTTACTTAATAAGAGTAAGACGCTAATCTGCGTCTACTCTAGAGTTTTAGCTACTACTATACTACTAGTAGAAAAGCTAGCACTATTCTTAGTAATGCGCTCTTTATTCTTAATAATAAAACTCTAGTAGCTCTAAATAAGGATATAATTATAAGTATATAGACCTAATTAAGCCTAGGCAAGCTTAGTATAGCATATAAAGATATTACTAGTATAGCTAATATAGTTATATGCGTTAAGTATAGAGTAAGTTTAAGCTATTTAGATAAGCTGCTAGAGAGTTATAGCATTAAGAGCAGCTTACGCTAGAGAGTATTAACTAGCAGATAAGCTAAAGTTATTACTCTTACTAATATTGCGCATAGCGTTAATATAAAAACTAGCGTCTACTATAGCTTCTCTTACTTATATTACTATAACTATCTATAACTAATTAGATATAATCTAGATTATAAAAGTAATAACCTTATATAGCTAACTAAGATTATCTTAAGAGATCTAGACGCAGAGACTATTAGCTCTAAACTTAGTTAAGATAGATATATCTAGAGCCTCTATATACTCTGCAGTCTAAAACTATACTAGATAAGCTATATTAGTAGTAGAGAGTAGCATAGTAGTAAAGTAAGCTAATATATTTAGAATAAAGTAGCTAGAAGAAGAGAGAAGTTAGCAGAGAGTAATAAGCGCTTAGTAGTATTAATAAGATAGTATAGTAGTAAAGAGATAAAGAGTAATAATATAGCTAAATATCTAAGATATGCTAGAAAGTACTCTTACCTTAGTAGCTAAGTTTAAGTTACTAATATTTACGTATATATAATAGACCTACGCAGCTAAAGCGCTATTAAGGCTAACTATAAGTCTACGCTATTAAAGTATCTATAGAATATTAGTAGAAAGAAAGCCTTAGATAGTATTAATAGTAATATAGTATCTATTACTAACTCTCTACCTTTACTTCTATAATAAAAGCAGCTACTATCCTATACCCTATATTAAGAATACTCTTACTAGATTATAGACTAGTAAGAGATAATATAGTAGCACTATCTAGATAATAGATATAGCTTATATACGTTATAGGCGCTAACTATATACGCAAACGCACTATAGATCTTAGTAGTAGTGCTATAGTAAACTATAATAAATTATAGAGAGAGAATATTATAGAAAAGAAGTAAGATACTAGAGAGAGAGAAAAGAAGCTATTAATAGTATAGTATTAGATAAAGAAAGAAATAAGGCTTATAGTAATATAGTAAGTAATATCTTAAGAATAGTAAAGTAGAATTATTGCGTAAAGTATAGGCAGTAATATATAGACTAAAAGCTATACTAGTGCGCTAAGTGCACTTACTTAAGATAATTATAATATAAAAGCTATAGAGATTAGCAGTATAAGTTAGCTAGATATACGCACTAGTAAATAGAGCAAATAGTAAAGTTATAACTATTATCTATAGTATTATCTATAGACTTTATATTTAATATTTCTACTATA